TGGTTGGCGACAACTAACATCTATACATTCCTTAAACGTTGGAAAGGTTGTGCCTTTGAATTTTTCCAAAAATGTCCAAATGTGCTTCTCAATATTTCCCTAAAAATTCGCACGAACTTTCTGGAAAGATGCTACTAATATTTGCATATAGCTGTACATACAGAGTATCGTTTACTACCTGGAAGAAGTTATAATAGAACAAAAAAGATAGAATCGATAATTTAAGTTAGAATTACGTTGATTGTGGGGATGAATCCAGTGCAGAGACTTTGGTTAGCAATTGTTTCTAACTGACTTCTTTAGAATTTTCTCGATTTATTCACTACGAGACAAATTCGTGCGAAATCACAGAGATTAATACATTGCACCTCGCCGTAGCGGTTGTCGCCAAGAAACACGGTTTGTAATTCCTCTCGTTTTACGATCCGACCGCGTCCCCGCGAGTCTCCTGTTACACAACGCTCGGTTATTAGCGCGCATCGTTAAAAGCGGAACATTCGCCGGCGCGTACCTCGAAGACGCTCGAACCAACCACCGCGAAAACCGCAAGAGCAACGATTTCGTCAGCGCGTCTCGTAACATCTCCTAAACGCACGCTCGCATTCGTTTCAGAAAACCGCGTGGAAAATCCGTTGGATTCGGCTATTGCGTTTCGTGCGCCCGTCGAACGTTCCTCGACCGCTCACGGTTTCCCCATCAAGAATCCTTAATTCCCGCCAGCCAGTGCCCATTTACCTTGCGGTCGGCATTTGCAATTGCATCGGCCATGCAAGTGGAGTCCCTGATGCGTCCTGCGGTCAAACATCATCACCGTAGCTCACGCGCCCTGACACAGGATGCACCTACCCTGCGGGACCTTCTAATATTCGAAATTGCTCGTCCTGGCATGTTTATTTGACGTCGGGGCTGCCGTACTCAACCCCCTCCCCATTCCAATTTGCCGGCTGACATTTTTCAACTCCTGCCGCGCCCGCGACGTTCCCTGACTCTCGGTTTCTTTTTTTTTATTTCTTTCCTTTCTATTTTTTTTTTCTTTTTTATTCCCGCCCGGGTCTCTCTATCTCTCTACGCCCTCTCGTCGTCCCGGTCCCTCCTCGCGAGCTTCGACTCGACAGCTTTTCGTTCGACGGGAGTGCTAAGTCAGAAAATCGCGGTAACGGGGTCTAGCCGGCGGCGAGTCCGTATCGGGAATGATGCTAAAAGCATCCACTGCAACGCGTTTCCGAGTCGCGGACCGCTCACGTGTGCGTGAAGCTTGAAACGTTTACCTCGACGATTTTATAACGGCGAAAACTGGGCCTGATTTCGATTCGCGATACCTAGCCTTTTCCTGGGGACGGTCTCGTTTACCGATGCACAGGGTGTTAGAGAAACAAAGGCGAGGTTGTTAGGAATGTGACGATGCTACTATACTTGAAACTAAGCGTTTATGAAGACACATTTATGGGGAGATTTGCGAGTGAAAAATAACGTAGTCCTACATTTGGGAACGGTCAAGACAAGCTTTGTTTGTTACTGCGTTTCGATTCTTGGGTTAAAGGGATGATGATTTTTTGGAGGCATCAAGAAACCTATTTTTTGTTTACATTCTTATTGACTAAGGTCTCTATTGCGTAGAATATTATTCGTATAAATAAGATGTATAATAATATACGTGTATAATTGTCGCGACACAAGGCAGACCAACGAGAGGGTGCAGGAAATTGCTATCCGACTAAATGAAAAAACTAGTACTCCCACAATATGAAATAATCAAAACCATTCAATTAATTTTGAGCCAACCTTGTCCCTAAACGAGTTTCTCAAACAGCCATCTGTTCTCATGTACATTTCCACCCCCTCTCAAGGTGAACATTAGAAACATTTACTCCCAGCTCGAAACGATCGAAAATGTCAGATTATTATGTAAGTCTCCTCTCGTGTTTAACCACGCGGACTATCGACTCGATATAAGTGTGCACAAACACGGTCCCATCAGTTCGAGCTACACGACGTCCATCATTGCTTTATATTTAGTCTTCTGGCAACCTCTAAACCGTGCGAGCGAGATAGTTGATATTTTTATCCACTCTGGTTTCTACATTTCATCAAAGAGAACGCGCTACGCGAGTTGTTGTGATTCTCAATACGCGATGAGTAGCGTTTACACCCCTGTACGAACATTTCAAATCGACATTGAGGAAGTTATTTAAAATCAACCAACTGATTTCTGTGAAAGAAACATCGATGAATTGATCCGATGTTTGGAAAGACCCAAGTATTAGGTGTACGCAAATGAAATCTATACATTTTGAAAGAAACTGAGAACGATTTACTTTACTCATTTACTTATTTTGATGCAGTTTGACCAGTCGTGCCAATATCAAAAACACTAAGCTCAGAAATGCTTATATACTATTTTCCAACACCATCTAAAAAGTAACTCTCAAAACTCGTTCGTACGTTTATTCAAAGAATAAGGATGCATGAGATCATTTGCCCTGAGTATTTCCAATTTGCCCCCACCTTCGCTATTACGATACATTTCCTACTCGTTTTCCATCCGTCGTACCCCACAAAACTTGTGTGCACACCTAACAAAAAGATGGCCGCTGCATGATATTCATAAAGATAGTTTCCGCGATCCATTATTTATTTAACCAGAAACACGCGATGATCCGATATTACCGCGAGTGGAGCGCGTGCATTAGGCAGGCCATGAATTAGTGACTTTTCTAATAAGACCGCAGTCGATTGTACAGCGCGGTAAGCACGGTGCATTATGCATCATGCGAGCCAACGCGCGCAGCGCATCCGTCTAAACGTCCGTCAGCGATAAATCGAGTAACACGGCGAGGTGCGCGGCGCGATATCGATGAACGTATAATGAACGGGGCTCGCATTCTACGCAATTCGAATTATCCTCTAATTATCGTCTTCGGTTTGCATTATCGGATCTGGCCGCGCGAACGGACAAATCGCTCGATGCCCGTGCTCATCTGAAGGAAAATCCTACGCCCGGCTTACGATTTCCACGGTTAATCATTTGCTTCCAGATCACGTTGATTACGCCAGTCACGGAAATTTAAGTTCCATCCAAATGTAGGGATTATCGTTAGATGGGGAACGTTTACGCGTAGATATGGACGTATTGTTTAACGTACGTTTTGCTTATTTTAGTTAAAAGGTGCGCGCACGTTACGCGTGTTTCTTTTATATCTGTTTCGCTGTATATTGGGTTGCGATCATAGATAAATCGCCGAGGCGCTAAGTGACGCTGATAGATCGCAATGCGTACATTTCGTTTTTTGATATCATGCGAGAGAGGATGTATATATAAACAATATCCATGGTTCGTTTTACTGGAATTCGTACTAGTAGATATAGTACATATATTAGTCTATATCATCTCATCTTCTATAAAAATCTATCTTCAGGAGTATCTATCAATCAGGATCTAATTTTTCTTATACGTATTTTCTACATATATTCTATTAGTACCAAACATAATCAAATTAATAACGCTGATCGTAATCGTAGCAAGCCATTCCTAATACCCATTTCAATCTTCCTCCTACTCTATTTCTCCTATATCATCCAGTATTTAACATTACACGATATGCTATTACATCGTATGTCCCAATATTCTCGAAATTATGAAAAACTGTCCCCCATAATCGACTATTGCAAGGCTACTTTTGATTCATTTAAAAAATTCTGAAAAATGCTCAGATTCAGTGCGCGAACGCGAGCCATTTCCCCGTTTCGCGTTCCATCGAGCCGAACGATTCGAATTAAACGGGACGCGAGTCGAACGACACGTTGCATAATACATTTTTAATTCCGGCTGGCGCATTGTTGAGCCATGCCACGATATCGCTGACGGATCTATGACGAGATATCGTATAGGCGCATCTCGGTCGTTAAGCCTCGCGGCTTTTTGCAAGACTACCAACGATCCCTATCAGTACAAATGAGTGTCATTTGCGCACGGGCCCGGCAATGGGATACGAAAGTGTGGAGGCATCTCCCGTCCGTGTACGTACGACCGACCGTTTCCTCTGTTATTTTTTTCGTCGTTCCTGTGACAGTGACGCACCCACGGGAGAGAGGAAAGGGTTGCAAGGAAGCACTTGCATCCCTGCCAGGAATAACTATTCTCCAATCGTTCGAATTTGATTGCGAGTGAAAAGGGAAATGTCATCAATTTCGTGACCCGATAAGTATGAAAAATGTCTATAAATATCTATTCTATTTCGCCGTTTGAAAGGAGAAATAAGTTTTATATTCTCATGTCTAGATTAAATTTTATCTAACTCGTATTATTTCGTTTCTCTAACATGCCTAAATTCATTAATTGTTAACAGTTTTCGAGGAAGAGAATCTAGTACATTTCACAAAAAAATGTTAAACGATCCAATTAAATTCAATTGAATCCAAATTAGATTTAACGGAGTTCGTATTATTTGATTTCTCTAAAATACCTATGTTGATTAATTTTAAAAAGTTTTTAGTAAACCTAGAAGAGAAATCAATTTTATGGAAAAATATTTCATAAATATTGTCTCTATATTCTCTGATTGTGTCGTAACTCGTAACATATTCGTCTAGTTTAGTTGCACCTTGTCGAATGCCAGAGCGCGCCACTTTCCTGCACGCGTGCCTTCCCCACGGCCCTTCGCCCTCCCCCCACGGTTTCCAAAAAATAGAAGTTCGAACGGCGTTGAACGGAAAATTGCACGAGAAAAACGGCAAACATTAATTTCGACCCAAGCCTCGCGACGCGGTCTTTTTCATAGGCGCACAATGAAACGCAATATACCGTGGCAAGTTTCAAACAATTAAAGAAGCCCGTTGTTTAAAATATTGCCACTCGCCAAGAGCGAACTGTACCGATTAACGACGAAAATGCGTTTTGCTTCGAAACGTGCAGCTCGGATAATTAATCTATTATTTCATTCTTTTTACTATTATATGTGTCTTCTATTAATTAAATATTTACTCGACTGTACCAGTATCACTGACGATTAACAAAAGCGATTATATTGGGTTGTCCGGAAAGTCCATGCCGATTTTTGATAGGTGGTGCAGGTCTGAATATGTCGACATTGCTGAAAACAAATAACATATATATGTACATCCCTTAAAAGGTGGAAAGGTTGTGGAACAAAATAGTATATATATATAGTACATATATATACTATATGTATAGTATACTATATGTATACTATATATCTATATATATATACTATATATATATAGATGTACTATATATATATATATATATATATATATATATATAATAAATATAAATAAATATATTACAATTCAAATGTCCCTCTGAAGTTTTCTTAAAAATTGGCACGAAGTTTCTGGGCAACCTAATACATCAAAATTCAAATATGCCTTTAAATTTTTCTTAAAAATAGGCATGAACTTTCCGGACAACCTGATACTTTGCATTGAATTCACCTTGCATACCTACAACAGAAACAGAAAAAAATGAATAAGCTAAATATCGCGACGGAAAATTTATAAGTTTAAGCACCGTAACGTAATCCACGTATCGACGTAATCACGTATCGCGGAATGTAATTTCAGATTCGAATTGACGGGTAACGTATTTGATTCTAACATGGCCGACCCGCGAGTATATTAAATTCTGAACGCGCAATTCCGAGGACCGCGGAAGCTGTCCGTCACGATCGGTCGTTTCGATACGTTCCGAGAATCCATTTCGTCGAGGTTAAAATATTCGTGCGCTTAGCAGCGAGTTGGCCCCGAAATATGCTTGTATTAGCGACGGCTCGCCAATTTGCGCTTATTAATTCGAATTATCGCTGCCACGTGGGTGTCCAAGCACAGGATATTAAAACCCCTGACCTTTGCCAGGATGAATCGAGCCGAAGTTTGCTGGCTGCGCTTTCTGTCATGGCGTACGCTTTGACTACGGCCAACGTATAAGAAATTCACTTACTCGACAAGAACGCCGGTGGCACCCACGATCAACAGGCAGATCGAAACTTCGACGTCGATAAATTACGATGTTGCGAACTCCAACAAGTATTCCAGCGACGGCAAATTAGACGACGTTAAACGATCCGCGCGAACACCGAGAGCGATTAACATCGTTCGACGAACTCGTCCTTCGCACGACTTTTTTTTTTACGAACGCGTTCGCTACGAGGGGTCCGAAAATTGTGTTTACGCGATCGTTCCGACGCATCGCGATAACGGGCGAACTCGAACGCGTTCACTATAGCAATACTGTGTAACATAATACAACGAACGAGAGGTTTCACTGTACTTTTTCTACATTTTACAAGCAACCGATCTGACGCGCGTCTTGACATGTCACTTTCCCGCGTACCTGCACCTCTTGTGACGTCACACAGATGGCGAAGTCCACGAGGCTTGGCCGATTCCCAACTGCTAACAGATTTTCATGAAAATTATACGAATCATTTATATGCATCGACACATTGATAATTAGAAAATAACTATAATAATGTGTTTCGTTCTTTTCAAAAATGAACAAATTGTTCACTGTTTTCCATTTATTATTCAAGTTGCATATATTATTGATGCATTGGAAAAATTTAATTGTTATACTTGTTAGAGTATTTTATTTTAATTTAACAGGAGACTACAATATTACAAAACTTATCGTTGCGACTCATATATTTTTCTGTCATTGACAGATAAAGCGGATTTATATTTTATAAAAAATTACTAATTATACATAATTGTGCTAATATTGGCAACATTTGCATTAGTGATCATTTATATTTTGCGTATGTTGGCAGCACAGGGACGTGTCACCTCGCAACCGTATGTCAACCACATTTGATTGAAACGGTTTGTAATCAATGAAAAATTGACATTTAATGATTAAATAGTGAATCTGTTCGAGTGACAGCGTGATATTACAAAAAAGAAATCAACGAATAACAGTTACTTTATGGTGAGTATCAGTTAAACAGTGTTGCAAATGCAGCACTGATGATAACTCGCGTATTCATTCTGAAGCTGATGCTTGTCAAGTTATATCCATTCATTTTATACGATAATTGCAATAACTACTGAGATTACTGTGTTATCCTTCTAAAATTTAGGATTCATGATTTTATTTTTCATCTTTAGATAAGCACGATATTTATTTTAATATAAAGTTTGTCGTACAATAATTTCATCTATTCCCACACGTGGTTTCTTAACCTATCAAACTACTCACGAAGGGATTCCAAACAACGTATAGGCCCTTCAGTTTCGTACTGTTCCGGTCTCCCAACAAATTAGAATAAAATACTACTCAAAGAAATCTAGTAAGTACATTCTCTCAAAGTATATTTCAAACGTTCTCGTCAAAAATACAAATACCTCAGCTTCGTGCATAGTGCAATGAATATCTACTACAAACCAAAGGTACTTTAAAATAGCAATAAAATGTAAATTTTGTAGGTACTCACATATTTTCGTATCCTGTACCAGTTGAATTTTGCGAAAATACATTGATGTCATGATGACATTGTCATCACAACCTCGGAAGAACGGTAATCATCGCGATAGGTAAGTTTCTACGGATCTACGCGACGAAAAATACCTCCCTGGCGCCATCTCACGCAACGAAGTTTAAGCAGAACGACGAAATCTTCTTTACCAGTGTTGCGGGTTCAGCCGGAAACTCATAAAGGTATACATCCAACGAGCCGCGATGATAATAATAATAATGATGACAACAGCGACAGATGTAGGACGCGTTTGAATCCCCGCCCAGGAACGCCCTCGAGGAGGCTATTGGCCCGATAACCCTAGCCAGGGAAAAGGCTGCCATGGCCGGCAGAACCCGGCGAACGATCCAATCAGAATTCGTGCCGGCCAAAACAAAAGGCACGCACCATCCTCGAGAGGGTTGCAAGTCTGAACAAATGAATACCGTGAACCCCCAGGGGGGTGTCGCGACGGTAAGGAGGACCGAGAGGGAGACGACGGATTCCGGAGTTTTTGATGTATTAAACCGTGGGCTCTACGTGACACCGAATGCTAAGTAGGGACCTTTGGAACACCACACGCTGGATTCGAATAGGCGGGGAGCATCCTCTCAAGGCGTTATTATTACGACTACCACAGTTATTATTATCGTCATCATCATCGCCGCCGCGCCAACGTACCCGTGGCTCGTTACTATCGTTTCGTCACGCTCGATATATATTAAACGGACGACTCGAGTGTGAACCACCGCGTCTATGATTCCAGCGACCGATAAGATTTCGATCTACCCTTAAACGCGACCGTCTTTATCTAGATACATTTTCAACCGCTCCTCGACGTCGCCCTATTACCAACGATTTTGACCCGATAAATCGTTGGCACGGTTTCACTGGTTGGGTACTCCGTGCGCCAATTTAATTCGGGGGATTATAACGCCGGCTTCAAAATGTTGCTAGCTTGAAATGGAGCGTTGTGGAATTCGGTTGAAACAATCACGCGATGGGGGAGGGGACTGGCTAACTTTTGAGCTTTATGTTTACGCGAAATTAAATTATTTAACGTAATGGTATTTTTATGGATAATTTACAGAGAAAAAATATAGCAAACGCGTAGGGGCTCGAATTGATTGAAACGTTTGATTAAACCAGTTATGGTCAAACGCGCTAAACTGACAGTAAACAGGACGCCCAGATTTGATATCACTTCCAATCTACGTTACACGTTACAGAAAGCTGAAAAACAAGTTTCTTATTCGAGGTCAAACTACTCGTTACGCGAGCCCCTAACATTGTCTACTTCGCGTTTACGTATACGCTTATGGCGTTTTTCCTCCGTTAAATGTCAATATAAACAATACCTTTCAAATTATTCTAATCTCTTTAATATTGTTGTAGACGAAAAAGTATAAATACTCCAAGAAATATGGAGTAGTCTTAATCAGTAAGCGCTCTTTTTCGAAGCTGTTTCATTTCATTTATAATTATCTTCGTCAAATTATTTTCCTTTATCGAAAAGCTAGAATCAGCAAGTAGAGAACGTAATCTAGCAATACTCGCAGCGATCAGGTTGCGCACCCTAATGTCTGCTACTTACCAGAAGTCAAAATCATTATTGTTTGTTTACAGCCTTTCTTTCGTGTGACTGATAATCGTTATCGTCCCTAAGGACCTATAATTTGGCTCCAAATTGACTGCTGGCGCAAGTCAATTAGGAAGGTTCCGAAACGGTGCGACGGCTGTAGGCTTCTGCTTCTCGATCTTCATTTGCAGGCATTTCGAAAGTGTCTCGTCACGTCCTGTCCCAACTTCTTCTGGCTACCGTTTCCTACTCTCTTAATCATTTACACAAGTCAGAATATCCGTAGAGCAAAGTACGCGTTATCTATGATCTACTCCTTGCTCTGCTCGCTAAGACGACCTGTGCAAACAGGCCCACATTTACCTCTGAATCGCTGAACCCCATCTAAAATTGCTCTCCAAACTTAGGGTCCACTTGGAAACGAGCTTCGAAAATTTCCCGTCTCTTTCCTTTATTTTAACCATAAGTTAAGAAATCCTCAAGTTGACCAAAGCTTCGTTAAATCAATGAAAATTACTTTGATTAAAACCATGCTTTCAACACTTTATTTATCAGGAGCCAACTTATGGGTATTTTAATTCCATTGTTTAGTTTCTGGAATTTATCCACTGTGTTGTTGTTCAGTTGTTGGAAACAGGCTTAACTTCTAGTTAACGTCTAGTTAACTAATGAAGAAATTAATGTCAGCCTAGATTAGCATGTGCTAATATAGAAAATTCTTTTATAAATGGTAGCTTCTAAATGGTAGATACAGTATTAACGTTCGTTTCTGTCGGTTTCTATTTTTCTTCGTTACCTGCTATAATTTTTTCGAAAGAATAACCCCCCGAAATAGGTAAGAAACCCTCCACAGAGTTTCCGCCATTCTCGCTATTTACCAGCGATGTTGCATTACCCAGCGTCCGGCAAACGTGACGAAATAAACGTGCCTGTAAGGACGCAGAGTGTGGAAATCAATTTGATAGACGAGTGTACGCGTGCCGAATTACCTCTACGTGATGTCGGACCATTTCACCATTTTCGCCATTATATTAACGACGAGACGAACACGCCGAGGCTCGACTTCCCGGCCCTGCAATGGTTACACACGTATCGTAATGTTACCGTGACGAACAATGGTAACATCGCGATCCAGGGCACGTTTCCACCCCGTGGCGAGGCAAATCGAGGCGGTGGCGGCGGCGCCGGCACTGTACCTCGTTAATTGAAGTCCGCCGGAAGACGACCATTTTCCAAATTTCATACTTTAGGTGGCCGTCTTCCTGCGCGCGATAGCGTCCGACAAAAAAGGTATTTTTGCGCGAATAATTGGCCAGAAATTCCACAATTTTTACGAGCACGCATACGGTCACGCGTTCGTCGCGCGATCATTTGTTCGAATTGCGTAATGATGGAATTCGAGAATTTTAAATGGAGGTAGCATCTCTTCCTAAGCCATTCGACAGATGAAATGTCAGCACTCTTTTATTTGGACAACAGTGTAGGGAACCAAGGTGGTTCATAGCGAAACTGTGTTAATTCAATCTGTTATCTAACCGACAGTGTTAACAGAAATGTCTTTTTATGAGATTGATATTGCTCTATCGTATCCTGAAGAGGATCAGCGAAATTCCTATTCGGTGTAGAAATTTTCCCGTTTTATTCTTCTTATTGCCAACAGAACATTTATTTCCATAACAAGTTTTTACTGCGTGCTAGTCTCTTTGCAGTACGAGATCCACTCTCGTAAATGAGATAATTAAATAATTTCAGAAAACTCGCTTACCTAATTAGACCTACCAGGTATAAAGGCGTAAAATCTTAGTTTAGGTAAGAGGCATGATAGATCCATCGATCTCCCGGGTTATTCATGGCGCGTAGTATCTAATGGAGAGTAGCTTGGCTCCGATCGTCCGTTGGTAAACATCGAACGCAGTTTCCGCGTGATTTGCGCGAACTGCTGCGGACTTCATTAAAAGTACGTGGCAGCCCTGTAGCGGAGAGTGGAAATATCGATTAATCTTTTTTTCGCGCTCGATATAATCCTTGACGGAACAAGGCACTAATCCTGGAGCTCCTGTCATCCGTCCTGGGGTTCTGGTGCTCCATCCGACGGATGAGACGGATTACAGCTCGTACCAAATTAACCTTTGTCTCCTCTCGCTCCACTTCCACCACACCGCATGGGCCCGATATGTCGAGTTTACACGAAAACTCACTCAACCGGTCGCGATAACGCGAAACTAAAACTATCCTTGGTGACACAACAGGTGTCCATAGAGACCCCGATACGGATCGACAAATCTTCCGGTTTACATGGTACGCCTCGTCGAGTCCATTTGCCGCGATCAATCCCGTCGTTTCAGCACTTCGAGCCCCGTGAAAGTGGATCCTGCGATGTCGAACTATTCGAACGAGGCTCGCTCGTTCAGCTTTTACGAGCGTAGGCAACGTGAGTCGTGTCGAAGAAGATGGCCGTCGTAGCGTATAACCGCCTCGGTAAGTTTAAATTCGAGGGAATTTTTAACTCGAGAACTGCGTAACGCAGATAGATCGAATTCCAACACTTTGAAGTATGCGTTTGTATAATTTGTATAAGGAAATATTGACGAGCAAAGGTGCAACAGTGCGTGGATCATCGATCCTACGCGTATGTCTGCGGGGTCGTCGCTACAACGCAGAACTAATCGAAACCAAATTATAATTTAACTCTCTATTATTACGTTCTAGCACTCCTGCAGATGGAAGAAAAAATTTAATTTCTTCAATGTAAAGAATGCTGTTTCGAGGAAAATGCGAAAGAGAAATGTTATTCACTTTTCTTCGACAAAATGGTCCTACTCACCCTGCTCCATAAGGTAAGCCTTCTGGTTTCATTACTATGATCCCAGCTTCTCTTCTATCTGCTCTACGAGTTTCACAAGCCAATTTTGTTATCACACCTTCTCTTTAAGAATATTCACCAAATGATTAATTCTTTTTACAGGTCTCAAATATGTCTACCATCCAAAACTACCCACCTAGACTGTCGATCCAGTCGGCGAACCGTCGAAATTCCTTCGATTTTATCAATAGTGCGAACAAACTATAGACGGTTAGCTGCTTGAGCGCTAGTCGAAGTGTCTCGAGAGATCTTGACTTCGATAAGATGCACACCAGTGACCACGAGGACACGAATTCTGAATAGAAAAATGTCCGTCACGACGTTTTCGTCTTGAACGTACAAAATGGCGCGGTTGCCCTCGAGGGGTGGTTACGCATGTATATTCCCAACCCCTCGTTCCAACCCCTACGATCCGTGGGGTGACAAGCACGTAACGTTATGTAACCGTATACATGCCTAAGATCCTGGAGGGTCGTCAGAAAATCGGGCTTTGTCGCCCGGCCATGTGTCCCTAATGCGACTCCCGCGGGGGGTCATTTCTATTCTATTTCCCTTTGGCGGGGTGTGTCGAGCTGGTCCCTCGCCCCCTGTCCCCGTGCACCGCTCTTATCGCGTATGGTAAATGCATCACGGAGGCCTCACAAGGGTGCCCTCTGCAGATTGACGTAAAATCAATGAACGAAGTCAATGGGTCTCTCGCTCGGTTAAACCAAAGGGAGAGTGGAGGAGTATTATAGGGGTTGAAACACCTCGTACACCCTGGATAATGTGCTTGTTAATTACTCGGTATCGCGGCTCGGAGAGCATCGGTAAATGGTGGAAGGAACCGCTCGCCCTACGAATCTCCGTAATTATCGCGAAATTTAGACTTCCCGCGTTAACAAGTTTCCCGCCTGTTAACGCTGAAAGCTTTCGAATCGTTCGCGCCTTTGTCTAGAAAATACAATGCGCGCGATAAAAGTTCGTTAATCTCTACGAATGTCTTCCCTATAAGAATCACATCGAAAGACAAGTACTTCCCAAGAATCGCTTGCGTAACTAGTAGAAATCAACGGGTTAAATCTCTCGATCGATTAAATGTGCGTGCGACTCGTCGCTCGGAAAGTTCGTCGTTGGTTAAAAATAAACAGTTCCCCTCGCGAGCAACTTCGCACTCGACGCGAAAGAACTCTTCATCGATCTCCGTCGAACGGTAACGGTCGCGAGGCAAAGAAAGGCGCAAAAAATAATTACTTAATGGTGGTATTAAAATTGAATACTTCCTGTCGAGCTGAACGAACGAAACACGGCGTATAATTAAAGCTCGAGTCGTTGCATAAGCGTCTACTTAAAATCGTACCTGTCACCGAACGAAAAGAAACGGACGGCTAATCCGCGACGTATGGAGAAAGAAACGCTCCATAAACTAATTTCTACGTGGGTTTATTTATATCCGCTGCGCGTGTAATCGACCCACGGCTACCGTGAGACGAAAAGAAGTATAGAAGGCTTCGCGTTTCAAAAGTGGAAGAGTCATCGTTGCTAACGAGACGACTGACAGTCGAGGCCGTTATTGACGTTCTTCTTTCGAGAACACCTTCCATCTTAGCGACAGATATTATCGACATTGTTAAGCCTCGCGATGCAGATCACCGTGTTATAATACAGCGGAATCGTTACCGTTAAATTGCGCGCCGCGTTTCAAAATCACCGACGCCTTTACCATACCAAGAGTCGTTTAGGCACGTAGGATTAGGCACGGGGTACTGAGATGAGCGAATGCAGTGGTGTCGTTTGCTTTACATTCGGTATAGAGATGACTTCAGGGCTTGCTTTTACCTAGCTTCCTTGCTTTCGTCGAAACTACGATTGGTAGATGTTAAAAGGTTCCCTCGATACGTCTTTTTCACTAGACTGTGGATTTTATGCATTTATTTATGCAGTAGTATAGAAAACCTTCTAAAAATATACACAATGTATGCACACTGTACCCCTTTTTTTTTGCAGCAGGAGAAAGATTCGCAGCAAAGAAATTCACATCTGTATTTGCGTACCCGCGTCACCGCGCTCGTGTCGGGATAAAAATCTCTCAAAGTCTTACGGGATCAGGAAAATGCACATTCCGTGACATTTCCTCAATCTCCCGAGAACCGGGACGTTCGCGATCGGTTCGCCGTGGCGAAGATCCGCCGGAGGATGTTCCGCCGGTCGGCGAGTTTTCCGCGGAAATGAAATAAAAATGACGACGAAATGCTCTCTTCCGAACAGGTAATTCCCGGTATTTCACTCTCGTTCCCTCCGCCTCCAACACAAGCAGTCGCGGCCTACCCCCATCGCCTCTCATCCCTCTATCTCCGCGCGGCCAACAACAACGGTGTCCCCATCAAGCTATATACCACCCCCGTTTTAGCCGCTCGCTCGTCCCGTCGCTGCCGGATTGCTTTTTGTTTCGTGCTTCGTGCCTCGTCCTTTGTTTCCGCGAGTCGCCGCGAGGAAATGACAAACAAATGAGCGGCCGCTCTCTATAACGTCTACGCTCGTCGCCATGGCGATGCCGACGCGGCGATCGCCGTTTTTATCTCAACGACGACCGGGATAATAGCCGTGGAGTATTCTGAAACTCTACTGTAGTGTTTAAAACGTTTTTGTAGAAATATATGCTGTAGAAGAGGGAGAAGGTATTTTTCTACGGGGATGTGTTATGTCTTCAATGTTGGGACTTGGACTGCTGGTGCCCCTTTGGCTCAATAGTAATACTTTTCATAATTTCCTTCTGTGAACAGTTACGCACTGGTTTTATTTCTGTGTTACAGTTTAAGCCTAAAACGTCAGCTTTCTCCCTGTTTTTTAATTTCTTAAACTTCAAATTTAACCACCCTTGCACCTGTATCAAGAAATGAGTGTCCAATCGCTAACCGCCAAAATGTAATTTCAGGGGGGACGGAAGATTCACTTAGGAAGGAACGATCATATTCAGCACAAGTTATCCTTCGCGATACATCCATGGAGAACAAAATGGAGTCAACCTCGCGGCCCCCTGCTCAATGTTAATGCTGGTACAGGGTAGAGGGAATTGCTGGAGCCATGGGGGCGGCCGTGTGTGCCATTCAAAGTCGATGAGTAGGTGAGCCATGAATTTTTCTCTTGGCGGTCTCCGTAACTATCGATTGTGTTTCAAAGTCGATTGTGTCTCCATTATGCCCGCGAGAGAGAAGGAAAGTAAGAGAAAGCAGGGAACCCCGGATGCTAGGAGCAGAAAACGAGGGGTAGAACGGGAAAAACTGAGAGAGAGAGATAGGGAGAGAGAGGTTGAACCCTAAAGTACGGAACGTCCAATTGACTCCGCCATATTGAGTTTGGTTCTATGGGCTCTCGAGTATATAGGGCTCTTGGAATCGAGACACGTTATACGATGGTCCGCCTCGTAGAAGGAGCTTCTAGGGTAACTTCGTTATGGGGTTTCTACGTGACCAAAATCCGCCTGGATATGGAACTGGCGTATGTACGACACGCGTCTCCGAAATGCATATCGCCAAAATTCTCGATAATATATTTTTTCGTCTCGCCTTTCTGCAAGTAATCGTTTAAAATATGAAAATATGTAGTATACAAGAACAATGATGTTTACATAAGCGTCATTACAGTACAGGGTTCTTTACTTTGAGTAAACTTTGAGTAAACTTGAACTTTCTTTAGATTGGCTACTCCAATTGGGGAAACTACCCTTACTTGGAGCAGCTTCACATTTGCATACACACGGTAGATAATAATATACATGACAAAAATGATTGATATGCATGAAAAAATATACTCTGCCTCTTTATGTAAACAGTGAATTCAACCAACGATAGATTGATTTAATATTTTTCGTTAAAAATTGAGTATCTTTAGAGTATTATTAGACGTCATCAATTATTCTTACCGCTCCTTAGATCTATAAAGTTTACAGAAAAATGTAGCGTAAAGTTGCTTTCCCCGTAGTTCGTCCAGAATCCAATTCGATCAAGATTGCTGCGGTAACTATCGTTTACCCCAAAAAGTATCGTCACGAGTTTGCCCGCCAGGACTCGGAAGAAACCCGACAGGGACCATTGTCGCTCCCTGCTCGCGATATGTATCAAATTATCCTTATAATAGAAAATGGCGGCAACATTACACCTACCAGGTGTTATGCTAGGCGCCAAAGAACGGTCCACGGTATGAGGGCACAATGGATTATAATGCGCTCCGTGCCGCGTACAATAATGTCTCCACAATACCGTTTTTAGCTACAATAGGTGTTGCTTTAATGGGAGTCTGGTTACACCGAAACCTTTTAACCATCGTCGCCGGTTTTCCCGCGCGTGTAAACAGCCGCGGCAACGATCGATCGGATCTTTTCCGAAAAGAAACCAAAAAAAAAAAAAAACGTCTTTCCCAGCGAGGTCAAGAACACGACGCTAAGGACGGTTTTCGATATTCTGTATCGTTTTTATCTGCGGAAACCTCGGGACACGTATCGGCTACTTAGGATAGCAATCGTACAAATACCTCTGGTCACCTTGAGGAATGCTGTAATTCGACCAAGACGATTCGTATCTCGAAACGTCCTGGCTTTGTTGGGCGTTATAGTTTGCAGTTGTTGTGAAAAAAACTGGAAATTTGAACTGTGAAAGAGAGTGCTTTGGTACCCGTGGCGGTGCAGTTTCCGACGGACGAGCGCGTCTGTCCTTGCCAGCCTTCCACGAACTTTTCACTGTTTATGGTTTTATTCGTGGAGAGTAATCGCAACTTTCTTATCAATTTTTCAAATATATATGTCACTAGGTGAAGGCTATTTAATAAAAATTTCGAACAAATTCCATAGAGTAACATAAACGAGAATATAATCGAAGTTCTGCTGTATTTTGTCACATTATATCGAATCAAACCGACCTGAAACTTTTCAAAATTTCAAATAAATACAATAGAGAGATCAAATCAAAGCTTACAAATTTGTCAATTCACATTTGCTATCTTACGGAGGAAGCATTATTCTACATATACCAATTATTTTCATTGTGGAATAATTTCTCTTGCGAAGTAATATTGTGTACACAATTCTTTATCTTGTAGTAATTGTTCGAAACTTTCACCCAGACGATAATTATGCCACGTATTTTGATGGGCCCTGTACGAAAGAAAAGAATGAATTTTTACATGGTGCACGATTTATCACGCTGAAAAAAAAAAGACAAACTCGCGAGACGGATGAAGGAATGACCGTTGAAGCGATGTTCGTTGGTTTGCATTAAAGCGAACTTGCACTCTAAGGAAGCACATTGAAGCGCAAATCAAAATGCAGTCGCTACCGGAAGAGTACTCGACCAGTTGAAGGGCCCTTCGCTATTACTGTGGAGGACTTCGCAGTGCTTGACGAATCACTCACTAATTGCGTTCGTGACATGGCCCAGAACTAACAAACGGTTTCTTCGCTTGGAAAGTGTCGACTATTTTTTCCTTCTCCCTCCTGCCGTTCATGTACACGTCCTTACATTTGACGCGAACGTTGTTAAATTACAAAAGCCAAAAGAAACGGAAACGCTCGTAAAAAAAACTTGCACGCATCCTGCTCGACGTATTGCCTAATCCAGAAAGAAACAAAAAAGTAACACGTGTGCGATACGCGAAAATGATCGAATCGGTGAGCGACCCAGGTGAAGTGGATTTAATTTCGAAAGCAAAATTACACCTGGTTTTCGAATGAAACGTCCGATAGACTGGCTCGCTACTATTCTCTATTGTCCTAATGGGGGATAATCGTAAGACTCTCCTCGAGAGTCTCATTACGGGCCAAGGACCCCTTAATGGCTCCTATGAAACTCATTGGCCATTTAACGCCGAGGACACGACGAGAAACGCTGAAAGATTGACGAGCTCGAGTGCGAATTTTCTCGTCAATCATTCTCGTTTTCTGCTACGACGTTTCCCACTCTTACAAATTATTGGAAGGATACGTACAAAAATTGAATCATTCGCGCGAGCTGTACATAATGTTAAACCCTTTATCTTTCTTTACATTAATCACGCGAAAGAAATGTATCAAGAATAATTCCTGGGAATTGAATTAATAGAAATGAAATTTGTAGGAATTCGTAGGAATTAAATCAGTAGGAATTGGTAGGAATAAAATTCGTAGGAATAATTTTCGTAGATAATTAAATTATTAGGAATAAAATTTGTAGAAACAAGAGGAATGACAAAATACATCCTTTAACATTTGTTATTTTTTGTTCCAGGCTGGTTAATTGGGAGAACAACATTTTAAGCGTAGCTATGACGGGTGGCTTGGAGAAACGTCAGTCGCATCGCGCTCACAACTGTATCGTATTTTCATTATCATCAAATTGGACACGTAGTACAGCCACGAATTTTAACAATGGCAGCCTCACCATACTTGCCTACGTACGCCCGACACCCTTTATACGGTTCCCCTTGCGGAAACGCGACGTCTCCATGGTTACAACATTGAAACCCCGCTAGGGGATGACAAAATGGAGAGGCGCATTACTCGGTCTGACAAAGGCGAAGTAGAATCGAAGAACTCCTTCGACTACGTACTTGCACTTGTATTTGAAAAGTCGAGACGCGTATACAACCCGGTTAGAGAGACTGGTAAAGTTACGCGCTAATGCACCCGCGTGATGATTAAAATTACTCGAAAGAACTCGGGCGAGAGAAAAAAAGAGGAGCCCCTCGAGGACGCTCCTGACACTATCCGTGAATTGGCAAATGCTTTCGCGAAAGCACGACGGGAAAGTTGCTGGAGGAAGAGCAAAATTCGAAAATGAGAATGTTTAGTATATCTTAAAGAGAATGGCAATCTTTTTAAGCTATTCTCATGGCGAGATACAGTCTTTCACTACTATTTCACAGAAAACAATTACATAACATTTCACTTTCCAACAGGTACCAAAAGTCGCCATTTTCGAGCATCGTCTTTCTCTCATTTATACAGCAAATGGTCTAACTATAAAATATTCTGACACGATAACGCGATCAGATTGTTACCACGACAAAAGGTGGTAAGATGACGATCGGTGTGTGTCCGCACGATTTACGTTAACACCGTTCAATGGCGCCCGCATTATCGCTATCTGTCATCGGAGATCCATCAACCCGTGGGTACAGACGAAAGACCGTCGCATTTGACAATGCTCGACTTGGAAACGGACGAAGATTGTATCTTCGCGCTTCCTGCTGCACGGTATCATTGCCAGCTGAGAGAAATGCCTATGAGGGTTACATTCGAATGGTTCTATCCATGGTTCCACGACGCATCCGTGCTCTGAACTCTAAACAGACAGCCTATCACAGAAAAAAATGTTTCTACATGTATCTCTGATGATATACATACGACCCTCTGAACCGAGTGTACTCTTCAGTACTATTTCTCTCAGCTCCCAATGATGGCCTACCAAAGCTATTGAGGTCTTTAACACCCGCAACCTCTTAAGTCCAACAGCTACTAAACATTAATCCTTTTTCCAGGGAAAACCAGCCAGGAGAGGCCAAGTTCCAACAACTAGCCCTCTCTTCGTTGTTCAATTCGTCCGGAACAAATAGTTGAAGCACCATTCAACTCCATACTACGACGGTAGACAGTTTCCTCTCGTGTTATTTCGAATTTCGATACGACGACCTGCCATTCGTTGCCCAAAAACGGAGTAGAGAAAAAAAAGAAGTGAAACAATGTCTACGGCTGCTCTATAAACAAAGGAGGATCGTCGAGCAAAATGGCGACTCGATGCACAGGCGTCTAATCCCGGATGAGACGACGGATGTGACGGTGGCGGGTGGAGGATGACGGTGACGAAGGTGGAAGCGGGAGGCGACGCAGACACATCTCTCGGATTACGTCTTAACAAGCTCCACGACGTTCATTTGTCTTATCCGCTCTCGCTAATGCGACAGCAGCTGTTGAAATGATTAATTCACCGCGAGGATGCTCCTACGCCTTGTTCAGCGGTGCGCGGTCGCGCTTGTGCGCGCGCGCGTGCACGACCACACACCAACCTTCCATTGTGATCGTGGTCTCGATTAATCAACTCCCTTATCGTTTCTATAAATACCGTCAAATGTTTAATTAAACGTCGCCCGCTATGGCATTCGTTCGACGCGAACTTGTCGCGCCTTGTTGTCTCGCGAGCGTCGACTTAACTCATTTTTTTCTTGAGCTATGCCAGTGCCTCGGATATTGATAAAATTGTAATGAAAAAATCCGACGAGAAGTTATCTACTTCAGCTTCATTTATTTATAATTAACTTATAAGTATCTCCTGGTGTACCCAAACTTGGTACTCCAAAAACCACCTGTCCGCTATCGATCAATTTTTAATTCATTCCTCGTAATTTCGCATCAGGCATCGCGAGAACGATAATGTTTCCTAACGCTGTGTCAGGAACAAAGCCAGAGGAAACCTTACGAGAACCCTTTACGCTTAGTCAAAACAACGTTCATGGCTCAGCACGAGATCTGATTGGATTAACTTTCGATTTCCATTAACCACCTGTCATCGACGGGGAGCAGGATCGGTAATTGTCACCGATCGATGACTAATCCGCTCTGGAATCGTTAGTATTCGCTGCGCAGTGGCGCTAACTGACTCGATTATAGCCCCGAGCCCGCGAGAACAAAGGACCACCAACGCGACAATTGAACTTCATCGTGCTGATATAAAGTTACAAATCTGAAGGGAGAAAATGAGAGGCGAATATTAAGTCGGCGTACAAAATGGCCGTCACGAGGCGCGAAAAAAAATAGGGATGCGATCGTTCCTCTTGCTTCCATGCACCACATGCTGGTTCACGGAGTACGGTGCGCGTGGGGCAAGAGTGGTAACGCGTTGCGCAGACGCCAAGTTGTACGGATCGAAGCTCCGCCCGGAGACTGCCTTTGTTTAATCCACTGCACCTACGCCCACGACATGTGGCCAACAAACTACGAATTGTCTCACGGCGGGATCCTAATCTTGCGGTGCTATATGCTACAGATGACAGAAAGCACGCTGCGAGGAGGAACTCGATGACGCGAAGTATTCCTGAAAGTCTGAAGGTACTTTTGGCTTGAGAACTTAAACCAATGGCAAGCGATGCCACTGCAAACGTGGAAATTAAGAGACCAACGATTATTAGGATAAAAATTAAAATAGCAAATTGTATAATGTGTATTCAGAATGTTTCGTTTGTATTTGATATATACAGTTATGGAAGATATCTGACAATAGGTGTATGAATACAGTATATATATGCTGAAATATATGTTATGAAATATTGTATGATATCTGGTAGCGTGGCCGAGCGGTCTAAGGCGCTGGTTTAAGGCACCAGTCTCTTCGGGGGCGTGGGTTCGAATCCCACCGCTGCCAATTTTTTTTGTACCCTCAAATTGTTATGTGTTTAAATCAAAGTGATGTCTAATCTATTTTTAACATTGAACATTACAGCAATTGTATAATATACTAATACTCAATAATGGTAGATCAATTACATGTACGACTGGAGCACTAAGTGACATTACTTAAACTTTATAATAAGTTATCAATACAATAAAGAGATTATTTTTTAATTAATACGTAGCATTTCATTTAAAACTATTTATGTACATGTTACTTGAGTAAAGCATGTATTATATCTATTAACATGTAATAGAACTCATTCTGAAAGTGCTATAATATGTATTTCGTTACATCTCTATTACATACGTTGAAATTCACTCTCAAATCAAAACGTTAAACGCATATTTAATAAATAACATTTTCTTCTTTGAATGTGTTTACCATTTTTTAAAAAAAAATAGGAAATAGCACCTATAGCATAAAAACGTTTATTGTGGGCTGTCTTTTAAATATAGATATATGCTGTCGGCTTTTTAAGAACTTTTTCTGCTCATTAATTCTTCCGTACATTGTTTAGAGTCTAGCCTTCTTTTAAAAACATTTAAACTATCACACAGTCTCTTGTGAGTTCCCGGTATTTTTGCTCAAACGAATAGCCATCTAGCGGCGAACAGCCGAACTAATTTCGGAGTTGGGTCAGCGCCTCTATCGGGAAAACGTCCAAGTTTGTCCTCGAATAGTTTAAGCTGTCGCAGCTAGATGGCGTCATTTCAATTGTATTTACCGACATGATGGTAATGTACCGATAGATGTCGATAAATACTATGTAAATGGCGCCATCTAACGGTGACAGCTTGAACTATTCGAGGACAAACTTGGGCGTTTTCCCGATAAAGGCGCTGACCATACTCCGAAAATAGTTCGCTATGTCACCGCTAGATGGCGATATTAATTTTCCGCGGGAAATTTGAATTTCTTTTTATTTAACGAAAGTTCATTAAAAGCATTTGTAGATTATGTTGAACCCCGAAAGACATGATAGATTTGAAAAATCATTGAAGATTCTACAATATATGTTAATGTACAGTAAGAATATTAGATAAAGCGACTAAAATAATAGAACTACTCATGTTCAGCTAATGCACGCATCGATCCTTTCTTGAGGATATCAAAAAATCGTATAAAGTGCGTATCATGTTTAAGAAAATAAACCTAATAAACTTATATAAGTCATGAATTATTTAGAAAACAATCAAAATAATTACTAAGCGATATTTCATATTATACAACAATTTATCATCTTGTTGAAACGACGCATGATACAAGATCAAAGTACACTCTCGCAATACCTTTCAAATGTATCATCTTTCTCAGAAATTCTTATCCAAAAAGCCTCCTACAGGTGTCGTAATACTTTCGGGAAATAGAATTTCGAGAAATGAGTACCTAATACCGTTACCCTTAAAATTCATGTTGACGTTGAGCATCAAGGACCGATAAGAGGCTACCGCACTTCACACGATGACCTCTACGATCGTGTACATCGAAAGCGTACAGTCGAAAGCTGTAGTCAGTGACGCATTGTCAGTTTTAACGAAAGCATACAATTCACAATCCAAATTTTATTGTCGTCGTGAACGGTATCGATCCATATCTTTAGATCAAACACGGGAATCGTTCGAATCATTGACCGCCTCTGTGAAGAACACGTACCTTTTAAAACGTATCGTCAAACGTAGAAAAATCTGTTGGACTTAGTGTATGGATCGAATAAATTTGAAGTGAAGAGATATTTAAACACAGGAAAAGAAGAAAACGATTTCTTATTTTTTTCGCAAAGAATTATGACTACAACCGACAAAATCGTTCACGTATCAACGTGGGAAATAGTTAAATTACATTTCTTCTCTTATGTATACGGTTCGTATTTAATAGTGAAACGATTTCTTAAGTGGTCCTGGGACCCTGCGAGGTTCTTCATGATGCAGCAGCGGGACAAACCTCCGCCGTGTTTAGTAGACAATAACTTGGGAACGCATTCTTATGTGAAAATCAAAGTAAGTCAAATATAACAGTTGTTTTTGTTCATCCAATGGCGCGTAGCTAAACTACGATGGAAAGTCCAAAACAATTTATAAAAATAATCGACCTCTGATAACTCTTTACGACATAGCTTCGCGATGCACACGTTCCGTTTTGATTATTGTAAAGCGATTATAGTATTTTTTTTTTTTTAAGGAATTTAAATTAAATTTTGTAAAGCACAAACTATTTATAATTTTGCGTTATAAAATTAAGCGAAGTGCCCAAATTGAATTTAAATAATGAGAAAATTAAAAATTAAGAGAAAAATTTAAGCATCTGAAAAATACATGTCCATCATTATGACAAAATGAAATTCGAATTGTGTAGTTATTAAAAATTGAAATTTTATAAACGTGATCATATATCCAAATAATTCGCGTAATCGTTATTATAAGATGATTATAATAGTTATATTTCTTATTTTTTTAATAAAATAGAAGTAATGGAAATGAAAATTTTATGCGGTAAAAATTTGTTTTTTTTTTTGGTAGAGTACAAAATTTCATTATGTAGAAGCTGGAGATCAGAATAAACCACTTATATTGCTTCTACATGGATTTCCTGATTGCTGGCTATCTTGGAGAGAGCAAATACCATCCCTTGCTGAACATTATAGGTGTGACATAGTAACATTTCTGTAAAACTATTACAGCATTTATATCCATAGAAATAATCTTATAATTTAATTAGGGTAGTAGCAATAGACATGAAAGGATTTGGGGATAGTGATAAACCTACAACCAAACGCTCCTATAAAATTAAAATCTTACTTGAAGAATTAAAACAATTTATTTTATCTCTTGGAGTAAAGCAATGCATCATAATTGGTCATGATTTGGGAGGACTTTTAGGATGGTACTTGGTTGCCCTATACGGGGATATGATTTCTAAATTTGTTGCAATTTCGTGTCCTCATCCTAATTTTTATTGGAATAGAATGCCTGGTGATTCTGCATTCGACTCAAAGTATGTGGATTGTGTTTCAAAAATTGTTAATATATAGTCATAATCATTACATATATTTTCTCATTAATATTATTGTTTAGTTGGATACACTTTAGTCAATTACCATTTCTTCCTGAAATTGATGCTCTTAAAGAAGATTTATCCATTATAAATGATACATTTCGACATCTTCAAGTAGACCAAACAAATACTGGAAAAAATTATGTGGAAGCATACAAATATGCATTTAGTAGAAAGGGTAAATAAATTAAAAGTTGTAATTGATATCGTTTATATATATTTGAAAAATGACAAAAATGAAATGGTTTTTTACAGAAGATTGGACAGGTGCAATTAATTATTATCGAAATCTTCCTTTTGTAAGACTCAATACTGAGTCTTCTGAACAGATTAATACTAAAACTTTATTTATAATTGGAAATATGGATCCACTAGTAACAATTGAAAATATTGTACAAAGTTCTGAATATGTAGAAAAATTTAGTGTAAAAGTGGTCACTGGAGCACAACATTTTCCACACCAACAAAAGCCAGATACAGTAAACAAAGCAATTTTAAAATTTTGTATGGGTAAGTTACTTTTTTTTATTACAAAAAGTTCATAAATTTATCATACGATAAATCATTCATATGATTGTAATGTAGTAAACAAACTGTGTTTTAGGCACTACAAATACTATAGAAAAAACATACTCTAAGAGTATTATGTCTTCTTGGTTAGGATCCTTAAGTAATACTGTTAAGTATAGCAACAATATGTTTGATGCTGTTCATAGAAAGACTAGTGGAGTAGTGAATGGTTTACCTAGTAAAGTATTCTATTTAGGACAAACTACTAATTAGGTTAATCAAACAGCAGTGATTAAACATAATGAACAATGAAGTTTAATGCTCAGGTACTAGTTTATATTTATTGAAAAAAAATTAAGTAATTATATTATATAGTTGTCATATTTTAAAGTCACTACTTATTTTCACGTTACATATACATATCGGAATTATAGGTTAGGTTTAGATAAAACGTTTTAGCATTTTTTACACAAACAATTCACAAAATAGTTAGCGTACGTGTATATTCGTTATTTAATAATGTAAATAAATAATTTTTTGATTGTATGATAAAACATATGATATGTATATGTATATAAGTAGTTAATTTTTTATGCAAGCTAACAAACAATGATCTCTTAAAGGTATGTTAAAATACTTATCATAATACGTTTAATTAATACTGTAAATAAATAATAATCGCAAAGAATGAAAAAATAGATGTATATATTAATAATAATTATAAATACAGACTTCATACATTGTAAAGTATATCATTACATATATATACAATTATCCTGTGCTAAGTTTGATACTTCAGATTTAATTTTTCAATAAATTTAGTCTTTCATATTCACAAAATATTCTTATCACAATACAATACTTTTTTAGAGATTACTGATTAAGAAATAAATAAAAAAATTTTTATACATTTTTATGTAGTGTGAATCACCAATGAAATATTAAATTCATTTTTTGTTTACCTTTGGTAAGATCAACTTTAGTGTCATAATTTTTCGTCTTTCCTTTAAACGGATTCGTTACTTTCTTATACTTCCTCCAGTTTGCTTTCTGCAATAAATATTAGTATTTACATAAAAAATAAATCTAGTAATTTAACTAAAATTTTATAATTTTAGTGTTTATACACACTTTCCAAAATTTTCACCATCTTCGATAGTATCAGGTAATTTGCAGTTCATTGTTTCTGGTAGCAGTAAACACAATGCAGCACCAAGTAGTGGTCCAACTCCAAATATTACTGGAGGTAACCAAGGTCTAATTTTTCCCTGAAAATAAATAACAAATTCAACATAATTTTAATAAAGAATACATGAACTAAATATATAATAATTATAAAAAATATTACCATAGTTGCAATGTAAGGTGCAATCATGCTCCCAGTTCTTGCACAAATACTTCCTAGACCAATTCCAATATTTCTAACTACAGTTGGAAATGCCTCACTACTGTATAGATATACTGTTGGAAAACTAATTGCCATTCCCGCAAGACCTACTGTAGCTAAAGAAACTGTCCAAGTTGAATTTGATATCACAGTTAATAAGAGCAAGCTCAAGCCTGATAACATATTACCACATATTAATATCCTTAGACGAGATACACGAGATATCAAACATAAAACTATTACAGTTCCAGGCAGTTCAGCTGCAGCTGGAAATAATAAACTTAATATTAAAAAGGTATATTACAGGTTTATTTATATGAAATGGATATCAAAATCAATCTTACCTGATATAGCAACATTTACAAAAATATTGCCATCTAGGTAACCCATATATTGTGCTAATCCAAAAAAGCAACTACCACAGACAAACCAATTAATGCATATACAGATGGTTTTCCTTCTTAAATTAGTTGTCCTAAACAAATGTGTAATATTATATTTCTCTTCATTTTTCGTACGGCGAACACTCGCATTATTTGTATATGTTTCAATTGCTGCTTTAACATTTTCGATTGGTATCTTATTTCTACCAGCTGCTTTAACTAAGATTTTCTCTGCTTTTAATAATTTGCCAACAGCAAGTAACCACCTTGGTGATTCAGGTATAATCCTGTTGTTAAGGAAAATCTATTGAAAACAATCTAATTTGATGAACACAAGCAATTATAACAAAAAAATTGTTCATTTAGTACCAGTTAATATCATGTTAAAGGCTATATAATACACTATATAATCGTATTACATACCAATAATAAGACAATAGAAAAATTGATGGTATAGAAACTGCCATCTGAAAACTATCCCACGTACGCGTCAAGTACGAAATTAAAGGGTTCATTAAATGGCCTAATAAAAATGGCACATGAAATAGAACTGACATAATTGAACGCCATTCTGTGCCTACAATCTCCATAACTGGAATTAATGTAAAAGATTACTTTGCAACGTATTCAAAATAATAGTACGACGTTTTATTATATAAAAATACTTACGCAAAACAAAGCTAACAAGCATGGTACCACCTGTAGCTACAGCAGTAATGAATTTAAATAGTAAAAATAATTCATACCATGGAACAAATGCACTCATAAATCCGGTTAACGACTGTAATGCTATTGCGATCATTAAAGGTTTTTTCCTACCAATTCTGAAACAAGATTTATATTTATAGTAATTTGTCTTTTTTCATGTGCACGTATATCTATGTATATATACCGATCAGCCATTATACTGAACACTAAATTGCCAACAAGAACTCCAAACATTGTACAAGACTGTGCAAGATTTGCTAGTTGTTCCCTATCACAGACCAAGTCCCACTGAAATAATTCGCGATTAATGATATATTCTTAAACGACATTTAATATATATTCTGAATATGTGTTCATATACAAATTAAGAAGTTAAACTCACTTGAGTTATAATACTTTCTTTAAATATGCGTTTGTCATACTTATATCTTGTGCACTTCTCCATAGTGTCATTTCCTACATTTATATAGCACTTCATTATCGTAGATTCATTTGTCGCAGACATTGGTGCGGCACATGAAAAATTAGTTGGAGGTGCGAGAAATATAATTGAAAGTTGATGCCAAGCGACTGGAAATTTTACAAGGGAAAGTGCTATGGCTATTACAATGTGCCATGGGCCCATCACACCCATAGCATTTTGTACTACATCAAATTTGAGGTGTTCTGAAAAGAATACCTTGTTTCAAATCCCTAAAATATTAGGACAAAATTCTATATATTAACAACAATGTAACATTTTCCGAGATGAATCTCCTAACGCTCCGACCAGCCCTCCTTGAACTACACTATTAGACGCGTCTTTCTCGAAACCGGTTTTTTAAAAGTGAATGGATGAATTCCTTAGTAGAAGTTATATCCACCTAAATAATTAATATATCTTAATCAATTTGACAGGAATATTGTTTCAAATATATACTTTTAACGTATGTTATAGATATTTATATTTGCCATTAAGTATCTCGGAAAAAAATCTTCAAACAACGTTCAAGAAGTAAATTGTTAAGAAGTAAATGTTTTTAAATTATAGAGCATGGAGCTCAAATATTTTCCCAGGCGCATCGGATCCCTTCGAACAACATTTTTCTATGAATGAGAACTGTTTAATATAGTTATATCGCTTCAGTGATACGTTTCGTCGTGAAATAAACAAATCATAAAAGCAACTTTGATTAAACAATCTTCAAATAACGTGCCGAAGTGGAAATTGAATATTTCGCGTGCGTATCGCGTTGGTGCAATTTAAGCCGCGCGGTCAGTACCGCAAACTTGAATGTATATTTAGATTTGGTCGCGTTTCAAAAGCTAAAATGAACAAATGTAGAACCACACCAAATATATCGACTTACCTTTCATCGCCCTTTCAAGCATTATGTCCACGTGTTTCTATTGTAACTTTACTTCGATGTGTCCAGTTTCTGTCGCTGCACAAAGCTACGCATATCTCGAAACTTTCACCACTTTCGCATTAAGAGCCTCGAGCTGACTAAAAAAATCTTAAACACTACTCTCTGTTTTAACGATCTATGACAAGAGATCCCAGAATAAGCGACGTACATCACACACGTAGATTTAAAGTGACTCAACTAAAAAAAAAATTTTTCAGAGAGGGCAAGACTATCTATGATAAACTCACAATTCATAAATATGCATACGTTTCAAATATGATTTCGTTTGAAATTTTAAAGGTGATGAATAGTCATGAATATATCAATAATATTAATATTATTATTATTAATATTATTAATATTATTGATGAGATGCAGAATGAAGTCAACATTCAATGGAAGTTTGAATTTTATCAATTGTCACAGTTTGTTGTAAAAACGAATGGAACTTGTTACATTACAGAAATCTAAGAATAGATAAAACTTGAAATACTTTTGTAACGATACTAAACTATCATTAGCAGCTGAGCAGAATAACTCTACAGTGTACACTCGGTTTAAATGAGTACGTTCATATTGTCAGGCCTGCAGGGTACGTACGAACCGCAGTGTGCTAAACTCACTGACTGAAAAAAATAGAAGGTTAGCAACCCAGATATTAATATAGGAAACAAGAATTCTATTTTCTGCGTTAAAACAAGATGCCTTGATTTCATTTCTTACATTTGACAGTATAAAAACAATCACATTGACGCGAAACAATAAATAATATTAATCATACAACTAGAAAGTATAAAAATATCTTCTGCACTACGGGCGGGTATTTATTTTGTAAATGCAAATGAGCTGAGTACTTTACTCGAAGATCGTTTCGGTTCATTTTGTTCATTCTCGGAACTCAATTTCCTTTTCTTCGGTTCGGAAGAACTGTTGTTTTGACGAGCTGCATCTTTTTCCTTGTATCTTGCCAAAGCAGTTTTTGTCAAATCTGTGGGACTCAATTCGGGAAATTCTTCCTGTAAGCTTTTCTTGTTTTTAGCATACCAACCAACAAATGTCTCTTTTTTAGGTCCATCTTTCGGCTCTTTTGTCTTCGATTTTGCTGGTGCAGACATTGGCGTTGTTAACTTCAGGGATTTGTCTGGGGTAATGTCTAAACCAGCCAATCCTGTTGGATTTAATAACCATTATGAATTCGTCTTGAATGGAAAAAGTAAAATATAATGACGATACCTTTTGTTGCTGGAGAATTTCCGCTCTTCAAGAATGGGTTACTTCTTTTCATTGATAAAGCGTCAGCCATAGATAACGGCTTAATTTCTACATCTGGTTTTTTCTGAATGGTTAACGAAATCGTAGGTTCTTCGATATCATTATTTAGAAACTCATCATCACTTTTAATACCATCTGTATTAGTATCCTGATTTTCTTTTTCCTTCTCTTTTTCTTCTTCTCTCATGTCGGCAATTGATTCTAATTTATTTGACAAAGCAACTCGATTTATTCTTCGCGCGTACTTGATCGCCAATTCTATGACTTTCTCGGATGCGATTTGCTCGCATAGTTCTATTGCTCGATAATCCAAATTATTTCGGCAAGCAAGCTAATTAAATAAAATGAATAAATACAGGTACTTCTCTAAATTTTATACGAAAATATGAGAATAAAATGTACCGCGAAGAGAGCCAATACTGCTTCATTTTCTTCTGAAGGATTGCTTCCCAATTTCCATAATTTTAATTCATTTTCTGATTTTTCGCTTTGACGTTCGCAAAGCGGCGGAACTATAGACACTTCAACGATTACAGGACGCGGAGTAGTTGGCGGATAATGACTTCCTTTACATAAAATACAGCGAACGATGCTTTCTTTTTCACTTATTCCGATTACGAAGAAATGATCTGCTTTGCCCTTAGACTAATTTAAATTCATTAATTAAATATATAATATATAATGCTTATAATGCAATATAATTGTTACCTGTTCATCTATATCAGAGTTAACTTTCCACAGAGACGAATTTTTATTATACACTTTAATAACATCATCTGTATCCATTACAGCAGGAGATCCAAGATCAGTAAGTCCTAACCATATAAGTTCTGATAAAGGTGATAATGGAAGAGGCAGTGTTCGACTACGTAATGTTAGACCACAAATTTGAATCCACAATAAACTCATACACTGATCACCTGATGCTCCTATTTAAATATTTTTATCGTATCGTAAAGTTGTTGAACAAAATTAAAGAAAAATAAATAAAAAAAAGGAGCACCTATTCCATTATGATAAGCAATTACTAAAGCATTTTTAAGTCCATTCATTGCAATTACAGAACCTGGCAAGGCTATGATTTCACGTTGAGTGCCTCCTACCGTAAAAATTCTTAAATTTCTCCTAGATGTTGCAAGTGCTACAAAGTTATCCCCAGCAGCAACGCAATGTCCTTCCTCATCTTCAGGAAGATCTACAAACCATTCCTTGTTCCCAGAACCCCAACCTATTTTCAAATGAATTATTATCATTTTTAATTGACCTAATTAAAATTCATTACATGTAGGACAAACCTTGTAATGTTATTACAACAAGCTTGCTGTTTGTATCGTCGCTCGATGGACAATTCAATGCAAGTGCTTGAGGTGATAAAGCTGCTATTGTATGTCTTAAATAATTATTAATGTGCATACTACGGTGGATTGTTACATCGTGAAATTCAACTTCAATACTAGACTCATCTCCATCTTCAGAAGTGAAACACCTCACCATACCAGTATCATTCCAGACCTATATAAATTCATAATACTTTTAATGACCTCTGTAGTATCTTCTAAACACAGATATACTAATATTTTATCCGAATAAAATATTACCATGAAGCGAGATAACAAATGTACGGGAGAGGAGCCAGGTTGAAATGGTGGTTGTAAGTGAACTTCGGGTGTAAAGATATTCGCATCGCGTTGTTTTACAGATTCTACATCGGAATGACTTTTTTGATCATCTTCGAGATCTACGGATGCTTTAATTTTATTTATAGATATAACATTGTCTCCATCATCGTCTTCATCATCTGGCACGCAGACGTCATTTTCTTTAATATCGCCATTTGTTTCTGACTTTTCTTCACTGCTTGATGGAATTTCACAAAATATCTAAATAAACAAGAAAATAAATGAATAAGTTGTACAATACTAATAATAATACACATATTATTAATATACTTACAACATCAACACATCCTAATTGACCTAAAGAATCACAAAATGCAATTTCATCTGGCTCATCAATATTCCAGCATAATGAAGTAATTTTAGCATTTTGTTGGTGGTCAATATAACCAATTAAGTTTTTAGTTTTAACACTCCAAACAATTATTTCTCCAACTACAGTGCTTGCAGCTAATAATGTGCCACATTCAGAGAATTTACAAATACTAATATCCTGTATTAAAAATGAAAACATTATGAAATATTTATTATTTAGTTTACTTCCTTAAATAATAAACTTAAATGAAAAACTTACGTTTTTTATGTTAATGCACTTTAAGCGAAACAATTCCTTCCAAGAAGATCTTTCCACTACAACTACATCTTTCATATGGGGATATGCAAGGTAACTTCCATCCTTAGCTTGAAATGAAGGCACACAGTATGCTTTTGCTGTAAAAAATGAGTTACATTTTGGTACAACATTATGCCAAATATTTACGACATGTTTATCTTTGATATTCCACACTCGTATTGATCCATCCGCACTTGAGGATGCCTAAAAAAAATATTTCATGCTATTACTACTTAATAAATATGAACTAGAAAAATGAATAGCAAAATATATATAAATATACTTTACCACAAACTCTTCTTTAGGATCCAATGATAAACCTAATATAGGAGCTTCATGGCCTACGAGCTCTGTGTTAGATGATGTTTCAATATCAGTGATTTGTATTCTCATATCGCTTTAAAATAAATAACATATTAACATATCAATATAACATTATTGAAACAAAGGGTATATATTACATACCAAGATCCAGACACTATAATATTGCTTTTCTTTGTTGTTGCTAATGCTGATACAGGTGCTGAAAATCTAGTAACTATTCCTTCTTTTTCCAGATCTGGATAATTAAGGATTTGAACTGTATTATTATCATTACCCACAAATATTTGTCCATTCTGTAATTATTTAATTATTAACAAATTTATAAGGAATTATTTACCAACAACCTTAATAAATGTTTTTAATAATATTTAATAAGAATTTATACCTTTGATATTACTGATATAGATTGCTCTGAAACACAGCTTGCAGCTGGATCATCGTCCATTAAATTTAACCAGAATCGAACATCTCCATCAGATCCACAGGTAACAAGGCCTTTTCTAAAATATAAATAAGATTAAATCATATCTTACCTCCAGAAGTACTCTTTTCGTTTTTTATTCTTTTCTAGTGTGTCAACATTTTCAGGATTTTTTTACTTGTTCTTAACAAAATTTAGTATATACTGCAATTAAAAATCTTAAGCCAAATTCTATTATGTATTACACAAAAACAACAATTAGTACTTGAAATGTCAACAGACTGTACTATTAAAGAGTTTAAAACAATGTTTTTTTTTATCGATATATTTTTACTTACTTCTCACCAGTAAAATAACAAACATCTGTGTGTCCTTCTGGATGTGCATAACGCATAGGTTTTTTTATCAATGGCATCTTTTAAACAAATCTCTGTAACGTGTATTTATACAATAACTAACTTTACGAATCTCGCATCGCAAACCTGTCTCCCTTTTTACACATATTTTGGCGCGCATTCTCGATTATTTCTTCGATCAAAAATTCTACAGATTCTATACTTATGTATCATAAATAAGTACTATCTCTTGATTTCAATTTTTATCGCGATCATGTTTCTATTTCTCAATTTATTCTTATGTAAAGATAAAGTCTACCTAAAATAAAATTATATTTACAAGTGCAAAGGGACATAATAATTTTGAGAACAAATTTGTTACATTGCTGATAGATAAATTTAATCATGGTCAAACGATTTATATACTCGATATAAAAAAGATAATGTTATAGCTTTAAAATGTTTTTGGAAAACGTAAATGATGTTACATTTTGCATAATGATATAAAAATAAATGAAATAAAGCGTGGATATTCTAGTAAAATAAAAAACTATAGAAATACTTCTAAAACAGTCACTAATCTAGGGAATTTATTAGTGTTAGAGCATCGTTCTGAAGCACATGATAAATTCTGTTTCTGCTACTATGTTCTGTACGTTTGATAGCAGACGCAGCCTTTTCTAGGGTGGCCGAAGGTGCAATGAGGAGTTTGTAAATTTCGTCGTTATAAGATTTAAATTTGTATAATAGAACGATCATGATTTCGAAGGCTGCAGTCGGTATCGCCGTTGGCATAGCTGGAATATTCGTTGGATATTGCTTTTATTTCGATCAAAAGCGTCGCAGTGATCCAGATTTCAAAAAGAAATTGCGTGAGCGTAAGTCATGCCATAGTTTTATTGTCTCGATAGAAATTGTTCTGAGCCATGTGATGTGTGTACATTCGATTTTATCTAAGAACACGTGCAGTATGTATGAATCATTCCAACAACAACGATAACTAATATGAAATGATTAATTTTACGTAAAACTCAAGAATTCAGTGATCCAAATTTAAGAATAATATTTTAACGTGTGATTTGTATGTTGTAACACTATTGTTTTGTACTTATAGGTAGGAAAGCTAAGAAGCAAGCTCAAAAAACTAGTTCAAAAATTCCAAACTTAAAAGATCATGAAGTTGTACAAAGATTTTTCTTACAAGAGGTTAATATGAAATATTGTATTTCAGTTGTGACATGTTAAAATCTTTAAATTGTTGTTGTTAAAATGTATTGTAAATGTTATGTAGGTCCAACTTGGGGAAGAAATGCTTACGTATGGCGATATAGAGGGTGGAACTGAACATTTAGCAAATGCAGTTGCAGTTTGTGGGCAACCTACACATTTGTTACAAGTTCTTCAAAAGACACTGCCACCACAAGTTTTTCAACTTTTATTGCAAAGACTACCAGCTATTGGTCAGGTATGTATTTCACTTGAACTATTCAATAGAGAAACGGATAAGAGAAATTTTTCTTTTTTGCTTATTGTTACAGAAGCTAGCAACTCAGGCTACAATGACTGAGGAAGATGTTGAATAAAACAATATAAAAATTGCGTTGAGTAATTAAAAATAAAATCTAATCATTAGTAGAAAGTGTATACTTTTTTTGATAATGTAGACATTTGCGTGGCTTCAACTTGATCAAGCCTTTTAACTGTATCTCTTGTTCTCCTTGATTGAACTTCCATACTCCTTGATAATTATGTATAAATAATCAACTAAAATCGTGATATAATCATATGCATTTAAATTTCAAATGGAAAGAACTTTTGTATTAAGTTGTTAAATATAAAGTCTTCGTTTAAAAATCGCATTAGCTACTTCAATATTTTGACTGCCACAATGAGTATTCGTTATATACATATAAAATAATTATGTTGCAAAGGCAGCCAAATATGTACATCACATAGAACATAGAAAATTCTCTAGTCACATAAGATTTCCTTTATCACATTATTTGATATGACTGCAATAAATTAATCATATTAAGCTGTTCCATGATTTTTAAGAAAAGCAGAAGTAGAAAAATTAATTAAGGAGTATAATAATTGATCTAATCCTAATCACTAACAACACGTTTGGTCTTACAGAAATTTCAAAATAATTTTATATATCAGTTGTAACATATTCAAACATAATAATCCTGCAATAATGAATTCATGGAAGATGTGATCTTAAAATCGTATATCTTTTCCCTTGAAGCATTTACAAATGGTTACAAAAATACTGTTATGACTAAATATATTTTATAGGATTTGCACAAATCTATGCAAATATGTATTCTACCTTGTGAATATAAAATTGATATCCTTGTAATAGATGTACCATCTTAAACACAGACGCATACATGACATTATTTTAAACGGTACTCACTAGCATACTAAACTCTTTATAATTATTTTTTTTATAAAGAATATTCTATTCTTGTAAAGCTAAAAATAATAAGCAAGAATCATAGTTTCTATCAAGCAGAAACGATTTTATTAAAATCTGTATTATCCAAAAACAAATTGAATCCTATTAATAAAAGAAAAAAATAAGTTCAATAATACTTCATTGTATTTATAATTTCTTATGTATGTAGTATAATAATTGAATTGTTTATAGGAAAAGGTTTAAATATAATAATAATAAAAAAATAACAATTTATTTTACTCTTTTATTAATGCATTGTGGAATTAGAAACATAAACAAAGGCTATGTAGGTTTTGAATTTGAATTCAATAAAGCAGACCTGTGAGTGTCTTTTCAAATTATTTTATAATATATTATTCTTTTTACTCCCTTTAGTTTCCCACACTATACAATAGCATCTATATCTGTACATAATGTTTATATATAAAGAATATTTTTTGTATAAATTGTCAACGTATAAATAATTGCTACAATAGTTCAACCAAATATTAACAAATTTATATATTCATTTTTACGTATATAGTATTTTATAAAGATATCTCATTGTAATACTATGTACTAGTATAAAACAATTAGTTTTCTTGACAATGATCTTTGTTTCTAAAACAATAGATCTGTATGTACATTTATGGAATAGATTCAAGCACTACTGTTACATTCATAATTTTATTAAAAATGTGAACCATACACATTATGAACTATTATGTACAGTTTAACATTCTGCATCACTTCAAAGTTAAAATATGGCAGTGTATGTCATGTATTCAAATTGTGTTCAATAGTAGCCCATTGACTGCACACCCTCTAAGAAAGTAGTATTAAATCTACTCACACATTGCAGTCAATGATTTAATAGGTTGTCTACAATATATTTATACTTAAAAACAAATGTTAGAACACATTTTTACAGTGATAAATGGAGTAAAATTTTAAAAAAAAATGTACAGTTTCAACTACAATTATTAAAATGGAAGCAATAGTATGAGACCATAAATAATATAATGAAGATGATAACTATTAGACAAAATGTACAATAATTAGTATGGAGTTTTTCATATGCTACAACACTTGATGTTTTATATTAATGATGAAATATGATCCTTCATAATCGTAATTGTGATTTGTACTACAAATCGAACTGATTGCTGTAAATTGTATTTAATGATTCCCGACGTTTTTTCATCATCAAGAAAAACTAATTTTTGCCTTAATATATACCAATGCTATTTTGTATTCAAAATTTCACTTCTGGCTTCCGTCATAATATCGAGAGCATTTTTCTCTATAAGACTTTCTGCAAGATCCTTACCAAGGTTTTCGGCGATCATAAGACTTATACTGCTTACTTTGCCAGGTGCAATGCTACAGTAAAGTTGTGGTTCTCGATATGGACATTTTCTATAATATAACAAACAGAAAGCATATCAATAAGAGTCATTGTATGAACGTAATTATGTATAAACGTATTTATGTTTACTCACTTTGGGGGTTCTCCATCATCATCAGGTATATATAGCATATTTTTAAAGGTATTTTTAACAAGCTTTTGTCCATCTAATGACCATACTGCACCAGTAATAGTTAGTTGCTTTTCTGCTAATATCGAAGAAACGGCAACTGGTGCTGAACAACCACCACCTAATGTTTTAAGGAAGGAACGTTCACATACACATCTTAACGTTGTATTTACATCGTATAATGGTTCCAAAAGAGATAATATTTTCCAATCTGATTCCCGACATTCAACTCCTAGCGCACCTTGTCCAACAGCATACAATACCTCTTCTGGTTCTAACAACTATAAATATTAAAAAACTATTTAAACAAGACTGTAAAGAGCTATTATTCCTTTAGCTATGCGTTTATGTTCAGTGTCGTAAGATACACACAGCTGACCAAATATTTAAGGTCAACCATGTCATTAATCGTAACTCGTCGCTAATGATAGTACACATTTTCATTAATACCTTATAACACCTTTCACAAATACAGATGAACATGTACACATAAAATTTACGCAGCTAAAGGGATTAATAATTACAATTAAAGTTGTAATAAAAATTACCTGACTTATTCTATCATCCCACTTCATTCTTTTTAAACCAGCTGCTGCTAAAATAATAGCTGCAAAAGGTCCGTTTTCGTCATCCAATTTCTTTAACCTAGTATTTAAATTACCACGAATGCTTTCTACTTTTAAGTGTTTCATGTTTCTGGCTAATTGAGCTGATCTACGCAATGAACTAGTACCAATAACACTACCTTCTGGTAAGGTAGCTAAGGTCTTGCCTTTGTATTTTTTAGACATAACAACTGCATCGCGTGGATCTTCTCGCCTGTAATGATATTTCTATTACAATATAGTGCAAAAAAGTAGGCATTGTGGTATACCAACGTAAAGTAAGAAATCTATTGCATTCAACATTGTTTAGGCAAAAGGTTACTACGTCAACAGTACGCAGATTGCATATGTAAAATGTTCCTTTCATGAATATGATAATTGTATTGCAAATTTAAATTTCAGATACACTGCCTACCATTTTAGGATATCAGAACATGGACAGCATGTTAAACTATAGCAAGTTAATTTTACTTCTTACTTACTTTAATATTGCACCTAAAACCATTCCTTCTGGTAATGCTGTTGGTAAATCTTTTAATGAATGTACTAAAAAGTCAACATGACCATTTTCTAATGCAAGCTCCAATTCTTCTGTAAATAAAGACTTTTCTCCAATTTTGGGTAATGGTTTATCCAAGATTTTATCCCCTTTTGTAGACATTGTAACTGCAAATTACATATAAATATTTTCATTAGTTGAAACTCAATTAAAGTTTATTAAAAGCTTAATAAGAAAGAAGCTATTAAATTTATTTTAAAATAAAAATATGTTAAGAAAATTATATATATATATATAGTATATCTTATGTAAGCTTATAAATGCATTTTTGTAGTTATATTTTCATTTATAAATTATATAAGAGTTCTTAGCATATATATATATAATTGCAATATTAAAATTGTGTAAAGTAATAGTAGTTATTGATAATTATATTGCAAACATTTTTATACAAATAATTTTTAACATTATGGCAAAGAAATTTTTAATACTCTCTTTTACATAGAATATTAAATAGTTTTATATTTCTATGTATAATTCTACTTACCTATTTCAAATTCCTTTGACGGATGATACTCTTTCAAACAATCGATCACATATCTTGTTTGAATTAGAGCTAACTGAAATAATCATATGTTCACAATTACTATAAAGTCATTAACTTGTATCTCTATTAAAAATATCTCTATTATTTTTCATTACATCAAGAAGACAAATTAATGATATAATTAACAGATCATCACAAGATAATAATATGTAAGTATCTGTTGATACATGACATTTTGCATACAATATTAGATTAAAAGGTGCTGAGTAATGGAGAATTGAAAAGTTTCAATCACAGAATTCTACAAATCATGCAGTATTTTTTTGCGCATGACATAACTTTTCAATTATTAAGCTAAACTTAGCCGTACTTTATGGTGATTAGAAGGAAAATATTTTCATTATATTACGTACTTTCTCAAAATAAAATGGAGCGCACTTATCTATTCGTTAATACTATTATCATTGTTATTAAGCATATGGAAATCTCAAGATTACGATGTGTAAATAACAGATTATAAACACAACAAAATACTTTCACCTTTCCAAAAAAAATGTAATTGCATATTTACCTCGCTTTTTCGAGATCCGACTCGGATTACGTCACGTGCATCCGTACTCGTCATAATAGCAATTTAAATTTTCGTTAAAGTCGTACGTGGATCACGATGTGTATTCTCATTAATAATTATTATGTAACGGATTTCTCTTATTTTCAAATACACATCATCTCCCAGAGACAGGAGGAACCAAATTAGGTCAAAGCACGATCAACTTTCACTACATACACTTACAAATTCTTCCCAGTGGCACGTACAGTAATTTCAATTTAACGTATGATGAAACAAATATATTTCAATATTCACGACAGATAATGATAAAGGACGATTTTACGTTTATTTCACAGTTACTGACACTGCAGTAGAACGTGAAATTAGTTATGTTAACGGATATAACAATGCTACATCCTTATGCATGCCATTCTCTTAGCACGGGAAACACTGAATACAGTCATGCACAGCACAGTACAACTGCGAGGTGTCAACCTGCGTGAACCACCGCCTGAAAGGCACTGAATTGCACTGAATCAGAATCACACTGAATCAAGTCACTGATGTCACTGATACACCGGATACGCGTGTGGTCAAAACTGGAAAACCTGATAACGTACCAGTCGGTATTGTCGAGCATGAGTTGAAACGTATTTTAATGCGCATGCGGTTGAAATATTCGTAAAATTTCCTTCTCAAAGTTAAAACTTCATAAAATTTCATTATTGTACAATAGTACAGTTTTTTGTATATTTGGGAGTTCCTACTCTCATAGAATATTACAACACGTTCTGTTAATTAGTACGTATTCTTTATTGCGAATGTTAGCTTTGAATATTTTTTAAATAAATACATAACATGTAATTTACATTTTAAAATGCGTATATACAACTAGATATACTTATTGGTCGATTCTTAGCAATATACAATTTAAAAGTAAACTTATCAGATTAAATATTTTCATATTTTGTATAGCCTCGATAAATATAAAACGTAATTTTGAAGCACGCTTCTTCATGTATAATGTTGTCAGTATATTTTCAGTATTAAGAATTTCATTTGAAAAATATATCGCATACAAAATTCTTCATAGAAAAACAGCCACGTGTAACCATTGCACGCGCAAGTATAAATTTTAAAATTGCTACGTTAAATTTAAAATATTTTTCTTATCGACGCTGACTAGTTTGTATAGTAATATGAAAATAAAATAATAATAATGCATTTGCACTGCTTCCGAAAATAATATAAAAATAACATTGTACAAATCAATACAATTTTAAATAAAAGACATAACACTTAAATTATATGCATGATACTTGGATATTGTACATATTGCACAGGCGTAAATTATACATAATTCTCGTATGTATTTAAAAATATTATCTATAATGTGTCAACAATTCATTTCAAACACTGGTGTAATTTATTTTAGTTTTTAATTAAAAGTTGCGATCACTCGTCTATATTATTAAGCATAAATAAAATAATTAAAATACTGATTATGTGGATTGTGAATTTTATAGCGACGTTTAATCTTAACATGATAGAAAAGCAATGAATTTAATTTACTACTTCTATTCTTGTATTAAGAAGCTTATTGTAATATACAACCGCTTTCATTTTTTGGATCCTTAGTACTCTGGTGAACTGCATCTTCTTTAACAGGAGGTAAATTTTGCTCTTTTTCTGTTTTTGCAGCATTCAAACCAGATAATGTTTTATACGTGTCTATATTCCATACTGGATGATGAGATTGCATTTGAAAATCAATAGGACTCACTAAACCAAAGGTAGCTTTCGTATCTAATACTGGAACTTCTCCTGGTATTGTGTGATGATAACTGTTGAATAAAAATTATGATGAAAAATTCCATTACATACATGCACTTATCTTCTACCTTAGATGCGTGTAATACTTACATTAAACCGTTTTCTCGATTACATTTATCAAGAGTCAGCTTCACTATAGGTGCTAACCGTTTAAATACAGCATGTTGATCTGGTTTTACCTTGGGTGCTGGTCCATTCATTTTTCCATATTCTTGACATAATAATTTAGCCTTCTTTAAACAAGTTTCACTTTCTTGTAAGGCTTTAATTGCTTCTCCACATTTATCCATTGCTAACAAATTCTCACCACAATAATTGTAGGCCTGTAAAATTAAATTTTCTAACAAATTGATTTTAATTCTTCAGTTCTTTGTATTATTACACTTACGTAAGATTGATAAAAAGCTGCTTTGAACTCTAAGTATTTAATCCACTGAGCTGATATTTCTGGTTTAAATGGACGTAGTGTATTAGCAGCATCCAAAAATAATTTGCTTGTTTCATTAGCCAAAGCTGATATCAAGCTAGCATTATGTTTTAATTCTACTGCTCTGGCTACTGTTACTGTAATACAATACAAGTGAAAATATGCATTCATTAGACAGTGCAATAACATAGTATAATAATTTTATACATTACCTTCTTGTGCTTCTGCTGTACATTGATTCACATATGCGTTCAATATTCGTGGATCTAGGTCACTTCCTAATGGTGGAGGATTTGCCAATTGTGGCAAAAATTCTGTTTGTACAAAAGTAAATATTCCTGCAGCCCTTCTAAGCATTGTATGCACATCTTTTGCTTCATTCATGCTTATGCTAAATTATAGCATTACTAGATGATATTTTTTGTAATGATATTCATTTGATTACTAAGAAAATGTTCATCTTATTTTTTATACTTACTCATCTTTAGCAGCAATCATTGCAGCATGTTTCATAAACCAAAGTCCTATATTCACACTCATATTAGCTGCTTCATAAACAGAATCAGCACTGGAACTTCAATTTAAACATATGTTACTTTAAATGATTGTACAACAAATTTGAGCATACCCCATATAAATATATATATATATATATATAATATATTACTAAGTGTTTGTTCCCAATAATGTATGTGTCCATTTATACACAAGAACATTTCTAAGTTTACTGGGATTGGGCCTGCCAACATGTTGATTTTGTTCTGCGGATGAATTTATTTCCCATATAAATCCATATAATAAACTTAAATAACTATGGAATGCTGGTTCTATAGAGTCACTCGAATTATTTGGATTTTTTATCAAGTCTAAAAGACGATATCTTGACAATCTCAAATCGCTGAAAAATAACAATGCCAAATAAGTGTGTGCTATGAAAGATAATAATTAATTCATATATAGGTAGCATAACTTTTTTGTAACGTAATAATGTTTTATGCCTACGTTTTTATAATTTTACATAAATTAACGAAACAATAACTCTTCTAATGTACACCAAACATACGAAAAATTAAATGCGTTCAATTTACTATTCTTATAAGTGACTAACCTGCATAGTTTCCTTGTAGCATCGGTAGAATTACTTATTTTAAAATCAAATTTTTGGTTTGTCGTTGCTTTTAACACGTTACGATGAAACCAATGTGCCATTTTGTTAAATTAAAAATCAAATAATACCTGTTAACAATGAACACTTAATTTCAAACTGTTCGTTTTGACAGATAAGACGAATCAAGGTAAAGTGGATAACATAACACAGTACAGTATGTGACAGTAACGCTATAGCAACGAAAGATATTCTACTTTTTAAAAAGATATGAGTGGGTTGGAGTAGATCGCGTAATTGTTCACACACATTCGTGCACTTCCGACTCGTGTGTAAGCGTGTGATCGAGTGTCGATCGTTGTTTAATATAGTATAAAAGGTAAGGATTAAACAATCAATTATCTTTTGTCATGTATTAATAAATAATTAACAAAGTGTATGTCATTATCGAAGCAACAACGTTATTGTGATGAATTTACCATATTTGTTATCTAACCTATACAATTCGAGTACAATTCGCAATATGTGAAAAAGTCTTTGCATTTAAATAATTTTATCTTTTATATTTGTAAATCAATTGTACTCCAGTCACTTGATAATTTGTCTAATTCTCGTCGTACGTAAATACTATCGATCATAATGTCCTTCAATGACACTGGTAGTTTATCTATCAATTGATTAAGTTTTAATCTATCAGAGGAAGACTTAATCAACAGATTTTTGTTACGTGATTTTATTAATATTATATAATACAATGATCTTTCAAGTATTGTAGTAAAATTGTATTGGAATTACAATTTGTTAATGTTCATTTCAGATGGGTGAACCTTCAGGATTAACAAATAGTGAAGCGAGGGAACTTTGTAAGGAACCTGATCCTGCAACAAATGGATACATTATGCAACAAACAATGTATCGTATTAAAGATCCAAGAAAATCATTACCTTTTTATACCAAAGTACTCGGTATGCATTTATTACAAAAACTTGATTTCCCTGAAATGAAATTCTCTTTATACTTTATGGGATATGAAAATCCAAAGGATATACCTACAGACAGAAGAGAAAGTATTGAATGGACATTTACCCGCAAAGCCACTATAGAACTTACTCAGTATGTTGAAGAATTATATAAAATCACATACTATATGTTTTAATGTTTAAGAGTAGAAGTAATTTTGTTAATTTCCTTTTAGTAATTGGGGAACAGAAACTGATCCTGATGCTAAGTATCATAATGGAAACACTGAACCTCGTGGATTTGGTATGATATTTGTAATATTATATAATAAGGATGGAGATACTAGTTTAATAAAATAGTTGTAAAATGTGTGTCCTTAATGTACAGGTCATATTGGAATCACAGTACCTGATGTTGACAAAGCATGCCAAAGATTTGAAAAACTAAATGTAGAGTTTGTGAAGAAACCTAATGATGGTAAGATGAAAGGAATTGCCTTTATTAAAGATCCAGATGGCTACTGGATCGAGATCATGAGTGGATCCAATGTTGCAAATGTAGTACTAAATCATTAATGTATTTTATACAGAGTAATTTTTTTGAGTCGCGTAAAATGTATCGATTTTATTAAACACTAAACAATTAGAGGTAATATCAAACAATCAAATATATATGTATGCATATGTGTATATATAAAGTTAGCAGAGTTGAGCATTAATTAACTAATTCTTTTTAATTAATCGAATATATAATGCAATGCGATAATTGATCACGATTAACGTTAGTTAATTTCTGAAATTATTTAATCGTGATTCTTGACGATTAAATTAATCATTAATTAATGGTTATTCTTTAATGATGTCACGTTGAATATTTTCTTTATTACTTTTTTTAACTTTTAAAATAAGTCTTCAGAGATATATTTTTAAATAAAATGTTAAAATTTTCGATATTTTCGACTTAATACTATTAAAGAATAGCCATTAATTTAATCAATGATGATTAATTTAATAAACCAAAAATTAGATTAATTCAATGATTTTTCTATATAAATAATATGCAGCATCAGAGAAATGAATGATTAATTTAACTGGCAATCGTCGTGGGCTTCGTCGTAGGGATTCGTCACTATCCATTTCGATCATAATTAATTTAATTTTGTCTAACACTGGTATTAAGATTGTAATTACTTTTATTTATGTGCACTATATTTTATAGCACCTGTACATTCTTATATGACATCGTGTAACATATATAATTTATATATAATGTAACATCTACATGCTTTTTGGTAAATAAAATCAAAATATTTATTTTTCAATTATCATTGTTTTTATGAATACATGTTTAAATCTCTTTTTTTAAATTTATTTCTATATAGTTCCATTGTTTATTATATAGTGACTATAAGAACGATTATTGCGCGTGTAGTGGAATATCTCATACTACAAAGCTGTGTACAGAGAGTTCCTAGTTTCTAGGCTCCTAGGTATTTTAGTGTATACAACAGAGAAATGTCATATCGCCGTATATGACTTTTAATTTTGATAAAACTATGTATAGCCGCTTGTATTTGTTATAAGTATTACTTGCAATAGTACTTTGTGATAATTGTTTTTTACTTACAACGTTAATATATCGTTTGTCTCATAAATTTCAATGATCATCTATTATATTGAGGTTAGGTTTCAGGCCGCAGTATGAAGTATACACATCTATTAATTATTTATTTAAAAATTATATTAGAAATAGTATCGTCGTTTTTATTAAAGTGACTTACAAACAAAAAATTAAATAAATAAAAAAGATATATTATATAAATATATGACATTTTAAATATCATTTACGTCTTTCTGTTTAGTATGGTAGAAGATAAAAAATATGAACTTGGCAGCCGAATTGAGTGTGATGAACATCAGGGTACATTAAAATATGTTGGTCCTGTTGGCAATACGAAAGGTCAGTGGCTTGGTATAGATTGGGATGATCCAACTCGTGGAAAACACAATGGGACATACGAAGGAGTAGAATATTTTAAAGCTAGGTAAAATCATATAAAATAATAATGTGTAATTATTTACAATAGTTAATCTTTACATTACAATAAATTATCCTATTTCCTCAAATATATCACAATGTTGTTGAGATTGATGACATTAGTGCTATTGTAAATAATTACCATATCTTACCATGTAGCAGTTAAATTAATAAACTGTTTTGCTTGTTGTAACCAGACATCCTACTTCTGGTTCATTTATACGCCCAGGTAAAGCAAAATTTGGAATCTCTTGTCCACAAGCTATTAAAATTCGTTATGGTCTTATTGATGATGAATTAGCGGGTATAGATAGGGATACATTGACAAGCTTACAAAAGGAGATTAATGCTCCTTTCTTGGAAGTTGTTGGTTTTTCTAAAGTAAATAGGAAACAAAGTAAATTTGACCAATTAAAAATAGTGTGGCTGAGACAACAATGTGTCAGTACTGCTGGTAATCCTGATGAATTAAAAGAATTGTGTCCAAATTTGGAAGAATTAGATATATCTAGAAATTTAATAAATAGCTGGCAAATTGTAGCAGATATCTGCTGCCAACTTCATTCTCTTATTCGCCTCAATGTCAGGTAACCTAATTTATTAAGTTTATTTATAACAGATGATTGTGATTCTCATTGCTGTATACTTCCATTCCTTTATTCAGTGAAAATTATTTACCAATTGAAGAAAATATGGAAGTACTAAGCAATTCATTTTCAACTGTTCAACATCTAACCATGGCAAAAATGAATTATAATTGGCTTGATATTCAACAATGTATGAAAATGTTTCCATCTCTTCAAGAAATATCAATTTCTTTCAATATTGTTGACACTATACAGAAACCATTAGAGGATGACAACCTCATGAAAATACGTAAACTAACGCTCGAAGGAAATTTAATATCCAATTGGGATGAAATTCTTAAATTGGGTTCACTTTCATGGCAAGTTAAAATTTTTTCAACTGCATATAATTACACATAAATTTTTTGTATGAAATTTATCGATATGTTAAAATATGCAGACTTAATGCGAAGGAGGGACTTATATTGAAAAGTTTCATTTTGCAGCTTAGAATACCTAAATTTAAATTTAAATAAGATAGACAAAATAAGATTTCCATCTGTTGAACCAACAGCAAAAACTCCAACCTTTCCTGCTTTGAGACAATTGCATCTATCGCAAAATAACATATCAGAGGTAAAAATTTACATATATTTATTCTGTATATGTAAATGGTTTTACTGATTATAATACTTTTATTCAAATTTCTAGTGGCAGTCTGTATCCGAATTAGAAAAGCTTCATAATTTAGAAGATTTAAAATTTAGAGAAAATCCAATTTTGAAAGACGAAAATATAGAGACTACGCGTCAGTTAGTAATAGCGAGAATTTCAAATTTACTAATTTTAAATGGCACTGAAATTGTACACGATGAAAGACGAGGCGCAGAATACGATTATTTGAAACTGTATTTACCGAAATGGATCGAAACTGAAAAGGATCCCGAAAAAAGAACTAAATTTATCATCGAACACCCTAGGTACCCGGCGTTGGTTGCAAGTATGTAAAAATAATATTACTAGAAACTTAAAAATGTTAACCTCTTTCATAGTAAATATCATATATTATTTAAAATTATTTTTAGAATATGGAATTTCTGATATCCCATCATTCAAACCAAAAGTGGAAATGGTTTCTAACGTCATAACAGTAGAGTTTCTGTGTCCAGATCATCCAAACCAACCTAGAGGCATTAAAAGAAAACTTCTAAAAGACATGGAAGTTCAAAAAGTCATTGGACTTACGCAGCGGCTTTTCAGAACAGGAGGAAAGATACCATCACTCTCATTTATACAACACAATGTAAGTATTAATTATTTTAAACCATATATATTTAATACAATATGTCGATGTATTTTTGTAGCTTTCAAAAGACGAAATTCCATTGGACAAACCGCTTCAAGAACTGAGCTATTATTCAGTACAAGATGGAGATCAAGTTCTTGTGAGGTGGTGATATGAAATGAATTGTTCATAGATATAATTGTATTTTGTACACTGTTAAAATTTCATCACCGTACTTTGTTATTAAACTTTTTTAATTGCACAAGAATATCTTTTGTTCCCTATGTATAATTTTCTAAGGGTAGTTGGTATAATTTAAAAAAAATACTAACTTTAACTTGAAAAAATTGTATATTATTGAAAAAAATATTTCTTATTACAATATTTATGCAAAGATTATTACTTTTTATACTTGCTATAATACAAATAATAGGTAAAGTTTAAATTACGGTATGTTTTTACAGGCTGTATATGATTGAATTTGTCAAATAATGGCACAAAAGATTTGTTACAAATGTAATACAAAATATTCAATTTTGTTGTGATTTTTCTTCAATTTTTCTATATCCTTCTTTCTCAAGTTGTTCTCGTGTTAATAATGATAATCCTAATTGATTTTCGCGAGTAAACGGTTGAGCCATTTGCCGCAACCAACGTTTGCTTATCTGAAAATTGTAATAAGTGATTATCGTATTTCCCTTCCTTCCTTTTTTATCAGTATATTATAATTTACCTGTACAGCTTCTTCAGTCGATAAGTTACATAAATTGTCAGTTAGATGCTCTTGTATCCATTTTGGTAGTTTGCTTCGTTTATCTATTCTTGAAAATCGCTAAAAAATAAATACCGTTAGAGAATCGATCATTAAGAAACTGGCGTGATTTGTAATAATTATTATTACCTTATCTGCAAACACCATTATACCATAGTCAGTTTTACCTCTAATTGCACGCCCAACACATTGTGCCGCGTGTCTCATGGCATCGAAAGTTAAGAAATCATTTTCTCTAATCTGCGAGAAATATTAAAAATATTTTTTATAACCTCAATACATATACTTCATAACAAGCTGTAATATAATGTAATAATTTACTTGAAATTGATCACGAAGATATTCTAAACGTGCTTTTAAAATTCGTGATTGGGTATATACATAAGGAATTCCAAACATGAGAACAGCTCTTCCTAAATGATGGTCAAAATCAACTCCTTCCGAAACTTTTCCTCGCGCTACCGAAAGAAGGACAGCACCTCTGCCATTCTCACAAGCCTTTATGTAATTTATAAGAGCTAGACTCGTTTCTGCAGAGTCCTGAGTCTCAATAAATAATAACTTATGCCTTTGAAGTTGATCTACGACACCTTGGTCATACCTATAAAAATGAAATATGAAAATAACCTCTTACTAGTATAGTTCGATGAATGTGTACGAACCATGCAGCGACGACAGATTCCATATATAAATACGAGGTGAAAAAGCAAACTAAACCATCGGGAACAGTAGCTGCAAATTCAACTAGTAATTGGCCATAGTTCCGTATAACGGCAACGTCTTCTCTCGTTTCATATCTCGACGATATCGCAACTTGATCGTTACCTTTTGATACGATCTAATATTACAATGAATTAAAATATGTAATAATTATTGACTGCTATTTGAAGGGAATCGATACTAGACTTACCATAGGCAGGAGACATGGTCTAGCTAACGTCATGGTAAAGGATGACATTATGACTGGATGAAAATTCAAAATTTTAGGATACATGTCTAATGGAGATAACGTTCCTGAAGTGATTACTACTGATTGAAACCTATCAAAAATAGGTTTCATTGCGATCGACGAGTCTAAGCAACTGAACTGAAGAACTGGATTTAAAACTGTGGGCGTTTTATCATCAAATGGTTCTACTATAATGGTGAATCCCTTTGTATATGTAGAAACTAATGTTGCAAGATGTGTCACTAAGATTACTGGTGAAAAATCAGTTAAATCGGTTATCTCCATGGTACGTAAAAGAGAGGCCAGTCGTTCAGCGCAAAACCTTAATGGTTTACGTTCAATGGAGACTTTTGTTTGAATATCCCTCAAGAATGCAGCTGGAGATTCTTGTACTACGTGTTGTACACGCAAACGTGTTTTCAAATATTCTATAAAACGTTTAAGAAAACTAACAAAGTGTTCTGCATTTCTTATATTACCAGGTACCACCTCTGAAACAATGTAACGAATAAATAGAATTTACAATTTTTATTATTTTTTTATCAACAAAAATAAGAATTTACCATGTAATATCTCGGTTGGTAAAATTGGGTTTGCTAAAATAATATCAGTTTCCCTTGCAACTTGTGCATCTTTTAATCCTTCTACTAATCTATCGTATTCTTCCTTCAATTTATTTACATCATCTTCTCTCATCCTAAATTACAAATATTATTAATAACTGTGAATGTCATAAAATGTAGCATGTAAAATTTAACTTACTCTGCTACTGTTTTTTCAAGAAGTTGTATATTAGCAGAACCCTTTTCCAAAAGTCTTCTATTTATTTTTACACTCATTGAATCAATACACACATTATCTAGAACAACCTAAATGATTAGAACTTCTTTGACTTCTATTCTATGTAGTTAAAATGAGATATAGTTTACCTATATTATGAGCTTCATCAAAAACTACAACAGAATTCTTACTTAATTCCTTTGATACAGTTTCTGCAATCTTAGGATCTAACAAATAATGGTAACTGTATACCACAATTTGGGCATGTAAAATCTGCAAAATTAAATGTAAAAGTTAATGCATATAGTGTACAATTAATTTTCAGAAATACTTACTGTAAACCTTGCAAGAAAATATGGACACCAATTACGATCTTTCCCATATTCCTTTAAATCGTCAATAGAATATATGCCTGGAGGCATCATTTGTTCTTTGCCTTCCATGTCAAATCCTTCGTAAAAGTTACAAATTGGAGTGGACTCATCATAATTGTGCCTTTCACGAATATATGATGCTGTGAGAGAGTGGCAACGTCCATCAACAATTTTGCCTTCACGTTCTCTGCTCACCTGTTTCAGAAACATAGTTGATAATGTCAAAAAAACTAAAAACACTGGATCAGTCAATGTGTTAGCCACAAAAAACCTAGAATGAATTACCTCAGGATGAATACACATATTTTTTCGTGAACTGAGTACTAAACCAACAATTTTGGGTTTGCTTTCAGTTTCTTTTTCATAATAATCTATAAGTTTCTTTAATTCTTCTATAACTTTTTCTATTTCTGGTACAGTACGGGAGCAATAAATTAATTTTGTAACATCCAATGGATTTTCCAGCATATAGGCTACAATTAATGATAACAGGGTAATAGTTTTGCCAGTGCCTGAGGGCATCTCCAATAAACTATGCCCCTAAAGTCATAATAAAAATTATTAGTTAAGTATGACCAAATATAAAACTTATTATTGTTAACACAGGAACATATATAAAAAATACTTTTGCATCCAAGCCACGCTTGAGTTCGAGCATATATGCATATTGCTCTGGATAAATATAATCGTAAGGAAAATATACAATTAAACCGTCAACGCTGATTCTGAAAACATAAACAAGTTGTGAAATTTTACTTGTAAGAAATTCAAGTCTTTTTCAAAATAAATATTCATATTTACTTCATATTTTAATAGTTTCTACTACATAAGTATGAATTTTGGACGCGATAATATCATTTATTTATTAATATAATAACAACTGCAACGTATTTTGTATTAGGTTACATGTGCAACATCAAACAGTATATCCGAATCTGGCGCAATTGATTCGTGAATGAAGATACATTTGTTGCATGTGTTTATCAACGTCTTTGATGTTTGTTATCTAGATGGGGATCGTGGTGTTCTAGATCAGTATAGTTTAGTGCCTAACGGATTCTGTGTTCGTAAAATAATATTTTTATGACAGATAAAAAATCTCATTCATAAGAAATAAATATAATACATATCGTGTAGTGACCTATTGCGTATTTATTTAGAATACATGTAGTAGAAAATACATTCATCAAATTGTTTTGAAAATGTTTTGGACATTTTCATGAAAATCGATTGAATGTATCGATACAAACTGAATCGATACACTAGCCAAAACCGGAAGGTGATATTTGAAAACTAACACGATTTCCGTGAGAGTTTGGCGTCCGAGATACACGTGTATGGAGAGTAAAAAGTTGAAATAAATTAAGTACAAACATTTAAGCTCTTAAAATTTCAGATGGGAAAGCCAGGTACTTAATAATCATTTTGTTACTAAATGTTTTATTTAGTCTTTCACAAAATGAAAATATTCAATGTTAGTACACGAGTTTCGGTAACCTAAGGTATAAATAAGTATTTGTTTTGCATTCAAACGATGTATATATGTCATTCTTATTGAATATATACATTCATTAAAATTTAATGAATTGTTTTTTATATAAACACATGGGTCATTCAGTCAGACAAACAACAGTTTATGCCCTTATATTAAGTTAACTTTAACCTAACTTTAAAGATGTGTATTGCTTACTATATAGAAAAATTACATACAGTATGTCCTCAATTGCGCGACTAATTTGTTTTAGAGAATTGTATAAGTAAGATGTATTCTGAGGACTGAGATAGATCAGTTCTAGGTTGAGAAGAATGTAGTACCATGCTTAAAGAGAACACAATTGCATATCTACGAATCTGCGTATTTTGAGGATTGACTGTATTAAAAATAGAAAAAATATAAAATTACTTTAATACATATTTTTGTATTTACTATATGTTTTACAGAATATATTTAATTGTAGGATTTTCACCAGGCGGAGGTGGAGGTGGCTTTAGAGGAGGTAGGGGTGGAGGAGGAGGACGAGGGGGTGGTGGTGGTGGATTTAGAGGAGGTAGGGGAGGAGGAGGAGGTCGAGGAGGAGGTGGTGGACGTGGTGGAGGAAGAGGTGGAAGTACTCCTCGTGGACGTGGTGGCAGAGGAGGAGGAGGTGGAAGGGGCCGTGGAGGTGGTGGCTTCAAAGGTGGCAAAACTGTTGTTATAGAACCACATCGCCACGAAGGAGTTTTTATAGCTAGGGGAAAAGAAGATGCGTTAGTAACATTAAATTTAGTGCCAGGTTCAGAAGTATATGGCGAGAAAAGGATCAGTGTTGAGGTATGTAGGTGACTTTTTACTGTTTAACATATTTTATTACACAGATTGAATATATGTAACATTACAGGGAGAGAATGGTGACAAAATTGAGTACAGAGTTTGGAATCCATTCAGATCAAAATTAGCTGCAGCCATACTTGGTGGTATAGATCAAATTCACATGCCACCTGGTTGCAAAGTTTTATATTTGGGTGCCGCGTCTGGAACAACGGTATCACATGTAGCAGATGTTGTTGGCCCAGTAAGTTTGTACAAAATCTTCCCTAATGTATACAAATTTTGTAATGCATACATTAGAGCCAATTTAGTCCATTATTGCTGATTTGGTGTCGAAGTTATGCTATAAAAATTACATACTCGTTTATTCATTGAGTAAGATGTATTGTATTTTACTGTAATGAGACGTGTGTACAAATATTTATACTTCCATCCTGCTTGATTTATATTTCGAAATGCACATGTATAAAATTTTCCAATATTTTATTCTCCTAGGAAGGACTAGTCTATGCGGTGGAATTTTCTCACAGATCAGGTAGAGATCTCATAAATGTTGCCAAGAAACGGACAAATATCATTCCTATAATCGAAGATGCAAGACATCCTCATAAATACAGAATGCTAATTGGAATGGTAGATACTATATTTGCCGACGTAGCACAGCCCGATCAGGCCAGAATAGTAGCTTTGAATGCTCAATATTTCCTGAAGAATGGAGGACACTTCGTTATTTCTATTAAGGCAAGTAGATTAATAAAGATCTTTGAGTACAATTTAAGTTTTATAGAAGTTTATACTAAAGTTATAATTTCCTTTGTAGGCAAGCTGTATAGATTCCACGGCTCAGCCTGAAGCAGTATTTGCAGCGGAAGTAAAAAAACTTATTGCCGACAAATTGAAACCTCAGGAACAGATTACATTGGAACCATACGAAAGAGATCACGCCGTCGTAGTTGGTATCTTTAGGCCACCCCCTAAGAAAGTTACCTAAAATTATGTATTTGTATATATGTATCATCTAATTATTAAGATCGGTGAAAATCGATATTGACCATCATCCCTTAGTATGTATGCAATATCTTTTGATTAATTGACTGCAGTTAAAATTTCCCAAAATTTCATGAAACTTGTGAATGCGAAGACGGAAACAGTATGTAATATAATGTAAAGTATATAATTATTGTGCAGACAGTTCGAATGTTTTTCCACAAATGCAATTTACGTCATTATTGTACCTGTATAGTCGGTACGTCAAAAGAAACGTATATGCATGATTGTTTAATACAAAGTTTATATTTTAAATATCTTGAATGATCATTTCGCTAATACTTTCATACAGATAAAAGAATTTAATAACATGCACAGCGTATTTAATTAAAACACGGTCCCATATTTCAGTGTTAAATATTTCGCAATTTCGCAAAGTTCTATTTTTCAGGTAAGTACTTTCTTTGTAAATGTAAAAACAAATGAGAGTAACGTAACATCCATATATTATAATTTTCATAGAACATCGTTAAAATGATATTTCAAAATTCACGTGTGAATTATTTATTGTAACTACTTTTCATTATGATTATATTATACATGCATTAAATAAAAATGCCTCGCTCCTTGTTGAACGTATCTAAAAGCGGTACGTGTAAACTTTGAACAATTCGACGAAATGGTTAACCACAATTGACAATTACTTGCAGCGATCGACGAAAGTCGTAAATCGTCGAATAAAACGCTCAAATGTAAAAAATCAAGCACAACAGGGCCTAAATCAAAAACAAACATGAAAAATCAAAGTCGTTTAGAAGGAGGAGCAGACGTACCAGACGAAGTAGAAGATGCACCAAGTCCATCGACAGAAGTTGCAAAAGTTGAAGTTGAAACAGTTCCTAACGTGGTGGAGGAAACCGAGACCACTTCGAAAACTGAAAACGAAAAACCCGCAGCTTCTGGTGGACCATGTTGTTTCTGTATCGCGAGAATGCCAGGATCGACCGGGTACAAATTGATGTTATTTGATACAAATGTTTTAAAGAACTACCATCATGTTTTGTCTGTTTAAACTTAATTCGTACAAAGTACATTGGCTTTGTAAACGTAGGGACAAGAAAGTGGACGAAATGATCGACTACGTGCACAAAAATTTACAAGAAGCTGGTAAAGCATTGGCCACCTTAAGCGACAACTTTGAACACGATTCAAAGGTTGAACCCTGAACGCAAGTAGAACCATCATGAAATTGGGACGACTCGGGGGAGAGTATAGCGAGGGTACAGTAATAATTGAAGTCGCCCTATAAAAATGATTCGTATTCTTTCGATGAACAAAATAACGAACAAATAAAGTTACCATTTAAAACTCCCAATTTCGTAGAACGTACAACAAACTGTTTCCTTTGTTCAAAAGGAAATCCCTTTCCGTATGAAAATACAAACATACGTGGAAATTCTAATTCTGATTTTCTTTTACTTTCGATATGATCCTCGCAAAAGCTGATGTTCGTCGATATACTTGGTCGTATACAACAATGGACCGATCTGGTGCAAAATAAATTGGACAACTGCAAATTGGACCTCGAAGCTTTGCGCAAGGAATTGATGGCGCGTGCTTGCGAAATTGAGGATCTGAGAAACCAGCTGGCAAAATGCGAAGAACGTGAGGCGAGTTTCCTCTTTGTAATTCTCTTTTAAATCTACTAAAATCTTTCTTTAAATACAAATGAACAATGTAAAATACTGTTGCTGCAGAAAGCAGCAGCAGCCACTCAAACTCACGTTGAAAAGCGGGAGGTCGAAAGTCAGAAGGTCGTTGCTGTTGAAAAAGAAGATGACTCAAAGAAAGAGGATGAATCAAAGAAATACGATGATGCTATAGTTAGCGCTGTTCCAGAGACAAGGACGATTGAATATGGTCAATCTCCAGAAGTTGAAACAAAGGTTGTGGAGATAGTCTGCACAGACGCAGCTATTCAGTCAATGATGAAGGACAATGATAGAATGAGACGAGAAATTGAGGTACTATGAAAGACTATGCCTCTATTGTTAAGTTTAAATGGACTAATGAGTTGTCATCATCAAGGTCTTTCAAAGATCCCAAGAGGCCTTTAAGGTTAAGTTGAAGAAAGACAAAATATTAGGTTGTCCCAAAAGTTTCTTTCGCTTTATTAATAAGTAATACATGCACAATATTTTATGTTTTATGTTTTATGTTACACTACTGAATTGTGCACGATTCAGTTTGCACCATTACTGTTACAACATGAATATCTATGAAATTAGATTGTCTATTTATATAAACACGGCCACATAAAATAATTGAGTGCAACTCGCGAAAAAAACTTTCGAGACAACCTAATACTTGTGGTCAAACAGTGTTGTATTTTATTTTAATTGTTTTTAATTGTCAAACTGTTCCAAAGTACTTAATAAATAGTTAATAACGTTACGTCTAAGACAGAATCTAATAGACAAGCTCTATTGATGAATCCAACTAACAGAGAGCAAAGAAACATAACTAACTTTTTTGTATAAATTTGAGGCTCTTGTTTCTTCGTAAATAAGAAATTTGAATCAAATGGTCCGGTTAGTTCGTCTTATGATAGAGTTTGGTCGTCGTATTGAGACATGGTTTGTTTAATCGAGCAGCTGGAAGCTGAAATAGCACGGCTTCGTAGAGAGAATCAACGCATCATAAAAGAACGTGCAGAGTACGAAAATGCGATACAACGAGCACTGTTGCGAGGCGTTTCTTGTTTGAACGTCGAAGCATTGAGAGTTCTACGATGTCCCCCAATCCCATGTTGTACTCCTTGTGCACCCTGTCCGACTACTAATGCGTATGTATCCTTATTTAGTCCTACATGCATCAATAAAGATAGAGAAAATAGAGAAAGGTCCTAATTCACCCTCCTCTGACATAATCTTACAGGATGATCGAAAACAGGGAATGTGCAAAATGTTAAGCATAGTCCCTTGACTATTGTGAAGATATAAATAATTCACTTATATAGAATGTAATTTTGGCTATGTACTCAGATTGTGCTAGGTTGATTATTGCCCTAGTGGCGCCATCGGTGCCCAAACACCCAAGTTTGTAGACAAAATAGTTCTCACCATTGTTTGGAGATGACGCCATTGATATCTTTTAATTAATTATTATTTATGTTTCATAAATGCATTATTAATACGATTCTTTGCTTTGTGGCACTACAATGTAGTGTCAATATGTCAAATTTATCATGCTTATGAATATTTATTTACTATAGCGATAAATATCGACCTCTCTAATTATTAACGGCGTCATCTAGCGTGAAAACTAAGAACTATTTCTCGACAAACTTGAGCGTTTTCCTGACAGAGGGCGCTGACAAACTTCGTAAATTAGTTCAGCCTGTTCGCCGCTAGATGGCTATACTGTATTTAGCGAGGAAAACGGCCGTAAATTCAAATATGGATCGAAGTTTGAATCTTGTTATCTAACCAACATAAATAACTCCTTTTAACAAGTTTCTATCGAAACAATGGTAATAGTTGAACCTCTGGAAGCGTTCAATATATTACGAAAGCGTTATTATTGCACGAAATAGATCTTTCTGATTAAATTTAGATAAAAGAAATTCAATGATCTATAATGCTTGAATGCCGTTTAAACATTTGTCGTTCATGTCCTTCGGGGTTTGTCTTGACTCAGCTGTAGTTTCACTCTTAGAATGTATTACTATATATTATGAATTGTAATAGTAGTCATTGATTACAGTGATTTGTTACATTTTCTTCATTCCTAATTTCAGAGAACCAATTGCCACGTGCAAGAGGGAGGTGGTTTCATTAGGAATGGGCAAAGGCTGCGTCACTCACCGTTCTGGTAACGGAAAAGGATGCGTTCGCGAGCAGCAAGCTTCCTGCAAGGTGAAGCGACCCTGCGGGAGCCCCTGCTGTTCCGCTGGGAAGAGTCGCAAGATAACGTCGAACAGCAGCATGGTATTTCTCCTTCATCAGGGCGACGCTACGGACATTTGCGTCTCCGACACGCCAACGCCTCGCGTTTGCGGTCAGCCTGTTATGAAGAAGATAGAGATTCCACCGTGTCCTAGATTCACCAGATAATCAGGTCACTTTCTCCTTCGTCAAAGGATAATTAACCCTTCCACTGCGCGGAACTAACGCGCTAACAATTACGCGCACGGAAAGAAAAAGTAAAATGCTCTTCTGGTTAGACTTCTGGTAGAAATGTTTTTCTTGTTACGGTTATTTTAAGATATAACACTAAACGTACCAGAATTTTGCATATACCTATTCTTACTATTAGGGGTTATTTGTTTGATAAACATTGTGAGATAAACGTTCATTTCTAGACAGAAATTCTGAACTTATTAAAGGAAGTTTAATATTAATATTCCTTACTCTGTGACTCTTAATATGGGACTGTATTCGTAGTTCGTTTAGCTATAGAGAACTCATCTGCTTGTGAATCTACGATAAGTATTTTGACAGAGATCATTTGAGGTCATTTCACCTGCTTGGCACATTTAGTGTTAATTCGATGACTCACACTTGTTAATAAATTTTACTAATTACGTCGTACGTTTTAGATGTGATGCGGTAGGAGCAAAATCCTGAAGACGCTGGAGACCTGCGCAAACTATGACACCACAAAGAAATGCCACCGACGACTGTAATGCGATAATGGTTATCGCGTCATAGTCCATGAGGAAATTGAGAATAGCGAGTAGCCTTTGCGCGACGACGAAAGTGCGCAATTAACGGAAAGGCGTTTCAGCTTTTTCTTCGGATTTTCTGGTTTCTCGTAAATGTTGACTCATACTGTGTAAACGTGATCTCGCGATCGTCCTTCAACTTCGTCTCTGTGTGAAAATATTGAAAGGTATGTACACGACAGTGAAAGTATAAATATAACTTTATATAACATCGTCAGAAAAATATTATAAATATTAAACATTCATTCTCATAAATAACATTAAGATTTCGTTTCATTGTTTAATGTTACAAAATAGAATCGAACGCTACACCAAAGGTCGCGTGACATCGTCTGAACCAGACCTGGACAAACTTCGACCGAAGTTAAAATAAAAAAGTAACCATTTGAAATAACACTTCAAGATTTACTTGAGACAGAAAACCAAGTAGTTTTATTCTACTAACTTCTTTCTCTTTTTAAATCATCGTTAAAAACATTTCCCATGGGGTACATCGCTCCAAAAATATTTCAGCATTCCACCATTATAAGTGCAAAGTTTTCAAAGTTACTTCACAAAATAAGATAATGAAAATATGTTAAACAAAAAAAAAAAAGAGAAAAGAAATGGAACAACCATGAAATAATACTAGCGAAACATTACTTCAACAAATTATTGCTTAAAGGTGCCCAAGTTTGGTTCGAAGTTTGCACGCGACGTCGACGCGTCTGTATACCTGTACCTGTTACGTTTCACGAAAGCTCAACGTGCGCGCCACGAAATTATAAGTTACTTTTTAAACAGCGCTCGAAATAATACCTTAAACCCCTTGCAACGTATATCGCGTTCACTGATCTCCTCATTCGATCTGCAACGAGCGAATATATAGAGCGAGACTGCGACTCAATCAGTCAATGAGCGACATATAGGTAGACAAACATTAAAATTAAGATACGTAACACCTCCTTAAGTACTGAGATTATTCTCCCAAAGATTTACACGATTACAGAACGGTTACAGAAAACGAAAAATACACGAGACCAAACCTTTATGGTACGAAGCGTTTACAATACAGACACGAACCTGTCGTTTGTTTCATGCACGTTACCATTCGATAAAAATATTTGCGGAATTCATACGGATAGGATGAACTTACATAAATTAAGATCCAGGTTCTGTTACTTTCAGAGCATAGGTGGACCAAATTTCCAATTACGAATAAAAGGTAGACAGCTTGTGTTATTCGTGCAATACGAATAACACAATAAATCGCGCAATCGACCTATATCTTGACGTTGAACGAATAAGACTTTATTTTATTGGACGAATCGCCCATCTTTTATTCAAATTAAATTTTGCCCACTTCTGTTTATAATTCTAAGACGCTTTGCGACGCACAATGTATGGCTGGAACATCGTGCGTCAGACCTGTTACTTTCACGTTAACCCCTTGCGGTCTTATGTGGACTAAGACTCCACAAACATGTACTCAAGACAGAGAATCTGGACCGCGAAGGATCGATAGATCAAAATTCGTCTCGGTCTTTCATTAAGATCGCTTGCGATTACAAAAGTGAGAAGAAATAGTAATGAGTACCGAAATAATAAAGACACCGAAGTTCCAAGTATTTCCGCGTTGTAAAAACGTATGGCTGGGACGTTTTACAAGCGAGAAACGTTAACGAGATCGGAAGCGTTATCGTTTGTTTTTAGAATGAGCAATCGTTTCCAGAACTAAAATATAGGACGTAGTTTCTGGATCGGTACGACAAGTCGGGACGAACACTCTTCAGTAGGGATCATTGTACAGTTCAGAATCTAAAATACGTATTGTCGCGAGAGTTTGTTTACTGAAAGTGCCCTGGCGATAGTTCGATATCGGTCCAGAAACTTCACTGGAGAATTTTCTAATTTTTTTCCTCGCTTCGTTAACAACAACGCAGTACGCCTGACGAAAGACGTCTCGAGCATGTTCTGCATTCCTTGAATGTATTGATAACATTGCGAATAGAATTCGTAAAGCACAACGATTGTATGGTAATAGTTATAGCTGGTCCAGCAGCAGGGTAATGTTATCAATATATTTTTGGAATCAGGAATGGACACTTTGGAACGATTTTGTAGTTGAGAGACTTGTCGAAAAAGGGGGGATATATGTATCCGATTTTTGGGACAAGAGACGAGTGACATGATGTACTGTATTGTGCAGAGATGAGAAGTTGGCTACCGTGTCCGATTGGTAATCTCTAGATTATACTAGATTGGCATCTCCTAGATTATACTGTTATATTAGGTTGTCCCAAAAGTTTCTTTCGCTTTATTAATAAATAATACATGCACAATAGTTTATGTTTTATGTTACATTACTGAATTGTGCACGATTCATTTTGCTCCATTACTGTTACAACATAAATATGTATGAAATTAGATTGTCTATTTACATAAACACGACCACATAAAATAATTGAATGCAACTCGCGAAAGAAACTTTCGGGACAACCTAATAGATTACTCTGGTACCAATCAAACCCACTAGCCAATTTCTCACCTCTGCACAGTACTCCTCTACAATTGCATCTACTCGAATCTGACCAGTAAACAATTAGTATACTCATACAGAAAATACATTCTGTCCATTCCTGTTTCAAGGCATGTATCAAGGATACCTTCAACAAGTATTATCCTCCTCTTTCTCAGGCGTCGTGCGTCGTCTACTCGCGTGTTTGCGAAACGATCCGCAAGTTCTAACCACTCCGATGGGAAAAAGTGCCCCTTTTTCACTTCTTTTTGCCAAGAGCGTTACCATTGTTCGCAGAACTCGCGTATAGTTTCTGCAATTAACTACCATATTGTCTCTGTGTCATTCGATCAGCAGTTTAAGAGCGTCCCGTGCAAGACACGTCTTAGACAACGTCGTCCTCCAACCTTGATAACCCGTTCCGTCGCGACAATTCGCAGGGCTATGCTGCTCACGCGAGTCATCGGACTACGGTCACGTTTTTCTCCATTTGCAACGCTCCGACGTGGACCGGGCGTTACAAATGAAAGCGCGCCATCGAGATCGACTTCTTTTTGGATGCTTCTTTCTTTTTTGCGATGAGGTAGCAGTGGGGCGAAACGCTTGAATCGTGTCGTGGGCCCCCGCGGTTACGTGGTCCCTTGGCCAATGATAACAACGGACATTGCTGGAGGGAGAAGGTACGAACAGGTGGTTTACTTGTTGTGGACCAAGTTGAGGAATTCTTCGCGAGTCTTCGGGTCGTCCCGGAACACACCCAACATCGTCGACGTCACCGTCTTGCTGTTTATCTTCTGCACGCCCCTCATCACCATGCACATGTGCCTGAAAGATGAAAGACAGAGACGGATTAAAGGGTGAGAATCGGGGGACGCAACCCTTAGGAGCCGTGGAAGGACCTTTGGTGGAATGTTTCCTGAGTTTTTCTAGTCGTAAGACACATTTTGCTTCAGAATTTATTTATAGATAAGGTACGCCTGGTTAGGTCTGCAACGTTAATCCGCCATTAAACCTATCACTTTATTCGGATAAATTTCTTCAATAAACATAGAGGGTTCGAATACTTATAAGTATACTTCGGATCTTCATGCATTTATAGAAAATTTGAATGTGCAAGAAACTACAAAATGAAAACGATATGCAAGAATATAAAAAATATTAAAAGTAAAGTTCATATTATAATATTTGCAAAATAAAATAAATTCCTATTTAGGTTCAATTTTTGTAGAGACGTTTAAAAAGATTTTATTTTCCATAAAGATCCGCAGTCTACTTATAAGACTGACTGTACATCATGATATCAGTTAAAAATTGAGGCTGCAAAAGTTGAGTATGTAATACAAGTTTTACTACACTGTCAACCATATTAAAATTCCCAGTCTCGTAAAAATAACTGTGCGTGAATTCTGTAACACCTTCTTCTTCTTAAAATTGTTATCAAGTATCCTTCGAAGCTGAGGGGTTCGCAAAATCTGAATTCAACCCTGAAAGACGTCGTCCTTTCATTTCCGTTCCGCTGTCGTTGAATAATTAATAGCGTCACACCGTTAGAATCGAGATCAATTAAGCAATTCACCATGCACCGATACACATGTCAACGTTGCAGGATTTTTCTACCAGCCTTGAATATTGGGTAACGTGAATTCTGTTATATGATGCGAAACAGTCCAAGATTACTGTAATTAACACCGGTCGCAACGTCTAAACGGATGCTGTGTTTTGTAATGACAAGTAACGCACGATTACGGAGTTAGGATAAGATGATTAGCATCAAGGACATATTCCAATCATCTCACCACGATTCTCCAACGTATCTTACACAAGTACCTTAACAATTCGCGGTCCAGATTTACTTGATTAACTCGATACAGAACCGCGAAGGGTTAAGGTGTCCTTCATTGGTCACGTAAGGGTCCCGAGGGTGTCTAAAAAATGTCTGCATGACCTTACTTTGAGGCGAGAGGAGGGTAAAGCCATTCTTACGTAATATTTTTCTACGACATTTAATTATTTTACACTTTTTAGAGAAATCTAAGTAAAATCTTATGTAAGAAGGGGGAGAGGGATCTGAGTAATCTTACGTGTTCTTACATCGGGGGGGGGGGGGGGTGCAGGACGTCGAAAATGGTGAAAATCGCCCTCGTGTAATTAATGAAGCCCCTAGATGTCGTTGAATATTTTTAACAGTAGGCCTTTACGAGGGAGCGCCTCTATTTTGCATCAAACCTGTTTTCCTCGCCTGATGGGCAAGCCTCGGTTAACGATTTAATACAATTACACGCTACGGTGTTTGAATTATCTAACACGATACTTAATATTAATAGTATTCGACCGATAGCGATCACATCTTCGTGCTAATACGTCACACGCCCTCCCCCAAGGTCGCCATTAAATTTACTCGATCGGTTTCCGCTTCTTTCGCGACACGTGACGCGAGCAATTAGTATTACCGGACTATGAGCCAGGAATGTAACATTCCTCGCAGGGAGAATGCACATTAATTCTTTGCCAAGAGATAGCACCTTATTAGCACAAGGTTGCGTTCTTACATGCGATTAGTCCTTGCGAAAACAGTTACCCAAGCCTCGAGCGCGTTCAAACGAAACCGAACACTCGATACGCGATTTCAGCCGTTCCGCGAGTGCTTTTTGTTTGTTAAAAATACGGTTCGTTGCGTGCAGGACACGAAGCGAATTCAGAGGGTTGTTACACTTGTCGATATCTTAGGATTCATAGTTAATATGGCTCCCAGGTCTTTCACCGTCCATATTTCTTTCATTAAGTGTCCTTAACTATCACAGGGTTCTTTAAAGATCAAGGATACCTACACTCCCTCGACAACCACTGCAACTCCTGCCGGCTGTACAGCTTTGGTCACCGCCACTGCGATTTGCTTGGTGAGCCGCTCTTGAACCTGAAGACGCCGGCTGAAGATCTCCACGATTCTGCGAACAACAAACAAGAATTAACTATACGGCTTCCTGCGTGTTCTAATTACAGCCATTGACACATTTATTCTTCTTAACAAGCATTCCTAAAAACAAACTCTTCTCAAAAGGTTTAAGAGTTCTCGACACTTAACGCATTGGGTTCCCTTCAAGTTTACCATTACAGGCAACTGAAAGTTTCCCATTCATGGATTACTTTTTAACACGTACTCAAGGCGACATAAAAAAGCACCGCATCGTTATATGTAATTTGTCCTCTTAAATATGGAAAGTAATTACTTCCCGATTGTTTGGACGAAAATAGTGCTTCGAAATCGACAAATCGCATCAAGGATAGTCCTCGTTTGGCTTTGGATTCGAGCCGGGAAAAATTCTTGGGATAGCCAGCCGCTTTGGAGCTGATTGTTAGGCTCACAATGGGCTACGGTTGTTTTTAAAATGACCGAAGGCGATGTTTAACGAGTAAAACGGACGCTCGACCGATCGAACGGCGGTGCGTGAAAGTGCTCCGCGTGCCTACGATCAGCGCAGCGCCGTCGTATTCTTTTCTTCTGGCATTAATATTCCTTTAATCAAGGCCGCAACTACTGTCGATGCAATTTGTTATCTTGCAGTTGTGAAACGCGGTGTATCAGCATGCGCTCGGCTCATGGCCGCTTCGACAAACTTTACGCTAACTGAGAAGTTGCGTTTTAATCGACTTTACTCGTTTGCTGTGGATCTCCGTTTTCGACCAATAATTACACACGCCGTAGGATTCGCGATCAATCGCGCTACTTTAATCGAATTATCCCCGCGTCGATCGAACTCCGTTGAGATGGAGTCTATGGGATCGGTTATTTAATGCAACGTGTAATATATAATATACAGAGATATAGTACGATAATTTAATATTTCCCTTCAGTATTTGTGATTATTATATATTTATGCAAATTCTTATATTCACCGATACAGAAATAGAAGCTTCAATAAAAGTTTGTCCTATCTTCTAAACACTATAACATGTACATTATCGTTGATGTTCGATATACTTTTACATTTATGGACACTTTCATAGATTTCTCCATACTTTCATTTGCTATAAATGTGTAAAAATTGCCACTCTATTTATTATACTCTCATTTCGATGGGAAACATTTATCAAAAATACGAAACTCCTCTGAAAGCTCTTCGACATATTAATAATTATAATTCCACCAACCGTAATTATAATATCGAGTTCGGTCTTACTACCCTAAATGCCTCATACCTCTAAGTATCGAATGCTCCGCACGACCCATAACTCGCGTACACGCGATAAAGCATCAAGGACCGATAACAGGTTCGATCAAATGGTCTAATTGAGCGCCAGCTAATAGGTGGATCCAATTAATTTCCATTCCACCATAAGAGGATCTCGCCTTAGCCCGCGGACAATTCTCAGCCCTCGACGTTTAATTACGAGTGTTAATCCGATTTCTAGCGGCAGTGCTCACGTTAAATTCTCTATTACCTGGCCAACTTGCTCAGACCGAGGATCTTCTTGCAGGGCAGGTAACCGATCGAGACTTTTCCGTAAAACGGCACCAAATGGTGCTCGCACATGGAGAACATTTCGATGTCCTTCACCACGACCATCTCGTCGTGGTCCTCGTCGAACACGGCGTCGTTTATCACGTCTGAAAGTAAAGGAACGATGTGCGATAAGTCGATGAATAATATGAGAGATATTTCTATAAGAGATACAATTTTAGATTTGCTTTTAGATTTGGAAGATACAAATTTTACGATACAAATTTTTCGAAGATACAAATCGGAGGCGAAGTGGAGAGAAGGAATATAAATTTTATTTCAAATATAGTAGACACGTTGAATAGTTTCGATACAATCAATTATGCGTTTGTTATTATAAATCAAACCTGATTTATAACCATATAAAATCATGTTACCATTCAAAAGTATAATAATACAAAATTGTGTGTAGTGGCTGACGAGAAAATAAGTAAGACTCATGTGCTTTTTAAGACTTTTTAATGAAACGATCGCGTCCGTACTCCGTGGCTTCTCTTACTAGACTAACCTACAGACTCATCATTCGTTCCTCCAAACATCGCAGACATTCTTTCTTCATTCTCACATCGCTTGCACTCTGTTTGAATAAATGCATTCACCCAAAGGAACATTCGACCCAATCGTATAAACATCCACTCGACGTTCGATTCGCTCTTCCAGACGTAACATTTAAAACTAAACATAATTATTATAAATATAAGCCGGAAACGTGGCGTTAGCTCGTCGCCCATGCCGCCACATTGTGTATCGATTCTATTCGAAATAAGAATCATTTGATCCGTCACTCGTTGTATTTATCTTGAATAATGTCGAATCTATCCCGCGTTAATTGTGCAATCTTTTCTGACTGGCGAAAGAGGAATGCGATAAAAATGCATGGCAATAGGGAAAGTTTGCGGTGCACAAACATACAGGAATGGCGGAGCATTGTCGTTGAAATTGTTCCGCGAAAGAACATCCTGCGCGTGGGTTAAGGTCCACGCGATCCTGTCTGTGATTTACTCGATATTGACCTACTTACTATCGAGCCCATGCTAGTGTTGGTGTGTAGGTATAAATGAGTGGTTGAAAGGTGTAGGTGGGTGGGTATAATGGAGGGTGCTCTTCACGGTTTCCACGGCAACCTTAACAAGAAACACCTTCACAATGACCGACAATGGTGAAACGTACTCCCCCGTTAGACCAACTCCATTTTTCCACCCGCGACAGAGGCAAAGCCGCCATAAAATTGATACAGTTAGACCTGAATAAATGGGATCTAGTCAAGAAAACCACTATTATCGGGACCAATTGCAAAGTCCAAAAAACCTCTGGCAAACCTCTTTAATGGAGACTGATTTCTTTTGATTATTAGGAATTGCTACTGTCCAGACCTGAGAAGTTGGCTAGCAGGTCTGAATTGCAACAGTATAATCTCCTCGAGATCTCCTGTCTCGTATCAATCTTTTACTATAGAATGCTACGGTGTAGTATTAGATTATAATATAAAAATCAAACAGACCCAACTTTTCGTCACTGCACAGTGCTAATCTCAGATAAAGAAGTTCCAACAGCAATTGTACAGTATAGTACATATAAAATTCATGAAATCTTCCTAACGCGACAAAATGATGTCATAGCTTTCGACCTCCCGAAGCGGAAATTCGTTTACGAAAGCTTGTTTCGCGAAAGACCGTATGCTCTTACACGTCCATTCTACACACCCACCCTGGGCAATTTCCTTTTCTCTATTTACCACCTTTGCGAACCGTGCGCCCAAAGCGTGCAGTTTAATTTTTCGACTCGATGACTTAAGGCGATCGACTCTCGATCAGGGATCGATTAACTCCTTCAATTTAACACGATCCAACAGAGTTTCCAATCTTCCAGCTTCCAGGCACTAAATAACAGAGGATGCTATATACAGAGGTAGCATTTCTCTCGAGCTCACTTTGAACGATAGTAAGTGTTCGAAGCGTCAATTCTGAGATAGAAGGAGCTAATTATTTGCATTTACTTAAAACTTGAAGCTCTGGATTCTTCTTTTTATTTATCACCCGTCTTAATTTACAATTTCTTTGAAGTTCTAGAAGCATAGTTATCAAGTGTAACACCGAAATTTGGAGATGCAAGACTTTACCTAACTCTCTCTAGCTAATTATTTCCACTTACTTAAAATTTGAAGCTCTGTATTTCTTTTCCAAGTAAATATTGAAGCTCTAGAAGCACAATTATCAAGTGTAGCACCGAAATTTGGAGAAAGCAAGACTTTAAATCTAACAATCCGTCTGAGATGAAAGCGACCAACCGATTTAAGATTTTAATTCTTCGTTCAAACGTGAAATGTAATTCCATAATTCCGTCGTAGAGTTCATCGAACCGCTGGAAAATTCTCTGTCGTTCGTTCGTTGTTCGAGATTCTGATCTGGACATGAATTTCGGTCCATCCGCGATATCCACGTACAATTCCGAGGGGAGTTCGGCCAAGCTTATCGTCGACAGCGAGAGGCAAAGAGAAATTGTCAGAAGGGAATGGTTTCACAGGAGTGCCCGAGGGCGGTTACGCGAGGGTGGCTCGAGGTTTCTCTGGGAAAGTGCCCCGGACTCGTTTCAGATTCAGTGGGTCGAGTCGAGCCACCGTTAACAGGGCTTATCTCGAGGGCAATTCCGCTAGCGTATCGGGACGGGGTTAAGTCGAAGTGAATTAAAGTCTCTCCGCCACCTGTAGCTGCTCCTCGACGTATTTCTATTTACCGAGGCTACTTAGGACGATTGTGGATGAGGACCCTTACGCTAAATCAGCTTCACAGGTTTCTCAACTATCGAGCAAGTCGCAAGTATCCAATGTGAAATCGAAGGTAGTTTGTTTAGAATTTTTATTAAAGAGGGTAGTCGAAATTGAGAATTTTTCTAAAAGAATAAAAAGAATTTTTCATAATTTATTGCTCGTCTTTCGATGAGTTTTATCGTAATTATACTAAAATATATCGATGACCAGTAGGAGATTGCAGTTACTTATACATGTAAATGAATGTGTGCTTTTTTGACGGTGGACATGGGCCAGGTGAGAAGCAGAGCGTGAAGAAAATGTTTGGTCTTCATTTTAGTCAGCAAAACTCAAAGTTTTTAAACCTATATAATTTTAACCCGATCTATAAAAGATATATATTTGAGGATATACATATATATTCGAAAAGTATTCCACTTTTACCCAGAACGTTCCAAAACCCCGATGGATAAGCGAGGACGGATTGTTCGGTGGTTGCATCTTGTCGACTATTTTATTTCATATCCCCGTGAGCTTGTAATTATTACAGAACAGTGTCACTTCGTACACGACAAATGGACGGAAAAGGTGAAAGGTAGATTTTTCGAGGTACTGCGCGTCCCTGAGACCCATTTATATCGTGAGCTTTGGGCTCTCCTTTCTTCGATCGTACTTAAAGTCTTCCTCTTTCTTTTCCCGTGACGGATCCTCGAGAAGCTTCGAGCAGAAAGAACGAAAAGTGCTCGGTACTTTCCTCGAGTGGGTATATTCATGGTTTTATATTTCCTCGGATTTATCGTTTAAGAAAATTGATCCATCGATTTCGTAGGAAATGTGACAATTAAAAATGTTGCCTTGAATGTTCGTTGATTTATAACAGAAATGAGCAAAATGATCGAGTATGAGAATATTTAGTAAAGGATTATTGCTACCTTTTATTTGTTATATGAAATTTCTGTTTAGATAAGAATTCTGTCCATTATAATTTTGTTAATAGGACATTTGTTAATAGGATTGGATAGCATGATCATCGAGAGTTTGTAATCAGTGCATAATCGTAGAAATAGGAAGTGGCACTTCGTAGACTGATTCTTGACTACTGCTTGTAATTACACGTAATTACAATTTGACAGTAATGCCACGGTTGCGTGCTCCCACGCAACCTTAATAATCGCTGACACATTATTCGGATTTATATCTGCTTTTATATAAGATGTTATTACCATCGCCACGTGCGTAACCTTTCAAACAATGTCCGTGGACGTTTTTGTTCCTCCCCCTGAGACTCGTTTTTCAATTTGTTACGTTTCCTCGATAACGAGAATCTTTCGATTTATTGCAAGTTACATGACTGATTTTTTCCAGTGCTGTTTATTACAGACTTGGTACATCGAGGCCGTCAGGAAGAGCAACTATCGTATGAATTTATTATTCGAAACAGAAATGACTTTTTAGTCCCAAAGTCAGCGAACTTTAAAAGGAGCCATCAATTTACTTAATTTGTCATTCATAATCTCTGTGATTTTCGTCTGTACACTGAAGAAATTTTACAGACTTTGCAAATTCAACTAGTTGTCATTTAGAATAAACATTGATTAATTCACGAAATACATTGAATTCTGTTTAAAAGGAGTCACGTTTGGACTGTGTCTCTTAGACGTCGAAAGGTCTGGCACGAGGCGAGGCGTTCCAAAAAGTTTAGCAGAATTCACAGAAATTTCTTCTTTTTCGAAAGATAAAATAAAATAAAATTCATCCAAGAGAGGATTACTCTCGTACCTAGCAATAAGGAGTGAAACGAGAACACGGAACGTACTGTACAGGATTGGTCACCGTGCATTCGAGGATCGTGGGTTCGAATCTCCGTGCTCTGCAGTTGTATGAAAAGCAACAACTCACCGTCGATACTCTGATCGTAACCCTTCGTGAAGAATAGCATAGCCTTGGCAGCGCGTTCTGGCGTCTTCAGAAGGCCTTGTCGATCGGGATCCTCGCCTAGGGAACTTAAGAGTAGCTTGTAGCTCCGTGACATTTCCGGAAGTAACGCCTCGCGCGTGGGTGGCCTATGGTCCAGCTCCAAATCGTGGTGGAACATGCATTTTTCATGACCTGCGAAAACAAAGAACAACGTTTCATCTGCGTTCTTGATCTTCGAAGGCGAACCCTCGTAAGATTTATCGATCTCCACTGCTCTTTTATTCTTCCACCGCGTGAATTTACGACTTCCTTGAAAAACACTATTCCACCATTGAATAAACGATTAATTAGCACTAAGTAACTTCCGGCACGTCTTTCCCAAAAATGAATTCGGAAAAGTTACGTCTAAGTTTGTTGCTGTGAAGTATTTTACTCTACAATTCAAGTTCAAATTTTTATTTGACGAGTTATAATTTGATTCGTACGTATACATGAATTTTGATTGTTATAGATTCTTTGGATTCCAGTTTTCCTTGTATTTATTAGGGCGCGTGGTCGATTGTATATTCATAAGCATTCATCGTTCGTCTGCAATTAGCATAGCTCTATAAATCAATCCGAGGAATCTCGTGCAGAAACCATCGATTATCGCGATTACCCGACGAACGCCGTTACGCAAAATGTGATTAACAATTAATAATTACGACTGGCGTGTAATTAAACCAGCGATAAACGATCTTCGTCTTTATGCAAATAAAAATAATATAAACACTTCTACTTTGCCGCATTTAAACCAAGTGTGTAACACATCCAACCCATATTTAATGATTGAATAACCTGACAAAAATTCTCTAATTTCATGGAAACTTGTTGGACACCTCTGCACATTTCTAATTGATATTGGAATACGTATGAAACATACACAGAATATTAATGAAGTTTTGTTACAGTCGTTCCTCGTTGTTTTGAACATTTTGACGGAACACTTTGCAAAGAATTTCATTTAAAATATTGCCTCCTATATTCCGATATGAAATAAAATATATCTGTCTGCGATCTGTCTCTTATTCACGATCGCAAATGACAAACATAATTTATTATTACCACCCTGCAGATGTTTATGCACTCATGATGAACTGTATATCCATAAAAGTTTGCATAAATACACAAACATTTAGAATATCACGCCTAAACTGCAAGCCTCGGCATTTCGAAGATAAGACACACGCTCGTTCAAGTTTTACTTCTTCCAGAGTTTCTGAGCAAAAGCATACCCTCCTCTCGCTTCCTCGCCCCCCGAATTTTCCCTTACACCGCAAGTATTCAACTCCAATTTTCCACGAAGATGTTTAAACTCTTCGCGCCCTTGGACACGTATGTGAACGTTTAGTTTTTTTTAATTATAATTACTGTCAATAATAAAAAGAAGAAAAATTTGATAATAACGTATTCACTACAGAATCCCTCAACAAGATGAGTACAAATTTTATGCAATTTGTATACAGTTAGAGATGCAAAAAAAAAAAAACGCGAAGAAAAATCGTCCCTGAAGAAGTTAAATTGCCACCTTTCGATCAAATTAGTATAATTTTTGTCTAAAGACCACCAATCGTACCCAGGGTTCAACTAGCTCGATCAATGCCGAGGCAACAATGTTCCCGTCGAGAAACTTGTTGCATAACGATTAAAGACAGCGTTACAGCGACGATAACGTGATTTCCATCCGCTGGGAAAGATTTATCGCTTGTATAACGCTTCGTTCGCGGGGGAAGAAGGCGTGCGCGCGACCGGCGCAATCTAGACCGTATTAAATGGAACAGCTTGCGAGACTTCTGCGCGGATTTATTCGTGGAAGCGTAAGGATCGGGACCTGACGCTGGAACTGACGTATTCACGATGGAAAACTAAGTTAAGCCATCGCTCGCTAACGAACCCTGTCGTGTAACTCGATCGAGTAACGACATTTGCGCGATACTCTACTCTCGGAGTTTTCGCGGAACCTTGCCCACGCGCGGGCCACATTGTTCGAAACAATTAGGGGATCTGCGAAATTAGCGATTGAAGGACTCGTGTCAAGGAGACCTGTCCGTGATACGGGATGTGTATACTTCGGGAGAAAACAGGTTATTAGGCTTGGGCTATTTAAAATAGCTTGATGTCAACTTGTTCGACTTGGGATACTTCGGTAAAGTAGACGATACCATATGTAAAGTAACAGGTAACTTATTACTGGTATATAGCACAAATTAACAGATTACAATTGCGCGCGTTAAGTACGTCGTTCAAAGTAATTAGGAGATTGCCTACTTCGACGTCGTAATCAGCAGTTGGACAAGTACTTACGATATAGGACGTAATTACTTTAATGAAGAATACGTTTCCAGCAGGAAGTATTTAAACAATAAACAAACGAGTAGCTTTAAAACTACTATATATATATATCGTTCTTCATGTCCCATTTGACTCTGGAGCAATTGATCAGTGGCATAATTATGGTAAAAGCATCCCATTTATCCAATTAATTATTGGCTCTTATGGTCGTTAATATTAATTCCAACGAAAGAGTCGTGTCAGTTACATGTATACAATTTCTCCTGGAGAACACAATTTTTCTCAGACATATACAAAAGGCTCAAGCTGAACAATCTAATATCTTTTCTTACTATCAATATTAACAAACACTAATGCCACTGTCTGGTTGAGTCAATCCTTTAAATTTCATTTCAAATTCAGATTTAGCGATCAGAATCTTTAAAAGAGTTAACAGCATCGTTATTCAAGTGCAATTTACGCGTGTAAAGAGGAATTGTTTAAATGTCCTGTAGGAGTGTGATATATAATACGAGGGTAAGTGTCTGAGTGTATCCGTGTATGCAATGGTTGCGTGGGAACGCGGTGTGATTCGTTATTTATAATAATTCGGAGTTCAGTTCGGTCGAGACAGTTGTAAAAAGTCAGACAATAAATAATTCGTTGTCAAACTGTAATACGTTTTAAAGTCATTAGATTCCTACAGTCCTTTAAAAAATTCCGTCGTACGTTACAGTTACGCGTTACGTATCATAACTGTACACCAACAGTTCCCAGGCTTTTTATCATTTTAAGATCAGCGGGTACGATTGACCCGGAAATGAGAACTATGGCGAGTGTTCACCAAATCTTTTTCACGGGCCGCGGCTTGATCAATGATAGCGACGCCGCGCCGTACGAAATAAAATTAAAAGTCGGTCAAATTCGTGCGCGGAGACACGACAGGGACTCCTGTTCCGTAACAATAAGAGCGACGGGTAAAACGAGCGGAACTTTATTGTAACGTGCGTTACGAATTTCACACGGAAGCTGCCACCACGTGATTCGGAGCAGATTCGGTAATAATTGAAACTTAAACGGGCAAAGAGTTTCTTTATACAAAAAAAAAAAAAAAAACGTGTTTCTCGTGGAATATTCAAGCTTGGATGGTCGGCATATTCGATAACGTTTATTTATTTAAGGATGAAGCTGAACTGACAAAGATTTTCGTTGAATGCAGAGTGAGATTAGTGTCGAAATTAATTCTGTGTCTTCTTAATGAATCATTTATAGCTCTAGTTTAAGCAGATTTACTTACTCGTCATTTTTCTGCACTAAAGTATTGTTGCAACGCGTCTATGTACACAATCCAAGTCTCAAGCTGCTGCCCATTGCAATGGTTATTTAATAACTTCGATAGTTATTACATTTTCTATCTACTAATTATCATAGTTACCAAGGATACGTGTAATTTGTTCAAAAAGAAAAGATAATAAAAAATTATAGACTGCAGAACTTCCTACATATAGATACATTCTCATGAGGCCTGCAAGGTTGGTATATCATCGTAGAAAAGTAACAAATAAATGCTTCTATTCAAATTAGAGTTATAAACGGTTGAATATAAACGCACAGAATTACTTCGTACGCCTAATATATTTAAAAAAAAAACGTAGGCTCTTGCTTGAAATTAAACCCATAAACTCTCGCACTGGTTAAAAAAAAAAAAAAAAAATCGTGTTACAACGCCCACGAACCGATGAATAACACTTGTTTACGGTGTAACGTTTCACGATTTCTCGTCAATGCGGATACGTATTACCCTATAAAAGGCGTCGATGGTTCGTTGAATTACCAGCGATCGCGCAATCAATGAAGATACCTGGCGTGGTGGAAGTTCGAGGTGTCCTGGGTGTTCCAGGCACATCCAGGTTGCTCTCCTCGACGTTCTCCGACCAGGAAACGGTCCTTAGTGGTCCGGGTTTCTTGATCATCATCGATCGCTCGTCCTCGCCATCATACCTGCTCTGGTCCTTGATTTTCCCACATTGACTGGAGATCCCGTTCATGACTGACTGCGGCGCGCCTCTTCGCCTCCGATCCAGACTCCGCTCGGTCGCTTCAAAATTGAGATTCGAAGCGTCTTAAGAACACAGGGTACGTCCTAAACAACGATAGGGAATCGAGGTGACGATACAAAACACGCGGGACTCGCGACAATAACTTTATTGTACGCATTATCGAGCCATTTGCTAACAACACGACGACAATAACTCGGTGACGCTTCGTTTATCTCCGTGTCGCGTTACGCGCTGCGAAATCGCTCGCGTTAAGAAGATGACAATTCCTGTGTCCATTTTCTTTCGATCGAGGGTTCTTAGATGAATTGGGCTTTTAGGATTCTTGGTATTTTTTTTTTTTTTTTTTTTTAAAGAATTACGAGTGTTCTGTTTAGGATTTCATTTCTGAGGTATTCCAAGGAATGTTTATGTACCGCTTATGTTGCTTTTGGGATTGCTTGTTTATTTCTTACCGAATATTCTTGTGCAATCGTTACTCGTTCTTTTGGAAAAAAATTAAAGATTGAGTGTACATCCACTTTAGAAATCGAGACTTTCTATTGGTTATTAAATGATGATAAATATAAAAAGCTAAAATGCAAATACAAGGTATGAAAGAGCACATATAAGAACAGACACAACCTCCAGGTTGAAGCGTTGATTTATTCTTCTCTTATAAATTCGCTTCTCGAGTGAAACGCGAGAGTTTGGGCTAGCACCGATTTATGAAAACAAAGAGATAAAATAGTAATGCGGGTATTTTTCTCTTCGTTCCCGAATGTATGAATAATTTTCGCGTAGACCTGAATACTATTAACTTTTTGGAATCGCTCGTTTCGATCGTTTCTGGAAACGAGCACTCCAAACACGCGATCGTTTTCACGCCTACGCTATATGTTCGCAGATCGATGAAATCATAATAATAATAATCATAATAATTATCTCTACTAGAAAATACTATAAAACGCTATAGAGAAAAATGTTAATGCAATCATATTTAAAATCATCTCGATTCTGTCGATTCTATAAAACTACAACTATAATCAGAAGGTTATTAAAGACGACAAAAATCAACGTGATTTATTTAAGAGAACAAGGCTCGAAATTCCTATTTTGAAAATCGTATGTATCGTACCTAACGTACGCTTTCTGCACCTTTTTAATTTAACAACCAAGCTGTACAATCGGCACATAAACATCACCGTAATTCTCGAATATTGAAAATCTTTTTCTTGTCTCTCTTTTTAATTTTTTTGTTTTTTTTTAATCGTATCGCTGTAAAATCATCACTGGCTCTTACAACTAGAAAGCGCGTTTACAATCGAACGCCTCTACCACGTGATCCGCGAACAATACGCGCGTAGCGCTCACGTTTCAGCGAATCCGCGGTTCTGGAGCGTCAAACTGATGCAACTTACTCTCAGTCGGGTTCAATCACTCGGTTCACGTGGACCTTTCCGTTTGGCACCCTCGAAGGTACGCGATCGTTCGACGCGCTTTTTATCGTTTTTGATTCGCGAGATGCCTCGCGCGAAGAGGAACGGTAACAAACGTTCCGCGGCTGTTCACAGAGTGACGAGTACCGGTAGATTTAGGGGCGATGCGAGAAAAAGAAATTGGGGAAAGCAAGTTAAGAGGGATTTAACGAGTTCGAAAGAAAGGAGGACCGCGAAGTCACCCGACCGAGTGACGCAGTGTGACTGAACCGTCGGAACCGTGGAGAGTGCGAATGTCCCCTATAGCTCTTCCCGTCTCTGTCTCTGTCTCTCTCTACCTTTGTCTCGCGCTGTTTCGTTCCTTCAGCCTCTCTACTCTCCGGATGATTATTCTTGTTTTGTTTTTTTTCCTTGTGATCTCCTTATCTAGAAACAGTGATCGTAGGTTGCGCAATGACACGACACCCGAAAAGCAAGTTTAAGCGACTGACCAGCAGAACGTCGCGTCTCCCTCGGTATATATCGGGAGAATGGAAGCAAATGCGAGTGCACAGTGAGAGTGGCATGGGAGAGTGAAACCTCCTCCCTCCAAGCGCGATCCTCCCGCTACAGTGTTCGGGAGGGAAATACCCAGGTTTTGCCCGATTCGTGCGCGGCTTGACGCGCCTTTCCGGAGCGACGCGCAGCGCCTCGATTGGCGGAAAACGTTCGAATTTTCCCGTGTAAAATAGTCGACAGTTAAAACATTATCTTAGCTCGTTAAAAACAAAATACTCGATGTTCGTTACCTGTCAGATAACGAGGTTTACGATAGAACAGTATATCACCCCCGCAACGGGAGCACACAACACCCCCTGTAGTATAACCTTTGTAGATGCGCTCGAAAAGAACGAGTTACGAATGAAAATCATCTGTGAGGTGTACTACGACAGAAATGGTAATCAGTCGAAGCTGAAAGTGAAAGAATTAATAGCTAGAATGCCCTAACCGTACGTTGGTACTTTAATATAAAAGTAAAATTTCAGTAAATCATCTCCCCGGTTGTTTGGAAACCATCGATCAATTTAAATATGATTACCCCGCTTCGGTAACTATAAATTTATCGAAATGTATCTTTTCACTTGCGTCCCACATTGAAAAAATGTCAAATACGATGGAGCAGAGTGCCGCGATTTTCTTTCTCTTTAAAAATCCTCATAAAAGTCGAGAAGAAGGAATAGTTTATATAATTGTGTTTTTATAACGTCCTTAGGTAATTGTCTAGGCTTGCCTGTGCGTAGATCCGGTAATGTCTGGTGCACGAGGTCGTCCGGTAATTATAAATAGTAATTATAATAGTAACTGTTACAATTTATCACATATCGAGACAAAAAAAAAAAAAAATGGAAATAATCCTATCAGTGATATTTTTACGATACAAAGATGTTTAACTAGTCGTCGAGAGAAGGTCGAAGGGAGAATATATCGAAGACGTAATTGTTTTTTATTCGAGTAGCTCGACGATTGGTGATTACAACAAACGTTACGGCGTCAAGTCGGGTACGTAACGATTAATCGACGTTAAATAGTTATCGCATTGGACGAGTCAAAGAAATTGATTTTTAATTAACGTCATTCTATTCTTGATTTGTAAACGTTATAAATATTTAAAACACTTTGATATAGTCGGTATGATTGTTGAATGTATTTATGTTCCTCAAACAAACATAAGAGATTTGTGTCTGTACACAAATATTTCACACTTATCACGTAGAGTTATGGAATAAAAGTTATTATGATTCCTAAATCGTACCATGAAAAGCTTTTTTAAATCATCTCAGCACGATTTACGAATTCATGCTTATCATGTTAATAAAGGGGATTGGTTTTGTTTCCTCTACAATGCATAAACTTGATATGCAAAGCATAGCGTGCCTTATAGATTCATAAATATTGTGCATCTGATTCTCGTTAAAAACAAACTAATTAGGATGGCCCTAATCCTGGCAGCCACAAGGACAAATTTCGTCAACGATCCTAACGTAACGAACACACGAAATAATCACATGAAAATTGATACGTTATTTTCTCAAACGTGAGAGCACTCAACAAGTTTCACCTGGCTTCCTACACTCTTCTCCATACTAAATCCGAAAGGTCACCCAAGAAACGTCATCTCAAACGAGAATCGCCCCTAACCATTAATATCCCCTCAAGAGTGGAAATCTAGGCGAGAGTTGACGCACTCGTCCAACCGAAAGACAGAAAATCCAACTTGGTCGGGTTTTCAGAACGCGCAAATACGGAATCCACGTCATCGTAATTTCCAAGAGACCGGTTCCATGGCGCTTCCCTTTTCCTTCTATTTGCAGGACTTTATAATGCACCGAACGAGCGCGGCTTTCCTCGTACACGTTTAATGAGTTAGTTACACATCGATTCGAAGACGAGATTCACAAAACAAAATTGAACTAGTATTTCTAGTCATTTCTCCGGGAGGTTCGGGCTAAGGATGAATTAGTTACCTAATCTTTATCAACGTTGGTCTTACATTATGCAATTTACTCGTCAATTATATGGGAACCAGTAGTCGTTACTAAGAGTTTTGTATAAATTTAATTCTTTTTAAATTTTGTATCTATCTATAATAATTGTATTATCTATAAAATATTTATATATTTATCTACATATATCTTGAGTTTTGTCACGAGAGTTACCTCGCTCATCCCTATTAGGCTGTCTCTTCGGAAAGAGCCACAAAAAAAATTATAACGAATATTGTGAACGTACTTAGAATGTTTAACGCGTTTATAAAAGATACGCACGCATCGTCCTTGAAGACACCCCACGTAACGCGATACTGGTATCCCATCATAAGTACCGTTGTTATAGGTAATTAGTAACGTCGATAATTAAAGCGATGATGGCGGCGTTCAACTGGCCATTCCCTGTTTCAGTAATCAAGTTTAAACGTCGATGAAGCTATCGTGATATTCCAGGGACGTTATTAGATCAAGGGACTCGAAGGTAGAGTCAAACGAGAGAACTTACGATACGTCTATTATACTACGATATGATGATGATAGTTCAGAGCCTCTCATCTTGGCCCTTCAATTTCCCATCATTTTAGTATACTTTTATTTCACGTGTTCAATTCGAAGTCAATTCAATATATGTAAATAAAATCTTGGACCTTTTCGACCTCATCTGATGTTAGTTTTCAGTACAGTATTCATTTCTACGCCTAATACAAACTTTTTTTCTTCTTCACGTATTATGTTCTTATCATTTTATTTTATTTTACAATGAATCCTCTTACATGTAAGGCCCGTTGGGCTTACAAAGAGCTCGGGTACCTCGGGTTCGCCAAACCCGTGCTGCAGCTGCGACCAACCACAGCTACAGCCCCTGAGGGAGTATTCATAGTTGCACTACTGAAAGTCGTCTGAGTTCAACTGACCTTCACTACTTGCGATCGATACGAAACTTCTCCTGAATACATCGTCAAGCATTCGATCTCTATCGATCAGGTAAGACAGCGATTCTTAATCACCGTGTCACGACATACCACAGTGTCGTCAAGACGGCTACATCATATCACGAATGAGATACAATGAATTTCTACTTGTCGTAGTTTTTAAACATTTCATTTGTCATTTTCACTGCTGATTACATCAGCGGCATGAAGAACCTCTAGGCCGAATTAATTTCACGAGTTATTTTTTAATGATTGCATTAAAATAAATGAAATTCTAGAATAAATAATAGAGAAATAATCACTCTTTTAAATGCATTCATATTTAAACTGCTGCTTGTTCCACAGCCCTGTTATATTTTTATAATATTTATTCAAGACTAGATCCCTCCTTAAATCCTGTCATTAGTATTAAAAGATAAGGAATCTTCCCTGAGAATAGAATTTGGTGTATTGTTCGATAAATTCCTGAGAGGGTATACTCGTGAGACCGTCTTGATTTTATTTAGCGTTAGCTAGCGTCTTAACGAGCGTGAAGAAGTTTTTGCGTCAGTAGAGCTCAGCTGAAAAAGGAGAAAAACAGAAGGGAAGGCGATCACGTTGAAAACCAAAGTATATCGGCAAAGAATTCGAGGTCGTTCTCACGTAACAGGTGGAGTAAATCAATGCCATAGAAGCGTGCGATGATAGCTGCTCGAAGAATGGCTCTATATACTCCGATTAATTAATGACGAGTTCTTGCGTGGCCATGAAAACAGGAGACATCCGACTTAAATCATAATTTTGCCCATGCAAGCAGAAAAAAAAAGGAGGTACTGCATAAATTTACTTCTGCATTACATTCTGACTGTTTCGATAAACAAATAAAGAATTACATACATTTAATCCTATATAGTAGTATATGACATAAATTTAATTCTTGCCCTTGCAAAAGGTACATAAATATTGACGATCGAAATACGTGTTCTGTGTATCGTTTTGTAGTGCCGTGATAACCAGAAACTCTATACAGTATCCCAGTTTTCTACTCTACTCTTACTCCGTGTTACACCCTACCTTAGACACCCGATATCGTTTCGTTGACATTCAATATGATTGGCATACGAGTCCTACGTAGTACGACATCGAGACGCGTATTGAAAAGAAATTGCAATGAATACGGGAAGGTGTGACACAGAGATGCATACGTTCTGCTCTGCCGATCGAAGAAATTACTATGCCTAGGACTATCACATAACTCACTATATCGCTAGCAATCGCAATTAATGTGTAGACGTTCTGCGATCCCATTCATCGTCGTTCGTGTCTGATTATAAACCCTTCAAAGGTGGATATTTTACGCTGCAAATTCAACGAAAGCTAGAAAAGAAGATAACTGAACTATCTAAACAAATTAAATTTTAATACATTCAAACCATATTTGATTATCGAAACAGCAAAGTGTACTGTAGTTTATTTGCCACGCCTTGAAGGATTCAATTCTTTGAAATCATCTACATTTCTTTAACGTTAGACACGTGCGATCAGAAACACTGAAATTGTATATCGAAATAAAAATAATACTTGATCCTGTAAAGTGTTTCTCTATAAAGAATCATTTTGAACCCGAAGATTAGACTTACCACAGTTAATTTTACAGTCGATCTCGTTGTCAGGGTGATCCTTCGCGTGTCCGTTCATGAAAACTTGTTCAAAGTTACTCATATCGTCAGCAAAATTAACAGACAACTGAAACAATTCTTTATTACGAGAATTGCTGTTTAGTAAACTATCCGTAGAGAGAGAATAGTGTGTACTAAGCTTGGTTTCGGACAACAGATTTATATATCTACCGAGAAGGAAAAACCTTTAGTTAGCTAAACCCCCTTCTACTTGTATCCCACTCAATTTAGTACTACAACATAGACCGTTCTAAGATTTATCAACGTTCATATTGGACAATTCAGACGATTTGCGATGACTGGGTATAGAATTTCATCCATTATTACGAAAGATTAAATATTAAATATTTCAGTATATATAATGTAAATTATACTGCTCTTTTGTTCGTCGTTTAGCGTAAACTATATTGCGCAAATCTTAGTAATCTACACTTAACTATTTATGAAAACAGTATTATCTATATAAAAGTTCACGTTGTTTATTTTTTCACGTAAATTATAGGCACCAAATAATAAGTGTATTTGTTTTATTTCATTACTCTAGGAGGGGAACAGCCATTTCTATCACGCCCCACTCCTCTTGATCCATTATTATCAGCAACTTGGATAAAAATCAATACTTTCGTACCTTAATACACAGACATATACTAATGATAATTACATATATTCTATTGTTACACTAATTTCAATCACTTCAATGATAAGGCTTTTCAACTTTTAAAATAAATTTTAATTAGCTATCATTACTTTTCTCATCGTGTTTTGTACTCAAGAGCCCCTAGCAACGAGTGACCCGACATACACGTGTGTCGGAACCTTGAGCCTACGGATGCATGAAATATTATAAATCAGAATCGTAATAATTATTTCTTGGAAACTAAAAATAAGAGGTAAATATTATTTTACACAAAAATAGTTGGTATCCTAACCCCTTCGATATACTTTAGAGCAATATACTTAAAATTGATGACAATGTTGATAAAGTGCGAAACAATCGAAATCTGTGGTAGTGCAGCTTTATATTTTATTTCATAGTATAATAATACAATTTTGCTGGCTTAGATACAAATGTAAATTTTCTTATAGTGAGAAGAATACAATTTCATTCAAAACATAACAAAAATTATCAACATACATTGTAACAAATAAAAAAATAAAAATACAGTGAAGTATGTGCGTTGCGCGTTAAACGAATAAAACATGTTTAACTATCAATTACCGTATTTTCGTCGAACATTTGCTGTAACGTAATTAGGTATTCAATTATTAATTATCTTAACGAAAGTAAACACTTTATATAATTAACATTTATCGAACATTGAGATTACGATATAATACCAAGTATCAGTTAATATGAATAAATTGTAAATTCTAAGTAAAAAAAAAATTGGTTAGTATCAAAGTTTTCATTTTCTTTTTTCAAAATATGTATAATCAATCGTGTCATATGTATTAGAAATACCTCTAATTTGAAATACTACATCACAACATTGAAATGGTAGTTACATTGGAAGGGTATTATAGTATATCTCAATAAAATAAGATTTATGGTTACCATCTGTTGTTGTCTTCAAAATTAAAAAAATATGTGGCCCTTTTTTGCAAATAGTTTTAAATGCACAAATTGAGATCAAAATATTTCTATAAAAAATATCAATCTTGACAGTTAACCTTACTTAAAATTTGAAAATATTAGTATCAAATTCAAATAGTTATAAAATATAGAAAATTATATGTTCTCATGTCCGCAGAAGTTGGGCAAATTTTATTATTAACAAAGAATACAAATAAAAGATTTATTCCAAAAAATAAAAAAAATTCATTTATTTTTAGTGATAGGAATAAACCTGGAATTTCTATTCTCTATTCAGCACAAAATTTGCATAACTTTCACTATCATACAACACAGTTGTATGCGTATATAAGAGTCTGTTGAGTATTTTATTTCTCAATCTGTGAGACAACTTCAAATCTGACACCGTTTTTATTTAATTCTTCAATGAGTGATGTTTTAGCAAATGCAGCACCAGGAGATAGAACGCCGCCTCTAAAGTAATAAAACAAAGGAAATTAATCTTTATAGAATTGCCTGCAGTAAAATACATTGTATATTTAAAATAAAAATATGAACATACTTATCGGGCATTTTATCAGATTCCTTGAGAATTGTCATGGCAGAAAACAATAACATAATGCATGTTGCGCCATATCCAGGATTAACACCACTAACTTTAGTGATTAATTCTTTATTTGGTGGATCTTTATGTTTATCAGTGGGTTCAGCTAATTTTTCAGTCCAACCTACAGCTTTAAATGTAATACTGAAATGGGAATTTTCCAATGCTTCTGCAGAAGGGCCTTCGTGGCTTACAGTTCCACAAGAAAAGAATGCAGGATACTAAACAAGATCCAACAAATCTTAATACCATGTTATAATGTACAACATTTCATTATAAATAAAATATAATATACCTTCAATAATAAATTACGGCCAAATTCAAATTTGGACAACACTGCGAACATCAATCCAAAAATAATAGTTGCCAATGCAAAAAAAAGAGACCTGTTAACAAAATGATTAAAATATCTTAATATATACTTCTTTAAAGCGATTGTATACAGCGACAGTTTTGACGGACGTTCACCGTAGATATTTTAAATATGAAACTTACTTAAATGTAACATATGTTTGAATTTGTACTGGTCTCTGTTTATATTTTTCATACAAAAATCTTTGAGAGCGTAAAGTCACAGATCGATCAGATCCTGGGAACACCATGGACCATCCCTTCACCAAAGGAGATTGATGAATCAAGCCCCTAAAATAAGCGTTATTAGAAAATAAGCATTAACATATGCAAATGCACGATATTATTTCGAACCTTCTGTTTAACTTTGGTTGGAGTGAAGGCAATTTTTCGGGATACAGTTGTTTACGCAATCCACGTAATTCATTATGATGGGCTACTCCATAAATTGCTGATTCATAAGTACCATAATGTACCATAGGACCACTAACTTTCGATGTTACCCAACAAGATAAATACGTTTCAATGGAATTAACTTCCCCATCAAATTTTTGTTGTGTGAAAATTACACCAAGATCACATGGTATACTGTCAAATCCACAAGCACTTATAATGTAGATACCAGCATCTTGAGCTGCCTTGTTATATTTCAATGCTATACTTTCCATGTACTGTAATATAAATAAAAAAACAATTAATAAGACTAAGCCAGTTAAATGTTAAATGCTTCTTATCTTATAAAACATTGACTTGTAGTACAAACCTGTGGTTCACCACTAACATCAACATGATGTGTACGAGTCGCAATACATGCTTTAACAACTGGTTCTCCATAAAATCTATATGGACCACAGCAGTTAACAAGTACTTTAGCTTGCTCTGTCATTTTTGTCAATGATTCTTCATCTTTCAGATCAGCAACAATTATACGTACATTTTCTAAAAAATGTAAATATGACATCATTAAATTAAAAACATTACAAACTCCTCAAAAAATTCCATGCTATAAAAACAACTTATTTTACCAATGTCGGGAGCATATTCTTTAACAATTGTTATCAAAGCTTCTTTACGACGACCGGAGACTCCAAACTTAATTTGTTTTTCCTTAGCCAATTGTGCTGCTACTTTCACAGCATGTTTTCCAGTAAATCCAGTAGCACCAAATATTACAAAATCTAATCTCTCGTTCGCCATGATAGCAGTATCTATGAAATATATGCAATTTTAAACTCTGCTACAATGTAAATTATTTTGTTATAAAGTTAACATTTACGTAACGCATTCCCTCAGGATATATGACATACAAAATTTTTATATGATTACAATTTATACGAATTAATATTGTTTAAAATGCTAGTAATTTTTAACTGCTGCGCAATTCTTTATTAATACAAAACATACAGTTCTTTAAACATATTAATGTCCCGAATATTTCGTTACGTTATTTCGCCGGTAATTCAACTTTGACATATCGAATACTTAATATTTCTTTGTAGTTTTATGTACTCAGATAAATATGTTAGTTAAAAATCCATATTCGTTAAATACTTACTGTTGAGGAAAGAACAAAATTGCGACCTTTTTCTGAAATGTATAAGTGCTAAAATGCACAAATGTATCCTTCAATCTTCAATTGCGTCTGTTCTGGTCTGTTCAATGAGATTTCCCGATTCACTGTATCAACTTGTCTACGTCAGAGTCAGAATTGAATGGTGCGCTGTTATGCTGGAATTTTCAGAGTGGGGTGGAGTGGGGATGAAATCATACAAAGAATTACCAAATTATGAATCATCAAATTGGAAATTTATGAAAGTCATCCGTAATAAATAAAAATATAATTCGTACGGGATGAAATTTTCTGAATTAATATCTTTAAATGCATGTTCAGATATTTTGTATACTTGCATATTGATATATGTACTTCGATGTAAATGAATACTTTGCATATCCATATTTAAATTCTGCGATCAAATGTAAAGAATACAAAAATATCACGTGGACTATACTGCAATTGAAATGAGAGATAAACAACGCTACTGTAGTAAGTACTGATTAAGAAGCAATTAAATACATATTCAGACATAATAAAATTTGCTCAATTTTAATTATGCGATATTATATTATTTTACTACATCATTTATTTCATTCTCTTATTTTATATTTACAACATACTTTGCTTTATTACTCACGGTCTGTATTCGGCTAGTAATAAATTATAAATAGCTCACTGTTTAGAATATCACTTTGCAATTAAAAACCTAAGCTAGCAGATTTCTATTATGGTGTAGTTTCAATGTATGTACTTTTATTCGTACGTTAAGACACAAAGTATCGTTAATGTAGTCCGTACAATTCCACTTTGTTCTGGCCAGATATCATCACCTGTGTATATTATTATTTACAAAAATGCACGCTAAAACTTTAACCATTGATTGATTTAGTTTGTATGGATAAAATATTCTACAAATTCTTTTTTTTTTGTATTAGAGCCTCGCTAAAGGCATGTTGTTTGACAAAGAATAAATTCGAATAATAGGAAATAAACGCTATTAAGAAAATATTCTAGTGCTTTTGTGATTTTTTAGGTTCAAAAAAATTAATGCGTAAATTACAAAAAGCTTATGACTTTCATTTTTTCACGGATATAAAATTCCCAAATGTTCGTTACGGAAATATAGCGCAATCGATATTGTTTGTAGCGTCCTAATAGATAAACGACAGAATACAAAGTTCTCGCAAAAACGTATCCACTTTACAAATCCTTATAATAATTTAAGATTTAATTGAGAACCATTTGAATACCGTTCTAGAGATATTGATCATTGGATAATTAAAAACTCATTTCCTCATTCTACTTACGATATTGTAGTTATATTCAATAATTCTTAACCGAAGCAAAACTGAGGGATCTAGTCTTTCGTTTATTCTTTCTACAAAAAAAAGATCGGAATACTATCTCAGTAACTCCATAGTTAAATATACATCGAATATAACTATCGCCTTATACTAATATTTACAATATCTCACATCGCTTCAGATAGGATACAAAACTATGGTACTTTAAAAGAATGAACGCAAAAATAGAATTCTTATCTAATTTTCAATTGCGAAAGTATAAATTCTATATAAAAGAGAAGAAAGTTATTCTTGCTCTTTCGAGAACGTGATCATCTGTTGTCAAATATCATATGTCGTCTTGTTCTTAATTTTATAATAAATACATGCGTATTGAGACAGTGTAGACCACCTACATTGTACACTAATACGAAGAGTTGTTGTATTATACTACATATTCCTTTTGATGCAAGATTTCTGTGGAGTTTCAGTTTATAGAAAATTTATATGTTCACTAATTTGTACAATTTTACAGACATCATTGTATTAAGTAAGACGCTGATGATTTAATGTCTATTGTAGTGCAATTAGATCGGTAGATCAATGGTAAGTGAAATTATTACACTAGAAATCAATTGTAAAAGTTTGAAGATATATGTTGAAACGTAGCATAGTTTGAAATAGTGAATAACTGTATACAAGCTAAACATCTATTAAACGTACTTGTTCAGTATCGAAAATGCAAAATATATTATATGTGTTTCAGGAAGGCGTACCAGTTTAAATTATGTTTCAACATTGTACGTAATATTATACACTAAAACCACATTGATTTGATTTTACTTCGTTATCAGACAAATCTTGCTATAATTGCACTCTAATAAAACTGTTTTGAATACATGAACATAATTTCTCATGCGTGATAAATATATTAATGAATACAAACTTAAAAATTCAATATCACCGTTTTTGCAAGAAATCTGATATATATATAAAAAAAAGTATTAATTATGTACTAAGAATATGTATCAATTTTTTTATCTTTGCACAACCTCTCCTCAAAAGTCTTAAAAAGACAATTCAATCATGGTAGAATTCATCGCATATTAAGTAAGCATTGGAATAGATTTTATACATAGGTACAAGTCGCGTGTGGTACTATCACAGGATAAACTGTGTAAAGAAATTAGCATGTAACCACATTTAAGCGAGCATAATGTACAGTGCTCAGTCAGGTAAAACAACGGAAGGCTCCATCAGAATTACAACCGCTCAACGACACATTCGAGAACGGTAACGAGGAAGGAGCACTAGGAATTAGCATTTGGTGGAGGAGGTCTTCGATCATAATCTCGTCTGTAGTCTTTGTTTGGCCGCCAATCACTGGGATAACCATCCCCGGGATACCCATCTCCAGGATAGCCATCACCAGGATAACCACGGCCCCTAAAATGACTTGGCGCAATATCAGATGGCGGATAACCACCACCACCTCCGCTCCCATAACCTCCTGGACCATATCCATAACTCGATGGATGATACCTATAATTATAATTAAACACTACTTTATGAAATTTAGTAGTAGAAATGCTTGATACGAGATTAATTCTACGACTATAATTTCGTTCATAGGTTTAGAATAAATAAGAGGCAAATTTTAGTTTTAGTTTATAGGTTAGTTTTTTAACTAACCTTCTTTTGTCATTCATGTGCATATTGCGTTCACGCTCTCTGTCTCTATCCCGGTGATATCCGCTGGACATCCTTGCATAATCGAAACGATCACGCTTATGGTCTCCGAATCTATAAATAAATCAACAGTTGAAATTAGACTATAAGACCAGGTAAATTACATTAATGTATAATTTCTCATTCGTGTAGAATGTACCTTCCGTCCCTCATGTCCCTTCCATCACGGGGTAACCAATGATCATCTTCTCTGCTACCACTGTAATGTCCGCTTATACTGTAACCACCACTGTCTCTTCTGATCCTCTCATCTTTTCCTCCACTCATTCTCTCCATACTTCTATCACTATGCTGTCTATCTCTGTCCCTATCACGTTCCCTGTCCCGTTTTACATCTTTGTGTTTTGATTCTTTTTCTTTGTGCCGCGGTGTATCCGTGCTATTGGTGGTACTTGACGTAGAATTTGGAGTTGATGTGATAGGAGTAATAGTGATAGCACCAATAGTAACCGCAGATGTATTGCTGATATTGCTTACAGCAGACAGAGCTGAGAAATGTTTCTTGCTTGGCGTGCTACCATTAGAATTTTCTTCTATATCTTCGACTCTACGTTTCTGTATTCTGTCTTTACTGGTCTCTATTTGCTGTTTATCGATATGTTTCTCGTAAGATTTCTCCGTATGTTTCTGCAAAATTAATTATTTAAGAAACTGTCTTGTATTATTGCATGATGATATAATGATATCAGTCAGGTCAATACCTTGAGGTTACTTGGCTCCTCCTTCTTTTCTGGACTCGACGCGGCACTTGTATTACTTTCACCTCCCTTTTTTGTTGCATGTTTGTATAACTTGTAAAGTTTCTTTGCGTCAAACTCTGTAAACTTGGACACAAAATACCATAAATTGCTTCTCCATTCCTTAATTTGTTCGGGATCTCTGTATTCTTCGAGACAAGTATTAATTTGATTTCCAATTTGAACGAGACATTGCCTTGTATTAGCAACTTGTTCCGCCTCGCTTAAAGACTGGTCAGGCCTGTCCAAAGCTTTGAGTGCTTTCTTTACTGGTCTCATTTTTTCTTTACACTAAATAAAAAAACACGAAAAAGCACGATTACCTTACCTGACTAATGTATACGAAGTATATAACAACATAAATATGAATAACAACCTCGTTAAATATAGAAGGATCTAAATCTCCAAGAACATCCAAAGCTCTTGGTTCGTTATTGGCAGTAAAATGCATAGGACCAGCGGCTTGCTTAGTCTTTTTAGCCTTTTTATTTTCTTTCTTTTCCTTCTTAGTCTTCTTTTCCTTTTTTTTCTCTTCAGGTACATCTTCGACTTCTTCTTTAGTTTCCTTCTTTACAACCACTTCTTCTTCCTTCTTTACAAGTGGCTTAAATTGGATGAATGTATAAAGTTTAAAATATTTTTTTGAATAAAATAATGCACAATTAAATATGAAATTTACCTTTTCAACCTTTGGTTTGGATTTACTATTTTCGTCCCCTGAACTGTCGTTTTCCTCTATAATTTCTTTCGTAATTGCTGTTTTTACTTCCTTTGGTTTTCTTGGTTTCCGTGTTTTAGTCTAAATTATTAACAATATATACACTATGCAAGTATATATTTAATATGTTATACATTTGATAATTGAAAATATATAAAATAAGAAGGGAAATAGGGAATTTGGAAATTACCTTAAATTGGTATTCTGATTGTGGGTAAAACACATAACCCTGTTATGATAAAATAAAGGTATAAAGGAATTTATTGGGGAATATTGCAAAAATAAAAATAATATTCACTTACCACTCCTAGTTTGGTATCAATTTGTTTCTTGAGTACTTTCAAGAGGTATTCGGCTCGGGCGTGAATTTTTTTTAAATGAACTTTACTCCCATTTTGAAGAATTTTATCACCAAGTTTTAAAGTGTTATCCATTTTTATCGCTTCCCATGAACCCATACCATGCGTATATATACCTTTCAAAAGTCTAGAGTCATCTTCAGAGTTCCACTCACAATCAAAGTTCGCAGGCTTTAATCTACGTCAGCAATCACAATCAATTAATTACAAATACATTTAAATGGATATATCCAATTGCAAGGATTTAAAACTTACTTAATGTCGATATGCCAATTAGATCGTTGTTCAGCGTCTGATGGCAAAGCTTGTTCTAAAGGTTCGAGTTCTTTTACCGCTGCTGAGAAAGATTTAGCATTAACCATAACACCGCCAATTTTAAATGTGGGGCCTCGACCCCTTTTACGCCCGGGACCTTTACCCTCTTCTTCCCCTTTATTTTCCTTAGCGATACTTTCGAATTCTGACAGACAAGCTTCGCATCTACTTTTTAACTGATCTCCTAAGAAACGTAATTCAGACATTGGCTTTTCTTGTAATTCAGCGTCCGCAGCAATATCGTCCAATCGTTTTAAGGGTGCAGGGAATTTCTTATAACTCTTAACAAATCTTCGTATCTACGCACGAAAATAATTCGTATTTGTCTTAGCGTAAATAAATTAATTGTTAGAATGTAGTAAAAAAATTACGTACTTCTGCATCAGTAAAACTTTTGATATTTTCTCGGGGTGTGACTCTTGGTCGACCTCTTTTTTTAGGACGTTCGTCATCACTACCTTCAGCTTCGCTTCCAGAATCTTCAACATCTTCGCTATCGTCTGCGGATGCCTTTTTTCTTTTTCTACCCCTTCCTGTATATTAAAATCAAGATTTAATTTACACATTTCGCAATAATAAATAAATGTCAATGGTACCACATACCTTCACCTTGATTAATTTGCTGGAGAGTTTTCCGACTTCTCGGTGGTAAGTACAGATCTTCCATTTCTTTCGATTTTTCTTCTTCTTCAACTTTTTTTCTGAAATTTTCTGGGATAATTTCCGCCTAAAATAAGTCCAACAGTACAAAATGCAATCAACGAGTGTTGCTTTCGCACTTTTGAAATATCGTAAAGTATCGTTTACGTAAGGAATAAATGAAACTCACCCAATCTTTACTTTCGTCATCATTGTCATTCGGCTGATTGACTGGTTCAGCTTCTTCCTCGAATGCAGCAAAACTAGCTACTTTGAATGCAGATAACAATTCATCTCCTACGGTTGCAGGCCCTTCGTCTCTCGTTTCAGCTCTCCTTAGAATTTCATCGATATCGCACTAATTACATACAAATAACAAAAATGTATTTTTTAAATTTGTGTACACATTTCATTTAAAATAGTTTAAAGCCTTCGGAAATATTACAGTTGGTTCCTCGTCTCCATCTTCTTCGTCTTTAAATAAATCTTCAGCGCCAAACTTTAAAATAGCATTTAGATCTTCTTTGTTGAATGGATTATTATTGGTCCCCGCATTTTTTTTATCTAATACTGTTCGGCCTGTTGTGTCCATCCGTTGAATAACAAGGTGATCAAGAACCATTTTTTGTTTCGCCCTTTCTACTATTTCCTCTTCCACAGAATTTTTAGTCACTAATCGGTATATATTTACCTATATAGAATGTAAGAGTACATAACATATTAATTATTTGATTGATAAACTAAGACATAATAATGCTACGATAAAAAACATTTAAGAATTACCTGATTTTTTTGACCGATACGATGTGCTCTAGCTTGAGCTTGTAAATCATTCTGTGGATTCCAATCTGAATCAAAAATGATGACAGTGTCGGCAGTAGCTAAATTAATACCAAGACCACCTGCCCTTGTTGATAATAGAAAACAAAAATCTGGCGATCCATCTGCATTAAAGTGATCTAATGCTTGTTTTCGTAATTCTCCTTTTATACTTCCATCTAATCTTTGAAATGGAAAGTGTCTCTTTTGTAAATATTCACCAAGGATATCCAACATTCTGACCATTTGACTAAATATTAATACTCTATGACCTGTTTCGCGTAACCTAACCAATAATTTATCAAGAAGAACTAATTTGCCAGACCCGCGAATTATTTGTTGTAGATAATCCTCGTTACTCTCCTTTCTCTCACTTTCGGTAGGTTTTGTAAGAAATGCGTGATTACAGCACTTCTTTAATTCGATAACAATATTTAAGAAGGTCATAGTAGATCCTTTAACGCCCTTCCGTAATGCATTATAATTTTTAGTTAATATCCATTTATAGTATTGTTTTTGCAAAGAAGTCATCTCGACGCGTAAAATTTGTTCAACTTTGGCAGGTAAAGACTTTTCTACATCCTTTTTAACGCGACGTAAAATAAATGGTTCTAATTGCTTATGTAATTTGGAATATCCCTTTTGAGCTGCATTATCATGCTCTTTCTCAAACTCTTCCCATGAATTAAATTTAGCAGGCATTATAAAGTGTAATAAGGCCCATAATTCTTTTAAGCTGTTCTGTAATGGTGTACCAGTTATTAGAAGGCGGTGATTTGTATGAAATTCGGCAAGTGCTTTGTACAAAAGAGAATCGTCGTTCTTTAATCGATGCGCTTCATCTACTAATAACACGGCCCAATTTAAGGCACCCAGAAATGCTTTGTCTTTAAGTACTATTTCATAAGTCGTGAGTATGGCATTAAACTTTAATCTCTTTGAACTATAACACCACTCATACTCTCTAATAACATTACGGGAAGTAACGTCACCCAAATAGGTGACGAAATTCATGTCTGGTGCCCACTGTGACATTTCTCTTTGCCAGGAAGTCATTGTTGAAAGAGGAACGACTAATAGAAATGGCCCATGAAGCTGATGTGTATGGAACAAGTAATAAAGGAAGCATATCGTTTGTATTGTTTTACCAAGCCCCATTTCATCTGCTAAAATAACACTATTTTCTTTGCACCAAGAATGTATCATCCAATTTAATCCATCCATTTGATAGTCTCTGAGGGTCAAATCTCGTCCTCTGCCCATATATTCAGGCTGTCCCTTAACTTGATGAAATTTGGGTCTTGATTTGAGGACTTTGCAATGTTTACTGGGCGTTCTCTTTGAATCTTCCCTATCACGAAATTCTTTTATTTTTTCTGGCCATTTTTTGACAATCAATGCTCCATCTTCCCATGTGGCTTCAGCATATGGCAAACTCTCCCACTTACAATAATAATCTGGATGATCTGAATCAGGCTTGTTATATTCAGCAATGATTCTTTCAACATTATTATAGCTTTTGAGGAGGTCTTGTTGAAGTTCTAATTGACACTCAAAGTAATCTATATCCTCGGGTCCAGCATAATCCCTCCACTGTTTAATTTCCCGTTCTCGCTTAATAAAATTATCTAATTTTTTCAGTCCTTTTACTTTTTGTGCTTTTAAAGATTCTTCTGACTCCCATGTATTATGTATATGAGACCATCCTTTCCATTTTATCGCGTACTGCATTTCAGTTTCTTCATTAGTCAAATCCGTTGGATTAGGATCGCCATTTTCTTCAACAGCATAAATTGTTGTAACATTTCCTGTAACTCCTTTTTTACCCAGTCTTTGTCCCAAAATTCGTTCAATCGTTTCTGCATTATCAGGTTCCGCATTTGTATTACTCCCTTCTTCAACTTCCACCAAATCTTCACTGTCTGTTCTCTCTTCACTTTCTTCTTTATAACTAACTGCTGTGCCAGTTCTTCTTGAAACTTGCCTGTAATAAACGAATTTGTAGTACACTAATAATTAATTTACTAATGTTATTTATTATACATTTAATACTCCGTCTACACATCTAAACAGATAAATTAAATACCGTCTATTATCATCACTGTCAAAGGAAGAATTTTCAGATGATTCTGAAATTCGTTTTTTTCGCGCTCTTGCTTTTTCCTTTGCTTTTTGAGCTGCACGTCTATTTAACGATTTGCTAGGCGGGGGCCTCCTGCTGTCAATATCATCAGATTCAGAATCTGAACTATCTGAGTTCCACGAATTGTGCGAACTGTAAAAAATATGCAAATGTATGTTGAATATATTCAACATAAATTACATTGTAATAATAATGAAATAAAATATCCATTTCATTTTTTATTTGTTATCAACACTGATAAAATGTTCACATTATATAATAGATATTAAAAGTCTTCCCTGTGTCTATGTAATAAATGCAAATTAAATAATTATACTACTTATAAAAATCGCATGCATAATGAAACAACACTTTTATGATATATTAGTAACAATTTAGAAAATAACAAAAATAATTTACAAAAGTCTTATACAAATATTTGCGTAATTATTCACGTAATCAAATTTCTATTACTCAATTATTCTCATGCATATAATCTAACACAATTTCAAGTTTAATATTTTATATTCATTATATATCTTTCCATACACACATTTTAATAAACACAACATACAATAACATACGGTAATATTATAAGTGTGATGTTACACAATGTAATGTTTCATTTAAAATATGATTATTATTCATCCATTATTAAACTAAGTAAGAAAACAAACGATAGTGCCATAATGTAAAAACTATTTTTAAACACCAAGCTGCATAGACAAATTTAAGAGTGGGAAGAATGCAAAAATACTATGAATAAATCTAACACAAAGCACATTAATACAGACCATGTGCAATATAGAGTGCTATATACATAATTATACACAGAAGCTTAAAAAAATATTGCTGTCAAAGTTACAAGATCTACTAAGTAATATTAAGTTGTGTATGTCATAAAATGCAGAAATGAAGAAATTGAACAGTCAGTAGTATATGATCACTTTTTTAAACATTATAATGATTGGAATTTATAATAAACATCATTACTACTATTATTATTTGAAATATTATTTCTTTTGTGTATTACATTTAAAAAAAGGATGTAACCATCACTTGACTACATGTCATTATGTTATTTTGTATTATAAGTGTAAATCATATATGTAATTTAAAAAATACATTATGTAATGTATTACAATGTATATTCAATCTACAAGGAACAATTCATAGGATTACAGAATTCATAAATTGAATTTGTGGTAAATACTTGATTGAGTTTCGATTATTACTTACCTTTTTTTCTTAAATATCTTGCGACTATCACTGTCACTTTCACGTTGAGTTGCAAGCCTTTCTGGCTCTTTCCTAGAACGCCCGGATCTCCTGATGCCATATATATCAGGATTCTCATCCCATTCACGACTAGACTCATTTTTAAGCCTAACTTTTGTGTCTGTGCTGTGATTTGAACTTTTGCTTTGGAAGCTATCGCTTTGTGCAGGTGCATCCGACTTCTCTGATTTATTAGAATCAGAACCTGATCCAGACCCGGAACCACTTGAAGAGCTAGAGTCACTGCATCAGCAGCCAGGCAATGTTTTATTTCACTAATCTTGTTAATACAGTGTACAGTATATTTTTAAATATGTTTAACAATAAGATACATCATGAGTACCAATCAATTTTAAATATATAACTAGTTGAAGCCCATCATTTTTTTTCTAAAAAATACCTTTAGGTATGTATTTCAAAGAATCATGTGAAACTAATATTGTTTTGTGTTTCTGTATGATCTAAGTTAGCATACACTATCCATATTGATTGGGACAAATTCATTATAAGTATAAATGAGTAAAAGCAGTACTAGTTTACCTAGTGCTTAAACTGTTTAGAGTACAAGGAGACAGATACTATAGCATGAATAACAAAAATTTGAAAATTGTGCTTACAAAAACTTCAAGGAATACATTAAATTAGCATGATTGTCAAAGCAATGTTAATGCTATATAAAGCTATAGCAATACACAAAGTCAAGTGATACCAATCTTAAAAAATCCCTTACATATCAGAAAGTCAAATACATTATATAAAGGAATATCATAGATACGTATATGTTACCATTAATGATTAAGTGTTGATTGCTATTATTAGTTCTGGTATACTAGTAGAAATTATGTAATATCCTATAAAGAAATGAATCAACTAAAAGAACAAAACTGAACAAAAATTAATGAAACCTACTCACAGGAGAGTAAAGCTTGAGAAACAATAATTTATATTATTCTAGAATTATATAACATAATAAGTGAAATTGTATAACCATAAAAAAACATCAATTTCATTGTGTATTAGACTTTCTGAAGTTAAAGGGATCAATTAGAAATATCGATACCCACCTTTCTGATCCTGAACCAGATCCTGTATTACTCCCTGAAGAAGAGCTATCGCTCTTACTTTCATTGTCAGAATCAGATCCAGATTCCTTACCAGACTCAGACTCTAATGTTTTCTGGAATTTAACCAAATCAATCTAGCATTTTCTTTTTTTAAATCTAAGAAATCGCAGTGTTGTTTGGAATAGTACTTCATTAATGATTACATAATAATTCTTTCAAGTTGTGTTATTATTTGAAATAAATTTTGTACTAAATTTTATTCATATCGTAAATGTGATATAGCGACGCACTTTTATTGGCTAATATACTTTCAATGATAAAAATATTAGTTGAACATAAGATGGAAATGCCACCTCTTCATATGAAGATCTCTCCTCCATTTTAGAATTCTTGTCCACCATTTTGTGATCAAGAAAGATTCAACTTCCAAGCTCTTCAATACATTTCCTTATAAGTACAGTTTACTTAATTGTTCTGAAGTATACTAAACGTTTAAGCAAGCTTTTGACCATAGATTTTGAGTCCAATTCAGTATATAATGACAAGAGAAATCTAAACAAATTATTGTAGATGAAAGAGAACTAAAGGAGACCCAAAATCTTATGTTAAAAACATTCTAATAAGACTTAAGTAAGGTAAGGCTAACTTAGCCTATAATGATTACAAGTTATAATGATCATTAAATAAATTATCTACCTAATCTTGAATTTGATTAGAACTAAGATTTATTCTTTAAATCATTTGTTGCAGAATTTCCTGCAACTGATTAGTTTAAAGCGTATAGAGTAGTTTCCTGTAAATAACCAGCTTAAGGTGTAGTGGGTGGTATCTTAAAAGAATAATGTAATTCACAATTTAAATACTGTATATATTTATTGAACAATTCAGGAAGTACAATCTGAGCAACACTTGGCTGAGCTTAATTTACATTTGGCTTTTTAATAATGTACAACTAGAAGATATTAATCCATGTAAAAGAACATACTGACAATAATTTCCTACCAGCCATCACTAAAATATTTCTTTGATTAAAGAATAATACTTTGTGTACGAATAAGCATAAGTATCGGTTATCAAAAGATTCAAAAGGATGAATTATACTCTAATGCTACATCTATTATATAAAGGATAACATTGTCTGAAAATAAAGACTTTGTTACATATGATAAATACCATTTACTTTTAATTGAAACTGCTAGGACATATGTTTTGCTTAAAAGGAACAAGATTTTGAATAGTTGAAAGAACGCTGTTTCTTCAATATTTGTTCAAAAATTAAATTCTTTATGCGTGAAAAGTAATTATCTTAAATTCTGTTTCAATATTATTTATGGCTACATAGCAATATAGAAAACAAGTCTAGATATACCTCGTGTCATGCTAGATGTATGAATAATGAGACACGTAACAATGAATCTTCTTATATCCATAATATTGATAGATTCTTATATACATGCTTGAAATAATTGCATCTTTTGTAATTAACCAAGCAACAGATTTTAAAGAAACCATTTATCATTATGAGAAGCTACATATTTTTCTGTTCATTAACATAGCAGCAATTCTGTAAACAAGGTTTATACAGATAAATGATCATTACTCATTTTCGAAGTACCATTATTTACTTTTGTTGTTATCAAACATTGAAAAGAATACTTTGTGTTGTGATATTAAAGATTATGTAACAACCAAATATATTTTAAAGAGAAACATGAAACAATGTTTCAACATTAATATATATATATATATATATATATATATATCAACTTGAATGTTTGAACAAAAATGTTATCGTAACTATTTTTACTCTTCAATACGAATCATTTTCCTCTGTAATTCTATAGTTTCCTTTCAGATGATTTTATTAAAAATTGTACTGAAATTGAAAAATGTATCATCTTTCTGTTAATTACAAACACAGGATGAATGCACGATACATCAAACCACATTTGAATCTAATTTTTATGAAAACTCTAGAGAATAAAAGATAAATAAAACCTTATCCGTGATATAAAAATTATTGAAATATTAGAGAAATTCCTGCTTCCTTTTCAAAGAAAAAGGTTTGAGTATGCTCAACATCTTTTAAGCAAAGAACATTTAATTGCTGTAGCTTTTACAAGAGATTGTGCCACACACTCTCAATCATAATAAGGAGAATGTGCACTATAATCTTTGAGCTTAATTTGCAAAAATGGGTCCATCAAAAAATTTTGATTAAACATAGGTTCAAGGTAAAGGAGAATACAAGGAATCATTTTTAACGAAAATTAGGGTGGAACAACGATATTTTAAGTGATAAATGTCAGATTGAATGAATGTAAACAAACTTATAGGTTATTAAGAGGCTGTAAACTATGTAAAGTTATGAAAAATTGTGATTTATCAGAGGCAAGTCTCTGAGCTCTGAAGGCCAATAGGGCTCCGCCCTACACGCAGAAACCTTTTAAATAAAGTTACAATTAATTTTTCCATTTTTACGAGAATTTTTCTAGCCGCAGTTCACTGAAACGCATGTGACAACGTGATTTTTCTCTATTCCAAACAACACCGCGACAATATCCCGCAAATTAATATTCGATAAAACATCGATGCTCGTATTTACAACGTAAACAACGGATTATTGGTAAAAGTATCCGTGAAAAGCTAAAACTTAAACAATTTTCGAACCCGACCACTCACCTGCATCGTCCCGTCTGCGCGTCGCACCGATATCTCGATATTACACGCACCACGCACAAATTCACGTTAATTTAATACTTAAACTACCGCGTATACACGTATTTGCAATGTTAAACGACTATTGATGTATAGAGTCGCGACATCGTGCAAAATTATCGAATTTTCACGTACTATATGGTCACGGGCCTGAGCTTGGCCGCCATTTTGTGAACTCGACTCGTTCTTTCGCCCTCCCCGACCGTCCTCTCGTCCATCGTCCCATCATGCAACGCGCGCGCGCGCGCACTCTTCCCTCCCCACCTTTCATCAACACCCCTTGCTATACCGAACGCCCTGCAAATGCTATAAATTTAATTTCTCGTGCACGACAATACAAAATATCTGAAAAAATCACATTTCGTTAGAAAATATATAAATTTACGACTTACGAATCTCGCGAAACGGAATTACGGAACATACGAAATTTTCGGAATGACGATAAAGTGTAGCCGCATAACGGAAACTGTTGTAAGACAGCCATTTTGATTACTCACGGAAATTTTACCCAGAATGCCTTGGCGACGGTTTTTCGATTGTTCTGTATGTGCGCAATTACGGCGATCGAACAAATCATGCAATGATATCGATACATTTCCCACTTTCGATACTAACATTTTAAACGTATTTTAATTGAAACACAGCTTAAAATGTACAAGACAAATTTAATTATTCCATGTAATTAGACGTATATTAACATAACGAGATTTATATTTTCTTAATATGAAAAATAGCATCCCAACACACAGTCGACATGTAACATGTAACGACGTTCATAAAAACCGTAAATGCGCAATACAGTGGTCGAGCTCAGAGACTTAATCCAATTTATCACAACTTAATCACACAATTATGTTTACATGATAAGTGAAAGATGTAGTACATGATATAAATGTTAATGGTGTCACCATGCAGTGTAAAAGCATTTATAGGAAGCAATATAATATCTAAAAGCTGACGTTTTCCATCAGATTGGGTAGTTAAGATGCAAAATCAAGTTGAATAGCGAGATTAGAAAATAGGTACTCGAAATACAACAAAAAAAATGACTTCTAATAAAACAAATGGTTTTACCCGGTCCAATGAAAACTAGCTTGCGTTTTCGCAGGCGATGAAACTAACGTAATATGACGAGAATGTAAGACGAAAAATATTACCCAAACACCCGTGGCACGGCGCACCGGAAAAGGAAGAAAGGTTCATGAGTTCGATATACGATTATTTATAGCTTCCGGTCGAAGATCGATTTCTCGTTATATCGCAAATCGACTTCTCGTTCGGAGATAGGCGCGTAAAACAATTACGGAGGACCTTCTACGAAACAATAGAATAGTAAAATGTTACAAGTTACATAAATAAAATTATTTTATTATATAGTTACATCATAATATTGCTATTACTGTTTCTTAAAACTAATTCAAAATATATATTTATTGATATTTGTTTAATGTAGACCTAATCTTCAATTTACACTACCGTAAATATCCTACAATTAGTTCGTTTTACATGATGTAATTTCATTTAAAAATTACTAAGAATACATGCAATTACAGAGATTCATCTAAGGGGAAAGTTATCAAATTCCGGAAACGGAACGAAAGTCTCTCAACTAAAACGCTACATGATATTATTTTAATAGAATATGAATAGGATGAAAGGGTTATTTAATTTTATTTAAAAGTTCTATTTTTTCCAAGTTTCTTTATTTACATAATAATTTTAATGTCTGCATTGTTTAATGTACATGAGAGGTAATAATGAGAAGAAAATATGGTGTTCACGTAATGCATACATAGCAGATGAAATTTATATACACATACACGTTTTTTTTTAAATGTAATACTTAGCAAATATATACAAATATCGATTCCTGCAAATGCTTATATAGGACAAAAATGTGAAACAATCGGTGTAATATATCGATATAAAATGTTTAGGATTTCACTGTATAACTGGTTCGTTTAATTAACAATTTCTTATATTCACATTTCCTATGATAAATCGGAATTATATAGTAATTCAATCTTAAAATAAGGTAAAGTGTAACACAGTAATATAATATTAGAATAAGAAAAAACCAACGAAGATGAGAATTTTATATTCACTGCCCAGTGACAATATTTTATTTTAACATATTCATGATATTAAAGGATACTTGCATAAATGAACTCATGAATCTCAACACACAGAATTTATATGGATTCATGTTATTCTGGATCTGGTGTTTCTTTTGTTTCATCTAATGACTCTTCTTCTTCTTCTCCATCCAATTTTTCCTTAGCTTTTGCATCAGGTAACCAAAGGCCACTATCAACACATCGCTTTATATGATAAGCTACTTCTTCCTTTGGCATTTCCGCCATTGTTTGATGCAGTAACGGAATATCTCGTGTTTCAAAACATTTTTGTAGAGGCTACAAATAATACATTGATATGAAAACAACATATTGACTGTTAAGACAATGCACAAACACGTCTGCGGTAAATTCATTTTTACCTCTGGTAGACTTTCAAATACTTCAAGTGGATCAAGACCACCTGGTCCAAGACGCGCTTTCCTTTCTTCTTCTTCTACCTCTTTAAGGGCTTCTGCAACTTTCTCTACAGCTCTTTTACGTATTCTATCTTTAAATGCTCTAATTTCATCATCAAACGAATTTTTATATTCTACTTCCGCAATTTGAATGCGACTGAAAAATGAGCCCACGCATGCTCTTGGATCGACATCCAGTTGCTTTGATAACTCGAATATGTATTGCATACATATGCACTGATGGGCAACATGTTCTACCAAATCATGTTTCTGAAATTGATGACACTCTCATTAATGTAATAATTCTAACAATTACAATTAATTATAGCAGTTATTTATATTTCACACAAACATTCCATGTGTACTTACTCCCTCAATTTCCAAGTTAATACACCAGACCACTAAGTAGTTTAAAGTATTTTCACACACTAAATGAGGATTTTCTGACAAAAATTTCTTACTGTCGTCGTATCTCTTTAACATACCAAATTCTTTTATCTTTTTTTTATGTTCTTCAACAAATTGTTTCGTTCTCTTTTCTTTCTCTTCATCTGACAAACCAGAATCATCTTCTCTACGACCTGGCCTTGTATTAATTACAGTTTTCGTAAAGCCATCTTGACTAATAGTATCCACATTCCAAGGTGTCAGCTTTTCCTTTTTCTTAAATTCTTCCTCTCTTTGCCGAATCTTCTTTTCTTCCTCTTCAAGATCTTGTAAAACCTTCTTTAGTGCGGTTAAATCAGCAGAATCCTTTTGTTCATTTTCTAATTTTGAAAGTTGTTCCTTTGTTTCTTTCAATTTTTGAAGCATCCTGAAAATTCATATCACTCAATTAGATTTAATAAATACAGTCTCATTTATTAATGGAAAGTATGTGAAACATACTGTGTTTTTTTTCTTTCGTGCTCCTCGTGTTCTCGTTTTTGTTCTTCCATTCTTTCAATTCTTGCTTGATGACGCCATCTGAATAGAGATGGTGTATCGATATTTGGGTGAGTTTCATCCTCATCATCCGAGATCTGATAATTAAAAATTTTAGTTTACAAAATACATAAATGTATAATTATATTGATTGTAATTATAGCCTATAAAAAATCCTTAAACAATTAAAAATAATCATAAGGATGAGACATTGATGTACAAATTAAATGTTTATGTTAGTATAAGGATCTAATATTAAAATAAAGTATACATATATACATGTACATTTTTTTATAATTTATTTACCATAAATGCCTACAGAAGAAGTCAAATTAGAATTGGAATAATCAGGAATAAATTTGGTGATCTCGTTGTTTTCTTTAAAGTATAAATAAAAAGTATCCTTGACATTTCTACTTTTACTCTAGAATATTCTACAAGTGCACGGGATCAATATCCAGATTCTTACCTCAATATCTTTCCATTTGCTGTAGTCCACCATTGTTCGGTCCGTTAAATATAATTCTTTTGTGATAATTTGTCTCTGGTAATTTTATAAATGTAACTTAGGATATCAAGTACTGTTGCACTTCTATTAAATAAGAATTGCGACGCCTATATCTGCCTATACTTGCCGTAGTTTAATTGTCAATTGCACTAACGTGAATGTAGAACTTATATACGTGCGATATCCATTCGATCTTCGATATGATTATTCGATATATCATAACAGTGTTTCTCAATGTTCCCTGATTGCAAATTATTTACAACTATGAAATTAAACCAAACCCAAGCAAATATAATTGCGATATAATAATTTATTGAAATAAACAATTGATATTCATATTGAATATAGATATTTATTTGTGCGTATATTACATGCTACCAATGGCGCCATCGGTGGTAAAACGCCCAAGTTTGTAGTGAAAATAGTTCCCATTGTTGTTGCTAGATGGGACAACTAACTAATGGGGGCCCATATTTATTATTAAATTAAGCAACTATTATACTGTAGTGTTATAAATGAAGGAATCATAATATTTATGCATTTATGGAAAATAAAGAATAATTTATTAAAAGGTAATGGTGGCGCCATCTCCGAACAACAGTGGGAACTATTTTCTCTACAAACTTGGGCGTTTTACCACCGATCCAAATTGGCGCCACTAGGTCCAAAATTTGTATCAAATAGGATATTCTTAAAAATAATAAATTTGGCATAATCACACATGCGTTAACCAGTTTATTATTTCATATACTTATTATTTAATTTTATTTCAAGTTAATTATAAGGGAAATGAAATATATATATATATATACCTTCGAAAAATTAGTTCGATACTCACCGCTAGATGGCGATACTGATTTTGTGTCCATGAATCGCAGGCGTAGCCTTATATGGTTATATGATTAACCTATTAGTTTAACTTTTATTCTATGTATTTTATATATTAAACAGAATGATTGGCATGCGAATGAATGCGTTTAATGATACTGGACTTGGTGAACCAGAGCAAGATGCAAATACAGCTCTCATAGAATTAGATAAAGGTGTGTTTACGTTCTTTAACTTAACCTCGAATCGGTACCTTCCCGGTATTAATAAAATTTTATACCGAGAATTTGACAAATATTCTCGTAAGATGTTTTAATAGTCTATTTAGTAGGATTTTAATAAATCTATGTAATTGCTTTGAATTTGTTGAAATATGTATTCATTGAAAGTATTTTTTTCAGGCTTACGTTCCACAAAAATTGGAGAACAATGCGAAGCAATAGTACGATTTCCTCGATTATTTGAGAAATATCCTTTTCCTATACTAATAAATTCGTCCCTATTAAAATTAGCCGAAGTTTTTCGAACTGGCAGTAATTTTTTACGTGTCTGGGTTCTTAGAGTATGTCAACAAAGTGAAAAGCATCTGGACAAAATTTTAAATGTTGACGAATTTGTTAGACGTATTTATAGCGTAATACATTCCAATGATCCAGTTGCTAGGGCTTTGACTTTGCGTACATTGGGCAGTGTAGCTGGTATTATTCCAGAAAGACAACAGGTAATGGATCATTATTCACTTAGTATATGTGTAACAAATAAAAACTTTAAACTGAAAGATTAAATAATTTTTAAAGGTTCATCATAGTATAAGAAGATCATTAGATTCTCATGATTCAGTTGAAGTTGAGGCTGCAATATATGCTGCACAAATGTTTGCTGCACAATCTAAACTGTTTGCTGTTTCTATGTGCAGCAAAATATCTGATATGATTAGAGGTCAAGCTACGCCAGCATCAATGAAATTACAGCTTATACCTATTTTACAATATATGCACCATGATACTTTTACAGCTTCAATGGTATATAAATATAAAGGACCTTATATATATTTAGTGTAATGGAATATCATAAGTAAAGTTTAAATTTATTAAAGGTAAATGATCTTTGCATGGAACTTCTTGCTAGTTATCCAGCAGTTGAATTTGTCAGAGTTACATTAAGTGCTTTAAGTACATTGGCTTCTGCAACATTAATTGATATTCCACAACAAGTTGCACTTCTCTTACGTTATCTACAAGATGACCCAAGATTGTCTATCAAACGTCATGCTTTACATTTATTGCATACTTTAGCAAGGAAGGGGGCACATCTGTGGCCACAGGGTGCTCTTAATAATTTAATCGGTAAATAAAATAAATACATGGTTATATGATAGAAGATATTTATTTAATACAATATTTTAGAAAGTACTACAACACTTCTACAAGATGGTGCTGGGAATAAAGATCTCCTTATTCGAACATTAGATGTGATTGAGGTTATTAATTATTTGTCGAACGATAATTATAAAGGCAATATACATAAAAAGTTATCAATAAATTCTTAAACTTATCCAATCTAGGTACTCAGTCAAAGTGCAGTAACATGCGATGCAAATAGGGAAGAAGGAAATCCTCTTTTATCTTTATGCGTAAATGCGTGTTATTCCCCTAATCCTTTCGTTGCAGTAAAAGCAATTACAATTTTAGCCAGAGTTACGTGTTACTGGTATGTATTTAACATTGCTTTGCGTGAAATTAGTCCGATAGTATACATCTAGAGCATTAATTCTTTGCTTCCAGCTATGAAGAAGATTTACCAGCTTATGGTATACAAGATGTTGTATCTTGTCTTGAATCTTTAATTGTATTATTAGCTCTGAATGATAAGTACCTACGTCAGTTGAGAGTCTGCCTGCGGTCAACAGTAAAATTGTGTCGAGCACAGCAGAGCCACTGTTCAGTATTTGTTGACGCTATTGGTAGTACACTCTTTAATACCAATACAGAAGGTGGCCAGAGTGAAAGACAGGCAGTTGCTTTGTGTGAAGCTCTGGGTGCTATTGGAAGTTTAGGAGAAAACACATTACTTCCCCTTTTACCAGATATATTGGTGAAACTTAAACAGACATCGCATATACACGCAAAGGTAAAATTGCAATACAAACATAATATAATTGAAATGTAAAATATGACTAAAGAAAAACAATACAACATTTCATTTTAAAGGTGATGTTATGTACATTACTTTTTCAAATGGTGGCTGGAGGTTATGAATGGAATGCGGAATGTATGGAAGCAGTAGATGAGGTTATTAAAAATGTAGATGGTTGGGCTAAGTATCGAATCGCACGCAGCGCTGCAAGATATGGTCATCACACTATAGCAACACAAATATTTAGAAGCCTAAAGGAAACGGTAGCATCCGAGCAATTACATTTCTGGCTATCTGGTTTGGAACTAGTTACGAAAGCTGAAAGCTATCTCATGTATGTAAAACTTATATTTTATTCATCAGCCATTTTGCAGATATTTTTTCGCATATCAAATGTATTTCTTTTTCGCAGGGAGAAGACAGAAGAAATGGAGAGCAAAGTAAAAGTACATATCGTTGAGAAGTTAAGCGGAGCTATCGCGCGTTATGCAAGCGCATGTGCCTCGTTGAAGGCCGCTAGCACGCCTTTACGAAGTTTACAATTTGCCAGCGAATATTCGAAACTTCGTTGCGAATTTCTGCAAGCTATTGTTCAACTGTTGCATTCATGCAGGTATTCTATTAAATCCGTTTATACCAAAGGCTACATACAATTTTTAAGTTAATTTTTCGAGGGTGCGTAAATAGGTAAACGTAATTGTGTTTCAGATCTCTTTGCACGGCTCCACCACCTGCTATAGCAGTTACAGTGGTTCTTGCGACGAAAGACGATCTACAGCGGTATGGTCGCGTTACTCATCAGGTACTCAATTTTTTTGTTTATAATTATTGTAATATTATATTAGTGCCGCAAACTACTAAAATGACATGTATTTATCAGTTGAGAAAGTCAGCGCAAGAATTGAAAAATTGTGCGGAGAACTATCAAAAGTTATACCAATCAGCCTTTGACGCTGATCCAGGTTCATTGGCAAACATAAAAGCGTATCCTTTAATAAAATATAGAAGTGAGAATTCTTCGTCTGCTACCATCGCTATGTTCCATAATAAATTACACTAACCATTTACAGTATTAACATAAACTTCCTTTACTTACCGTATAGATTGCAAGAAATGTGTCGTTTGCTTGCAAGTAGCGTCGAACGCGTATGCGGTGGATCAGGAATCTGTACATATCATCAGAGCGAGGTAAACTTTGATTTCGGCGATACCGTAGAAATGCGTCAATTAGCTCGTTGCTGTAAAGAATTGCGCCGTCTGGCGCCTCCCTGGATAGATGAAAATAAAACGGCGGCGATTAGCCACTCGAGAGTCAATTGTTTGATTTCGCAAGTTATGTTACTGGCTGGAAGAAAAATGAGATTACCAATGCCACGGTATTATTTCCAAGCTTTACAAGCGACTAGCGTCAAGCTGTCCGTGTCACCGCAACCTCGTGTTCTCGGAGAACCGGTATCTGTTCCTCAGGGTAGTCAGCTGGCGTTGAAGGTCGAGGGCGTGCTGCGACATGGTCGTCGAGCTTCCCTTTACCGCAGCGTTGCTGCTGTTTGTATTTCTATTTCTACCACACCTCCGTCGAAGATCAATTCGGATCAGAAGGTGAGAATTCTTTTAGATTATTATAGTATTGTCGGATATTATAATGTATATAGTCTGAACAAGCATAGTTTATTTAGGAGATTATATGAGAAATACAGAAAAAATGAGAGAGATATGTTTTATGTCGACAGGATTCGAACGCGAACGAGCTGCAACAGACTGTGACGCCGCACCGTGATTTCTTCGCTTGCGAATTTTTGCTTTCGTTAGGAAGCCCTGCGACGGGGACAACGGCATGCGCAAGCACCACCGGTAATGTAAACAGCAACACCAACACTGGTGGCGGACAATATCAGGTCACGGCAAGCGCGAGCATACTTGACAAGGACGGCAACGTGTGGAAATGTGGACCGCGTTCCACGCTTCAAGTCAGGGTACACGAAGAGCCTACGAAACGGAAGCTACCTTAACTCAATCTACGTACAGTTTTTTTTTATCATACATAATTTGTATTGTATATAGAAACATGAAATAAAAAAAAGTTTTCATTTTAAGCGCTCTTCGTCGTCCTTTAAAACAGTGCACCACATCTTGTTTCCCTTCTGAGTGTTACTTATATCTTACATTCTTATTCCTCTTGATTTGTGTTATTTTGTAACGTAATGTTATAGATCAAAGGACATTAAGACGAAATATGTACTAAAATACAATAATACAAAACGTATATTAAAATACAAAAATATAACGCTGCAATATTGACAACATTCAGCAGTTTTTACAGTTGACGCGAATTAGCAAGCTTTCAAAATACATCGTGGCAGGATTCTTGGAGTAAAATCGATTTTTTACATGATCTATACGAGCTTTGATAGTGAACGAAGTTGATTATAGCTAGATTTTATCAGATAAGAAAGGGAAGGTAAGGAAGGCGAGGAATCCAATGAAAAACAACTTTGATTTTTTCATTAATTTTATTAATTTATTCCCAACACTACTATTGTTTCTCAACTAAGTTCTCCAATTTAATTGGTTCTTGGGCATATCCTGTAAGGCTCCTATACATATAACGATACTATATAACAGAGGGTTGTGCCAAGCAGATTAGGCTAACAAAAATTGTTCGCGGTCTTCAACAAGCATTGATCATCCTGCAAGAGGACAAATCAGGATGTACACAATCTTCAACACACATGCAAACATCGTTCAAAAGGAAAGATCAGAATTTGTATTCGTTTCCTTGGTATTAATATCCAAGTAGCTTTATTTTGGATCAATTCGACCGTTTTACTTCTTGACGAAACTTTTTATTTTCGAAAGCAGATGTGGAACTGCGAGGGTGGGATGCGTTTTGGGGAAATTCGCGATTGGGCGAGGGTAGCAAGGGTCGGAGCGGACAAGTAGCAAGAGTCGACGGTACGGGTGGACGCGCTGTGAGAAAGCCCATAAAAGGGAGATCGCGAGGGTGTTCGGAGCACAGTCGCGCACCGTCTGTCCGTTAGTACGGTACGCGGCACTCCTCGACGTACGTGCTACGCTCGGTCGGAGCATCATCTCGGGACGAGCAACAGTTATGCCCTCAGATCATCGCGTCATTGGCTGACACGGTCCAATATTTAAACTTCGTCACGCGTGTGTGCGCGGTAAGTCATTTTCTATTCATTTTGTAACTTTTTTTTTAATTTTAACGTATCCAATCATAATACGTATCCAATCCTAACGAGTTGGCCAAAGACAAACGAACGATTTAATTTTTAATTACAGTTTTTAATTCCGAGAGCAAAGATCGATTCGTTTGTTTGCACGAGCATGTGAAACGCTCTCGCGAGACGAACTTTTAGCTGCCTTTAGATTACGATATCAACGAAGGAAACGAGTTTCTAGAAGCTCGGGAAACTCCATTCGAAAGAAATTGTTGGCGTTTGAAAGGGAGTGTGTGGCGGATTTATCTCGAATTTAAATTAGTTTGCGTCGTTACGCGACATTTGAAAGCTCGCGCACAACGGATCCTCGATTCTTTTACTCGGCGCGTCTTGAATTATTTCTTGGCAAATTTCTAGAGGGAGAATCGTTCGTAGAATCGAGCACTTGTAGAGCGTGAACGCGGTTTAATGACACTATTGAGCTTCGAACAAGTGCAAAGAACTCGCTTTTTCCTCCCCGATTGAAGCTCGTTTCCTTCGGCAGCGAAAGATGCCCTATATTTCTGGAACGATGCATCCAGGTTCAATTAACTAACGTAAATGTCACTCTTAAACGATTAAGCGCGACGTGTAATTGCGCCCCTTTGTAATATCGAAAAGAAGCGGCGTGCCGGTTAATTGAAAGCTCCAGTGTTTTCAACGTTCGGAATATAAAATGTAAAAAGCGGCGCGCGCGAATTTAATTCGATAAATATGCATTATCAGTTCCCACCTATGGGGATTCTTTATTCGTAAACGGTACCCGAACGTTGAGTTGTAGAGATACATTCAATTTCGCGTGCCTTCAAATATATTTGATAAAAATCAACCCCTACTGTGTACTTGGAAATTAATGAATATTATTTTCATTCGATATGGATGAACGACCAGAATTGAAAATTGCCCTTTGTTGCTTTGATTAGATCGATTTTAACCATCTACGCCGAGAAGATACTTTTTAACACGTCGATTGCCAAACGAATATTCTTGAAAATTTCTGCTAAGATTAAATATTATTTAGACTATCGGAGTCTAGTTAATGAAACATTTATCGTGGTATTTAGTTTCGTAACCACATCAAAATTCATGAATTTCATTTGAATTCATCTCCTGCGATGTCTAACTTTTAGAATTAATCTTTCTAGTTCTTGAGTGAAAAACACTGTCACCCATATATGGGTGACATGGCGATCGAAGTGTTAATCAGTTCAGGGAGTAGTTAGTGGTACAGTTTCGAATATTTCAAAAAAGAAATTTCTTTGCGCGTTGCTGTAACTGGTCGCATGTTCGAGTTTCGTACAATCTTTGAATTCTGTAGTTTCTGTATGAATGGATCCGTGGAAAGGATGTTCCTTTTGTCAATCGTGTCGACGAAAAATGGCACACGATCGCGTTTCTCGAAAACCCTTTTGTCTCGAGTTGGACGAATATTTTGGGCAGTCGTTTAAAGTTGCACTTTGGAGGAAATGCTCAAAGTGGGCTTCTGGAGCAAGGAGACATGAATCAGTGTCGTTCCATTGATTTGCTGAACACGTTCGGGAAAATAGAACCAATACTACCATTCTCGTCGTTATTCGGTATGCCAAGTGTTGAAATTTGTTCATAGGTGTGAATGAAGGCACAGAATTAATTTCTACGGTTAATATAGTAATGTTATTATTTTCTTGCGTATCTGTACACGTATCTTTTGGTTTAGGATGGATTTACTGTATCAGCTTGTATTTACTATATTAACTTGTATCATAAATGCATAAAATTCGCATTGTAGTTGTGACGAAGTAGGTATAGTTTCGATACGATCGCTTTCAGAAACTTCGTTTGAAGTCGTAGGCGTAAGCTGCAACTAATTTTTGGGATAACTTATCGCAAGATTAATCAAAATATGGCACGAAGTAAAAAAAACTATTAAAAATGCATGACTAGGGCTAAAATAACAGATATGCCTAACCGCGTAGAACCTTGGCGAGCCCTTTAATGGCCGCGTGACACAAATTAATAACAAAATTTAACGATACATCGCGTGTCACATCGATTAAGGAATATCGAAAATAATAAGCATTGTTCTTGATGCTTTATACAATAAAAAATACGACAGTTACGAAGCTTTCGGTAAGATATTAATTTTATGAATGATACCCAAGCCTTTTATATCTCACTTTCATAAAATCCTTTCAATTCAATTTTGAGCTCTGAAAAACCAGTGAAAAAAATTAGCAAACACATCGCTTTTTTATTTTTAGCGATGTTATTCTGTTGGGAGATCTGTGCGTCTATTCAAAAATATTTTCAATTCGTATTTGCTTTTAAAGGCTTTCATGCTTTTTTAAATTTCATACATAAAATGAATTTTATTTAGAATTGGGCCACCTGCCAATCAAATTTTCTCATGTGTCACCTTGGACACTCGTTCCACAGGTTCGTCATTTCTGCCACCGAAAGCTTAATTAAAACTAAATGCAGGCGCACAAAGCATTAATGAGATCGTTATAATGTGTATTGTTCGTGAAAAAATCGCATTAATTTTCTGTTGCTTTTCACGGTACACGAATTTTCAGCAAAAACACCTTCAAAGTTGTAGCGACCACACGCGTTTATAACTGCACGTGAAATGACGATTTCTTAAAGGATCTCAGAAGTGTATCTAGAAAAATATCGATGACTTTCGTGCTTCGAAAGTAGACGAGGATACGTAAAATAATAATCCATTGTCAACCGACGCCTTTTATTCTTCGCAAAGTTCGACAGCCAATTTCTCATACCTACTGCAAGAAGCTATACAGAATGAGGTCCGCTTCCCTGAATGAGGTTCGCAATGTGAGGGAAATACGTCTGTTCGCCCATAAATTGCGTTTTCATGTAGCGCTATTAGTCGCTACTTTGCGCGATGTCGAATAACAGAGAAATAACAGAAATAATAGTTTTCAAAAATTCTGATCGCCGAATCCGAACGTCATCCTCTTCAAAGCCACAGAATTAATTTCTACGGCTAATACAATTACCCTAACATACAAATTTCAATAAATTCTTAACAACTGAGTCACTTTCAGTTTGAAGTGCATAGGTCGAATTAACATTCACGTTAATTTTAACGTCGATCTAACGTTACGTTCCCCAACGTAGAAGTCGAAACTAACATACACCATCGCTCATAAATATATATGGACATACGTGGACACTTACTACTTTCAATGAATAATTAGTGTACACCGTGAATTCTATATTGTACGTGTATTTAACAACATTTAATAATATTAAATTTTATAGTGAAACTATGGGATCGTTTAGATAGGAAAGTTCAGAATGAATGTTCGATACATCAAACACATTTATCGCGAAATATTACAAAATAAATAACAAAGAAATTAATGGTATCCAAGTTTGGTAAAAGAAATTTTAACGTTATCTAGTTATCCCTATAGTTTTCATCATTACTAATGTGATATTAGAAAAAGACTATTAATAAAATACATTCGCTAATACAGCATAAACATATCGAAAGATAAATGATATAATTGATATTAATAGATATGCAACTTTCATTAGATGCATCTGTCTCGCGGTTTAATTAGATCTGGGGAGCGGTTGACACTAGCATTAGCACTGGCACTGGCATAGATGATGCAGTTGAGATTGGAGGAGTGAGAATTATTTTCTTAAAAAATTTGCCGCGAAGGAAGTACACCCCCGCTTAGAAGCATATGGACGCTTACTTAATAGAAATAAATACACTTACTTAATAGAAATAAATACACTTACTTAATAGAAATAAATACACTTACTTAATAGAAATAAACACACTTACTTAATAGAAATAAATATCTAATGAAAGTTATTTATTTCTATTAAGTAAGTGTCCCTATGCTTCTAAGCGGGGGTGTACTTCCTTCGCGGCAAATTTTTTAAGAAAATAATTCTCACTCCTCCAATCTCAACTGCATCATCTATGCCAGTGCCAGTGCTAATGCTAGTGTCAACCACTCCCCAGATCTAATTAAACCGCGAGGTAGAAAGGGCCAAAGGACTATTGAGCTTTCGCTCGAAATAAAGCTTAAAATTTCCCACCTTCGGTCCACCACCACCCCCCCCGTCCCAAGGGCCAGGGGCTGAAGTTCGGCGTTCTAGGGGTAATTTTCACGGGAAACGAACGCATTCTTCCGCCGCCGCGAAGTTGCTTCAATTCCGTGGTAACGTCGCTGAAAGTGTGTAATTGCTTTCTCTCTTTTTTTTTTTTCCCCTCCTAATTATCTTCGCACATGACTCGAGGAGGGGCGGGGGATAGCTGTTATACGCCCCCAGAAGGGGATGAAGACTCCGCGGAGCATAATGTACAATGACTGCACTGCGAGTGCTACGGTACTAAGCATTGCGGTTTAAGCCGCACGGCCCGATGTATGTACCGTGATTCGAAGTGCGCTTCGCTGGGACCGAGTAGTTGTGCTAAATGGTTCGCAAACTAATGTTCAAAATTCGGGCAATGTCGCGAGGATAGTGGAAGTGCGAGGTCGTAAGGGGAACGACGGGATCGGTGTGGTGGTGGTGTTGGCGAGAAACGAGAAAATAGAGGAGCGAGATAGAAGGGGGGGAGGGGAGGGGAGGGGAAGGGGAGGGCTTGGAAAAGGGGCGGTAACCGATGTCTGCGAAGTCGTCCTTAGTTAAAACTTTTAAAGATTGAATTAAATAAAACTGGTGCGGTGTTTCCGTTATCCGCCGGTTTTTCTTCCTTTCCGTTCCCCCGTGTATAGCGTCGGAGTAAAACGACTTCGGAAATAATTAGCTGGGGGAATTTCGACAACTCGCGAGACTTTCAGATCGACGCAGAGGGTAGAGGGGGGGGGGGGTGCGTAGAGATGGATACGTGTCTAGGACGTTTTTGTTTAACAGGTCCCGCGCCAAGTGCAGCATTTACGGTACATATTCGATCATTTTTGTTATCCACTAGCTGTGCTCCGCGGTTTCACCCG